GGGGGGGGGGGGGGGGCAAAATATCAAATTTCTAATATAGTTGGGAGATTTTTCCCCGAAAAACTTGCAGGCGGGGCTGCGAGGGGAGGCGGCTGCCCCTTTTGCCCCCCCCCCCCCCTTTGGCTCCGCCACTGAAGCTGGGCCTCAATGGCATCAACGTCGATTTCCTAGTCAACAAGAATTTCGGGAGTCTCTTTCAAATATGATCTGTTTAACTCGCCCGAAATGTACATCTCTTTACCCGGTACATATAGAACAGAGGGAGAAGGGGGGTATTGTCACCCGAGAGGGGGCAAAATCTGAGTTAACTTTTCTAGAGGTATTTTTCCTCAGGAATCCGAATCTGGGAGGTAAAGTGCGGGGTCAGGGGGCGTTTTTGAGTTATTCAAGGTCAAAGGTCACGAAAGGCCAACGCAAAAAACGTTAAAAATTTAGAATTTAACTACAAAATGTGTACAAATTCATTGATATCATCTAGAAATTGGTGAAAGCCCATTAGTGTGAATCGGCACTATCTATAAGTCCCAATTCTTTGAGGCAATCCAGGTCAAAGGTCACTAAAGGTCAAAATAGGTCAAAATGGAAAGACGGATCTCACTGATCATGTCATAAGCAATATCAAGTAGTTGTTAAAACTCCTATGGAAATAAATCATTTACTAGTACATGGACATGCATTAAACAAATTTAAATAACAATTTGAAAATCTATGAATCACAGTAGGCCTAATTCGTCTAAAACGCCGTCGGCGAAGTGTTCAATCGATAATCCTTCAGGCTCACCGTCAATCACGTCGTCGAACAGTTCTTCGTCAACAGTTTCTCTTGAGTCCAGATGGATTTCCTCATCGAGTTCCACCACAAGGTCCGATAACTCATCTGGATATGGTGTGTTCACCCATTTAATCATTACATCGTTCGTCCAACCATTTTTTGACGCGGGGGGTAGAGACATAATAGGCTGATCAGGCAGCCGCCACATGCTAACAATATAGTTAGCACGCTGTATATGCAGTACTAAGGACGTCAGAGGTCGACTAGATCTTTCTCTATCTGAGACTTTAGGGTATTCACTTTACTGAGTACAGTATTCAGTTTCTTCTGATTTTGATAGTAATTTTTCTGAAGTTCTGCCTGGCAACTACTCAGTGCTGTTTGTCGATATTCGTTGATTTTCTTCAACGAATCCTCGGCTATATTCTTCACTGTTTTCAATTCTTCTAACTTACGTTTCAGACTGTCTTTCTGATCTTTGTAATTTTCTAAAATGACGTCTTTAGAGTCTTTGATAGTAAGAAAAGAATGGTTTTAGTGTTGACCAAGAAGGCATGTCGAACACTAAATGGTGTTACAGTCTTCAAATAAACATTTCAGCTCCTCCTTAGGATGTTTGGAGCAGTAATCTGTATCTCCTGTTCTGTTTGTTGAACTCGTTGATGGAGCAGATAGATAAAAAATTGTTGAAAACTTCCTTACCCCGCCGTTAGGAATTTTGCTGATTTTGTTACACATTTGATGGCGTTGCAGCTACCCGCCAAATTGGAACTAGTTCTTCCAGACACTTCCTACAAAATGTATGATGACAATCCAATAATTTAGGTTCCTGGAATGGTCCAAGACATACAGGACATTCAGACTCTTCTACATTCCCATCCATTTTGATTTTGAATGCTGAACAATTCAATAATCTTTATGGTACGTTATGATATAATCGAATCTCTTATGTCATGTTTTTATAAACCCGAAAACTGAACAACGTTATAAATATAATCCGAAGACCAGTTAACAATCCACCATAGTTTCCCTTGACAATTAAAAAACAGTTTGTAGTTTAAAGTTTAATATGGTAATAGTAATATAAAGTGTCTCCAGCATTTCTAGATTTATACCTCCAGTTTTGGTTAAAGAGACAGATGTGCCATTTTAGAGGGTTGATTTTAATCTTGAAAATATGTAAATAGTCTTCAGAAGTACTAGAAATGTACGAAAATCGCATATTTCCTTCAAAAATACCTTGTGAGTTTTACTCACTTTATCTATATATGTCTTTTCTATATATCACAGAGTATAATCTTAAATGACGAGTCATCATTTTGGCATTCAAACGCTGAATTGAATTGGACACACATGGAATTGAAGGCGCATATGTCCCTTTAATGAAGTAAAATTTGCAGAATTTCAAAATATTCGAAAGGTAGACTAATAAATCATGCCAATGATGTTAGTTTCTTAAAATTATAAAAACCACCGAGAGTTGCCTTGTATTTCTAGATTTAGTGAATCATTCTCCTGAAAATGTTCTGAAACTTTGAATTTATTTGTATTTGAACGTGTAATTATTTATGTTTGTGATCAAGTAAGACTAGAATCGTATTAGCTAAATAGATGGTATTCTAAATATAAGCATATTGTTATTTTAATTTATTGTAATGTTCACAATGTCAAGCTGTTACAAACTTCATCTTCACAATATCAAGCTATTACAAACTACATCTTCATAATGTCAAGCTATTACAAACTTCATCTTGACAATGTCAAGCTGTTACAAACTTCATCTTCAGAATGTCAATCTATTACAAACTACATCTTCACAATGTCAAACTATCACAAACTTCATCTTCACAATATAAAGCTATTACAAACTACATCTTCATAATGTCAAGCTATTACAAACTTCATGTTCACAATGTCACGACCTATTTTGACCTTTGACCTGGATTACCTCAAAGAATTGGGACTGATAGAGAGTGCCGATTCACACTAATGGGCTTTTGTCAATTTCTAGATGATATCAATGAATTTGTACGCATTTTGTAGTTAAATTCTCAGTTTTTAACGTTTTTTGCGTTATTTGGCCTTTCGTGACCTTTGACCTTGAATAACTCAAAAACGCCCCCTCACTTTACCTCCCAGATTCGGATTCCTGAGGAAAAATGCCTCTAGAAAAGTTAACTCAGATTTTGCCCCTCTCGGGTGACAATACTCCCCCTTCTCCCTCTGGTCTAATACTCTAACTTTAAGTCGTAGTGTTGTATCTTCATGAGCAATTGAGCATTCGCTGAAGTCTCGGAGTCGCGCGATGGAGTGGCTTATTGTAGATCGCAACAAGCGGTTTATGATCCGTTTCCACCGCAACGCGACGCCAATAGATATAGTGATGAAATTTCTTACATCCGTACACTATAGCTAACATCTCGCGTTCTATTTGAGCATAACGTTTAACTCCAGATACGTCACTTGGCGGTGGCATGTCTTCAATCGCACTTACCTTTTCGGGGTCCACTTTAACCCCGTTGTTCGTGATTATATGTCCTACATTTTTCGTTTCCGGTTCGGCCATGGTTTCACCCCATATAAATATATCGTCAACGATGCATTCTACACCCGTTATGTCGGCAAACATTTCCTGTACCCGTTTAGAGAATACTTCAGGCGCAGAACTGATTCCAAACGACAAGCTAAGTACCTATAACGACCGAATGGAGTGTTGAATGTCAATAACTTTGAACAAGACTCGTCGAGCATTACATAGGCCTACCAGAATCCATTATTCGCGTCAAACTTGGAGAATAGCCTATACCATACTTTCGGTAACTTTTCGATCACTTTCTCGACCGTTTGCAAATATGACAGTGTTCTTTCTTGATCGCTCGATTAAGAACCAGTTTCAGTACACGCGTTCTTTTCAAGTATGGTTTGCGCACTCGTTTCTGCTATGTAAAACGGCAATTTGGATGTTCGGCCACACAGAGAATATTTTAGGGTCTGAATTCCTTCGGGCACAATGTTATCTTCACTGTATGTCACTAACTTTACACTTGTGTTTGTTAGCTTTTGATTTTCAAGTTCAAAGCTATCGTAGATACGCTTCGGCAAGATATTTGCTTGTGCACCTGTATCGAGCTTCACTGTAACGTTTCGGTCATGTATTGTTAATGTTTCTGTCCTATCGCTTTGATCTTGACCTACGGTGTCTATATGCACAGTTCAAATGAAAAGTTCATCTTCTGAGTCGTAACCCAGCAAACATTCCAGATCGTATCTACATCGGGCCGAAAAAAAAAGTCTTAATCGTACCGATATCTATGCATCAAATCGGGCCGACAACGGATGTGCAACACGGCGCGAGGTCTAACCTACGTCGGCTAATGATATGAAGCCGATGTTTTTCCGACATGCTGCCGACACCGGCTTCTTATCTATTGTCGACATCATTACGATATCAAAAAACTACATCTGGCCGACAACGTATGTGCAAACATGGCGCAAGGTCTAACCTACGTCGGATATTGATATCAAGCCGATGTTTTTCCAACATGCTGCCGACATCGGCTTCTTATCTATTTATCTATTGTCAACATCTATACGATATCAAAATACTACATCGGGCCGACAACGGAGGCGCGAGGTCGGGCCTACGTTGGTTATTTGAATGAAGCCGAGGTTTTTCCAACAATCTGCCGACATCGGCTTCTAATCCATTTTCGAGATTTAGGCGATACTACATCGGGCAGACAACGAATGTGCAACACGGCGCGAGGTCGGTTATTGGAATGAGCCGATGTTTTTCCAGCATGCTGCCGACATTGGCTTCTGATCTATTTTCGACATCGGGCCGACAACTGCTTTGCAACATTGTCGACATCTATCCGATATGAAAATTCTACGTATCCAGTTGTTGTTTTCTTTCTGTCTCGCACCGCGGTCGGTTGCTAATTTCGATGATGTGACAGCCTGATGTAGGCCTATGCCCCTTAGTCACGGCATGTTTAATGCCAGTGTTTGATGTTAGGTGAGAGAAAAGGGAATATGAATCGCAGAAGTTTGTTACAAGACAAGTAGACTGGTAAAGGCGATGAAGAGAGAAAGAGACTATGATCTTGTTCCGTTCCGTTCCACAAAATACAAGTCAGGGGTATAAATCTGTATATTTTGCGGAATGGAACATGATTTATTTTTGCATAATTGCTGACGAAGGTTCCACTTCCAGCAATGGCGGACTTACCCGCCATGCGAAACCGAGTCAGATGCGTGTTGACGCATAATCATCTGTAATCTAACATAAATTTGCTCTTTTTCAAATAAATAATCATCTTCACGTTTTCATAATATTCATACATGACTGTAGGCCCATATGTTTGTAGAATATAGAATCAACCTGAACAATTGGACAGATACTGGATAATCTAAAATAGAATTATCAGTATAGAGGTAAAAATCAATGTCTATAAATTTTAATACTTTTTTTTATTTTAATAATTAAACATATGTCTGAACATTTGCGGGTTTTAAAGGTGCATTGCAAGCTTTACAAAATATATCTGTTGGCAAGTTCTCCAAGGTACAGTCAGAGCAGACTTTTTTACTTTCACCAGCTTTTGGGTTCTCCAAATCTGGTCCAACATGGCGACTCTTATCACATTCTTTACAAACAGTTCTAGACGCATTATTTAGTGAAGTACAGTAGGAACAAGACCAAATTTCATCTGAAAATGGTGAATTGTTAATTGATCTGTTAAGAACCAATTCTTGGTCATCTCTGGGTATATCATAGTAACCAGATGTAAAAGACAGCTCTCCATCAGTGTCCAATATATCAGGTTCTTCAATAAATTGTTTAGCCTTAAAGCTACCATCTGTAACATCGATATTAGTATTTGAAGGGTAGGGGAAATAATGTGTCCGTTTGTGTTTTTCTATGTTTTTGTATGAACTTATTGTGGCTGGTGGATAAAATATTTCCATGCTTTCTTTGCTTACTTTTGTGGGTGTCGTTCTAGTAATGACTCTATCTTCATCCTTTGACTTCTTAATATATCCACTTATTTTCCTACTAGATTTCAAATCAACTTCTGGATAACTAAGATTTTCACTCTTTACTTCATAGTTACTTTTATGAGTTGATTTTACGAAATCTCTTACATCTGATTTAGGTGCCTGCTTTTGTCTCTGTTGCTTTAAATTGATTTCTCGTAAACTAGCATGTATATGGTCATCATGTGTTCCTTTCATACTAATTTCTATACCATTGTCAGTTTGACCTTCATCTATATAAGGAATATGTCCAGCTCTTATATAGCTGTCATTGTTGTGATTAGGGGAATTTAAATCAACTACCAATTTATCATTATTATAATACATGTATGTAGAAGAGGGTGTTTTATCTCTGTTCTTATATGAAACAGTATCATCCATATTTTCTTTCTCTTGTGTCCTCTTTTTCTGTTCTAGTTTTTTTTCAAGGTATTCTTCCTTCGGTTTCTCACCTGTTTTCATCCACTGAAAAGCATCTTGAAAGTCCCCACCCCTATCCCTTATATCATTATGTTTCATTTCAATCAATTTACATGCTACAGCACCAACTAAACATTCAAAACAAACATTTATTAAACGTTCTCTGTTTGGTTTCACTTCTTGTAAAATCATTTCACTTTCATTAACTCTTTTATAACCAACCATTTCAAAAATTTGTTCAGGATTTCTTAAATGTGACTTCACCTTTGAATTAAAAAATCCAGAATATAACTGAAAAAATAAATGAAAATTCAGTTAATTAGATATTTGAACAAAACACAAATTACATGAAGGCTATGTCCAAAATACAAAAAGTTGTTTGGTAGAAGTACATGCATAAATTTAAGTTCTCAGTTTAGCTTACCTGGTGTCATAAAGTTACAACAGAATCCCTGTAAAATCTTGAAAATTCATAAAGTAAGTAATTATTGAAAAACGCTTAATCTTGATATTAAGCGTTTTTTAATAGTTAATTGCATATTTATGGGTTCTTACTGAGTTTTTTGGATTTATCGGATTATATAAGGATCCTGTTATGTTATTCATGACACCAGGTATACCTACTGGCTCTTATTCGCCAAGTTTAAAATTCTTAGATTTTATGTTAATTCTAAGACGTAGTATCACTTTAAAGATATCACTGAAAATATCTAATAAGATGTTGTAATCCATTTATGTCACCTGGGAAATGTCTAATTGCAATACTCTTGCATAAACTCAGAAATATTATCTTCAATACATTTTGACATTTTTCAATAATTTTGGTGAAGGAGACAAACAACTTTATTGACTATTTAGACTCTTTTTTTTTTTTATTCTTTCTCATTAGATTTATTCAATTACCCATATTTAATAAAACAAATCCCATATCCAAACTAATACAATTTTTCTTGTCAATTTAAGTTTTAGTTTCTGGTTTCTACTTGTAAAATAAATAAAACTTAAATTGACAAGAGAAATGGTAATAGTTTGGAAAAAATGCTTTTGAGTGTGCAAAATGATTTAAAACTCAAAACATTACTATAATGCAACATCAAAAAAATGAACATATCCAAACAATACATCAACTCTAGTCTGCAAAAATGCCTACAAAGATAGCTGATGTGATGCTAATACTGAAGATTTATTTTGGGCTCCCAACTCAAAGCAAATAACTAATAATTCTAGGAAATTCTTTAGTATTTTCCATCTATTCTTTACAGTCAATTTATGTTCTTGAAAACTTTGTCTCACCTTCAACACACGGAATTCTTTTTTCCATGGATGGTCATAAAGAAGTTTTAAATATTTTTCAAGTTCTGTGAAAGCTTGAGCAGATTTCTCTCCATCAAACTTTCCATCTTCTATTGTAGCTTCAATTATTTCTACAAAGGCTGAACTGGTGAAAGCTAACGTAAGGTGCAATAGAGGCAAACATTTATGTAATAGTTTGAATATTGTCATTCCCAAATCTTTTCTTTGTTGTTTGGTTAGATCAGACAGATGCACATTTGACTTTTTATACAAGTGTCTAGCATGATCCACAGATCCACTGGCATCATTTAAAGAAAAATCAGACCTCTTAGATGTCATTTTTGTTTCCCATCAATTATAAAGTTTCTATTTATTTATCATATTTATGTTGACTTCTAGTACCGGTACAGCACCATCCTCCAAGTAAACCACTTGAATTCCTCATTTTCCTGTGTCATTTCTGAAATGGAAAATGGAATTAGGAGAATGTGTTTTACATGGTAATATTATTAGTAAATTCTTTGAATAAGACAAATTACTTACTACATCTTTATATCTTTATAGTAATATTCAGGTTTTGATATTGTCGGTAGTTTTGGTATTCATCAGCTGTAAAAGAAAATAGGCAGGTTGAGAAGTATAAAGAGAAACTAAAGAGAAGGAAGTACAACGACAGGGAAGAACCAATGATTAGTTAAAGTGAAACCAGAAGAGAATTATTACGGATAACCAATGGTTATAAATGGCAAACGAAATATTTCCTTACCAATAACAAGGCTGAATCATACCCCCAATAAACCACACAATACAATATTGTGTTGCTTAAGATATAAATAGACCTACCTACGCTACAGTCATATAGTAAAGTGAACACTACGGTAGTGACGGTAGTGAAATACAAGACGAAAATATGATATGTCTACCTATTTTAAACACTGACACTATCAAATATAATGAAATAATGCGGGATATACACGAAAAAAAGAGACATAATAAATAGAAAAATGACATACGAAGATAACTATTTTCCAGTAAAATGGCGTATGAGAAATTCCCTAGGTGCGTCTTTTCACCGGCGAAGACCAGCAAAGGGTGCGAACAGGAAGTCATGTTCGCCGATTTTTGTCGCCAACTCGAATCTTAAGTAAAATCTCACGTGTGCCCACAACAGAGTATCATCATCCACTCAGATTCATTTTCGTTTCAATTGCATGTCTCCTTTTGTGCCCGCAACCGGTCGATGAAACTCTTGACATAGTGAAAAAGACACAACGGAAGAGATGAGATTTTTTTATTTTTGAGGGTTTATAGTTGGGTGATTTTCATTTAAATTTTCATCTCATCTAAGCATAGACAACATGAGTATGAAAAAAATTATTGTCTCATAAGCTAAGTTTTACATTGATTTTCCTTTCTTCTTGTCGATAAACCTTATCGGTAAATGTCGAAGTTGGAAATCTCATCATCTAGTTTCGGAATAGGTTTTGATTGTTCGAGGAGGCGTTATTTTTCTTACTCGTAGTCTCGAATGACCTTGATTGATTTCAACCAATGGTTGATTAGAAATTAATTTGCTGCTCATATACTAAGATTATATTTCCGGATGTTAAATGTTGCTTGGAAACACAGAATTTGTTGGGTTATTTTGAGTGATTTTCAACAATATTTATTTTAACGTTCTACCAGTGAAGTACCATAGATCGAAAATATGGTAAGAGTAAATTTTAAAGAATTGATAAGCAATCTTAGTACACTTAATAGGGAGAAAGGGACCAGATAATGACTTGAGCAGGCTATTTCATTTGTGATAATTGAGAATGACAGCGGGACTCAAATTGCATGATCCATGGCATAATTATCATCCTCGTGAGAACAATCAGGAACAGGGTTGGTTTCATGAATAAACCTATTGTTAACATAACTTTTCTGTTTCTGGACTGTGAATGATAAATATTAGTAAAGCAGAGTATGTTAGCTTACTAGGCCTACAGAAAGGAATTAGATATTGATTTAAGCTTTTCAGTTTGGAAATTCTCTCGTTAGTGTGTCAATGTCAACGATGATAAACTAGTACCATGTTGTGTTCGCTTACTGCTACACATACAACAGGTACTGCCTTAATCTCTCGGTCAAAATATTGTCTATTTGACGTTGACAACTAGGAACCCCAGTGAGTTTACTGTAGGGTATGACGGTAATTTCGACCAATCAACACCAAGATGACAATAGCCCTAACCCATTCCTTCGGTGGGAAGCTTTAGATGGAATGGGGGACTGGTTTGAAATTAAAACCAAATTACATGACTAAAGTTGATATTTTTAGCCGCCAAAGAAAAAGAAGAGTGGGAAGAAGGGAGGTAAGAAATCTGGTAAGAAGGCTAAAACACCTACTGTTATAGATGGAGTACCAACAGAAGAAATGTCAAAAGAACAGGTAAAATATCCTTTGGTATTATATGCATATTTTCTTATTAAATATAATTTTCAAGTAATTAAAAAACATTACTGTACATTATATGCTATAGAGTTAACCTCATCAAAAGCTTAAGTTATTAATTAAAGGGATATTAAACGTATCTGAAAGATTTACCTAAAAAGAATCAAACCAATAACTATTTAAAATTTATACGTAAGGTACGGTAACTTAAACTTTTGAAGTTCGTTTCCGTATGCTTTTTGCAAGCTGTTAGAAAGTTCCATTTGGGTGGATCAACATGGAGTTCATTCGAACTATTTAATTATATATAGCAATGTTTTACCATTTCAAAAATATTAGGGTGAAAATATGGCTTATTAAAAATACTTTTGTGATTCAAACATACAGACTGTCAAGAAAAAAATGACATGGAAGTTTTTTGTCAATTTCAGTTGGAGGAGCATATTGCTCGATTACGTGAAGAATTGGAGAGGGAGAGGGAAGAAAGAAATTATTTTCAATTGGAAAGAGATAAAGTAAACACTTTCTGGGAGATCACCAAGCGTCAGTTAGAGGAAAAGAAAGCTGAATTGAGAAATAAAGATCGAGAAATGGAAGATGCCGAAGAAAGACATCAGATTGAAATTAAGGTAATAATTTAATAGCAGTTATATTTTCTGGTAATTTTGATCAAAGATATTTATTCGAAAAACAGAATTATTATTTGTTAAATTTGTTTTCTACAGTTTTTAAGATTGCAATAAAGAATTAATATCAATATCATTGACAGGTTTACAAACAAAAAGTGAAGCATCTTCTGTATGAACATCAAAATAATGTGTCTGAACTTAAGGCAGAGGGTGGTGTCTCTCTAAAATTAGCACAAGATGAACATGAAGGTAATGAAACAAATCTGAGAAAAGATAAGCGAGCTCTGAAGGTCCATCTTAAAGAACAAGAATTGGCTCATGAAGATGTTATTAAGAACTTGAAAAAGGTAAGTTTTTTTTTTGGTTTACTCATAAAATGTTCATATATATGAGAGACATTTTTGTTTGACATGTTTATTTTACGTTATAGGTACAAAGAAGGGGCTAGTTGTTAAATGTTATTTATATGATTGTGATCTTTTGAATTTTTCTCTTTTAGCCAAAGCCATAGTTTTTATATTACTTAACAGACTGCAAAATGAATATTCTGATATGGTTAAAGTGTCATGCTCTTAAAAATCCTGGCGATCATCACTATTTTTTTATTGTGTCCATTTTTTATTGATTTTTAGTCCAATGATGAGGAAGTCACCAAATTAAGGGCTGATTTTGAACGACAAGCCAAGGAAATTGAAGCCAAATACGAAAAGAAAATGCGTACATTACGCGATGAACTGGATTTGAGGCGTAAAACTGAAATTCATGAAATTGAAGAGCGTAAAAATGGACAGATCAATACATTAATGAAAAATCATGAAAAAGCTTTCAGTGACATTAAAAATTACTACAATGACATAACATTAAATAATTTAGCATTAATCAACACATTAAAGGTAAGCTTTATTGTATATTATACTTAACTATTAATGTTTTAGACTTTGATGTGGAAACTTAATTGAAAAAATAATATAATTTTCTTTGATTGTGATTATAATTTTCTATTGCCCTCTACCTCACCAATATAACTTGTTTTGATAGGAACAAGTTGAAGAAATGAAAAAGAAAGAAGAACGAATGGAGAAGCAGATGGCAGAGGTTATAGCAGAAAATAAACGGTTAACGGAACCATTACAGAAGGCAAGAGAGGAAGTAGAAGATCTGAGGAAACAACTTGCAAATTATGAAAAAGATAAAGAAACACTCAGGGTAAGCATAATACAGAGAAAATATTAGAAAGGTGGTCTTTGTCAATATTGATGTATGATTGCTATATGGGTAATAGTGCAAAATCATATCAACTGGTGTCATTTATCATTTATTTTAGATTATGTTTTGTAAGTAATGATTGAATTGACATATTTTCTAATTTTTAATTTCAGATGACCAAAGCAAGATTAAAGGTAACAGAAGAAGAATTCAGAGCCCTGAAATGGGAACATGAAGTTTTAGAACAGAGATTTCAGAAGGTAAATATCAATAATATTAAACAGTTTCTGCCAAGAACATCTAATGACATGAGTAGTCCCCCTTAGATGTTTTCTTTCTGTAAGGGATTGTGGCCAACTAAAATGTTATATCTGTATGTGTTAAAACATTGCAGTTCAGAACTACAGTATAATAGGAATAGAGTACATAGAATCTTCATGAGCATCAATTGCACATACCAATGCCTTCAAACCTCTTTGCAAATCCTTTAAGATAAGGTGTGATAAGAATCTTTGATTATATAAATATAAGAATAGGAGTGATTATGATAATGCCTCCTTTACTTCTAATCTTTTACTTTGATTTTAGTCAAATAACATATTTGGTAACTTTGGTTATATCCAATATATTTTTATGCCTATAAAAAAGTTATATTGTGTTATAATGAAATAATAATTTTTTCAGACACAAGCAGAAAGAGATGATTTATATCGTAAATTTGTTAAAGCTATACATGAAGTACAACAGAAGAGTAATTTTAAAAACTTATTGTTAGAAAAGAAGTTGGGTGCCCTGGCTGATACCCTTGAAAAGAAAGAAGCTCAGTTAAATGAAGTTTTATCTGCTTCCAACTTAGATCCAACAGCCTTGACTGTTGTTACAAGAAAACTTGAGGTATTTTTTATTTTGTATGGCATGTAAATTGACAAAAGTTAATCTTATACTATTGATGATATATAAAGTACATCAACAGAATAACTTGTATAATTAAAGGGGGATAAGTTTCTATTCTTTGATCCAAATTAAGTCTTTGGACTTGAAATCTGATTGTCAGAATCTGGGTATTAAAATCTGCTGGTGTCTCAGTATGTTTCCATTTGTAAGTGGCAAGATCTAGACTCTTGATATTTTCACAGCTGGATCTGTTTACTGTAATATAACAATGATGTTTCTTACTACATTTAAACTGCTTGTTTTCTTTTTCAGGATGTTCTAGATTCTAAGAATAGCGCTATTAAAGATCTACAGTATGAATTGGCTAGAGTGTGTAAGGTGGGTAAACAAAATATTATTCCCTCCATATACATAAAGATATAATCGAACAAGGATACTTGGAAGTGGGCACGATTAGATTAAAGAATTGAAGTTTTACATCCTACTTTTAAAATTCCAGTAGAACTGCTACATTAGTCTTTTTTTTTTCAAACTTTCCTTGATAAAATTGTAAGATCGGTGTCACTTTATCAAAATGTCATTTTTTTTTTATATCAAACTATCTTCAATTTTAATGACAAGATCTTGATATTATTTTTTGGTAAAATGGTGGGATTTTCTATCAAATGAAATTGAAAATGAAATTTGTGGGAACAAGGAATGTATAGCAAAATAATATAGTAAACTCACCATAAAGTAGATAACTTAAATCTCATTAACTACCTTATATTATAAATATACACTAGTTAAACATGTCTTACTGAAAATAAAACAGATTAATTTAAGATGACATCATCTATCACATACATTTGTACATATAACTATTAATAGACATGTAGTAGTATGTTGCATCATTTCTACTAATAATTACTTAGGCAGTATTACATTACTGTTTGTAATCTTGAATTAATTGAATTTGAAAATGAAAAGTAAAATTTGCAACAAAAAACACTCTCTAATGATTTTCTGAGTGTTTCAAAGTTACAAAAGTTTGTTTTTTGATGGATTGGTTTATTTAGAGGATTTTAAAATAGAGAGAAAGACAGGATATGAGAAATGTAATTTCATTCAGAATATAAAGTCCTTATTGAGTAGACAATCAAATGTATTATGTTTTTGTTTCAGGCACACAATGATTTATTAAGAACATATGAAAGTAAATTAAATCAGTTTGGTATACCTACAGAAGAATTGGGCTTTAAACCATTAGAAAGTACAGTTGGGGGTCAAGCATTGGGTCAAGGCCCAGCAGGTTTGGTGTCAGCACCTTCATAGTCCTATGTCGTCTCTCATTGTTTTTATTATTTTTCTAGACTTATAAATACACTTCATATTTATTGAACATCCTTTACTTTTAACTCCTTAATTGAATAAGTTTGATTTTCAATATAGTTTTTATGAACTGGTTTGAAAATTACTTATAAAAATTATGATCATCCTAAATGTTCATTATTTAGGTGGTATCTATTATTTGGGGCTATTATTGTGTTATTTTTTTAATATGTACAATATAAAGAAGTATGAAAAACTGATTATTTTTAAGAATGATTTGTATCTGTGATATTAAACTATTGATAATCACCTTATACATGTTTTGATTGGGTCCATTAGACATACTTTGTAATAAACTCAATGACAATCTATATCTACACTACATTCTTATTTGAAAAATATCCTGTGAAAAAGATAGGCATGGTCACAAGTAGTTAATAAAGAACGTTTTTTTTTAGTAATTGGAAAAAATTTAATGTAAAATTACTGTTAGACCCTATGCTTGTGTCTGTGTTTTCATGACATCAACCAATCAAACCTTGAAAAAGTGGGAGCATCCTGTGCATGAACACCTCAAGACGTTTTAATTGGTACTTTCAGCAGTTTAAAATTATACGTCCACATGGAAATATGGTGATTCCAAAAAGAAAAAGCAGGGAGCAATAACCAATCACAAAAGACTTTTTGATGGGATCACCGATACCAGTAGAAGTACAGCGAATCATTTTATGTATACTGGACTTCGATGGTATTTGGTGTCAAGTTTTATAATCTATAACAAATAGAAATATGGTATATTGCAGTCGCCCTTGTCCGTCCGTCCGCCCGACCGTCAACATTTCTTGTGGGCACAATAGAGACAAAGTTTTCATCTGATTTTGGTGTGATCATTGGAATTGATAAGGTCATGAGTAAGAAGTTGATTACTTTTCTGATTATTGAATAGAAACTTGACAGATAAATCATTATGGTTCATTTTGCTCCTTATTGAGTCTAAAAATTTAACAAGGCTGTTATGTGAACTTGCCTTGCCGGGCAAGATATCTTTATATTTATCATATGTACTGCTGAAGGTAAAACATGCATTGTGTAAGTAAAGAATAGATTCAACGCAAATATGCACTTGATTACCTGTTAATAATCGATTTCCACATGGAGATGTTTCTGAAAAAAATATATATAAGTTCCGGGGTTTTAAATCCCAGGAATATTCAGCGTATTTAATTCCGTATTTAATTCCGCGTAAACATAAAGTTTACGAAGTCTAGCTCAGCCTTTTGTCATTAAAAACTCTTCCATAGAATGTTTTGGACTACATTCGAACAGACTTGAAGGCAAAGTTTCAACATCTTAAAAAAAATAGTAATTGTAGCTCAGGGTCGCTTGATGAACTAACCAAATTTTAACGCACGAGATGAACCCCTTATCCTATTATCATTTTTTATTGTGATTTCCAAATAAAAAAAACAAACAAAAAATGAATTCTTACTGGATATAAGTGGGATAAAACACTTCAGCTCGGATTTTTATGATTTTTAAAACCTTTCCCTCCGAAAATCTTTCAGGATGTGGTTTAAATATCGTAACAAACTGAGGGGAAGTATTTTATCTTTATATATAAAAACCCTATCGATGTGGACGGTGCGCGATTGTTGACAATGATGGCATATCCTGGAAATGCATTTTCAGACGGTCAAATAATCCACACGTGCAGTTTGAAATCCTGAACCCGATCAAAAGTTCTAAAACGCACTGAATAACCTGAATGGAGAGAGTAAAATGGCAAGTAGTACACTTTTGTGTCGAATTTAGACAAAAATGTTAAACGAAAGACGATTAGACTGTATTAGTTTGTTTCTTTATCTCATTAAAAGGTTAACATACTTTCATGTAGACGATATAGTTAAGAGATTAGATGTGACTTTTTAATCTTTTCAAAGCTTCATAATTCTATAATTCAGTTTAGTGTCACCTCAATTCCATGTGGAGGGTTCATTAAGTTTATTTCAAATTGCTATTACTTCAGTGACAGTCTAGTAACAGCCTTCCACGGGTGCTTTGGGTTGAACACTTTATTACCGGCCCTATTGATATTAAGCTCGCTGTCACTGAAGCATGTCTAAAACATCATGCTTAACAGTTTGGCTGCACTGGCCACAGGGAAAGGACCGCAAAGCTCTCCCTCCCCCCCCCCCCCCCAACCCCCACCCTTCCAGAACGCCATTGTGGAACTGGGGATTAATTTGTGATGCGCTAATCAGGGCCCCAGACTTATTCAGGTCTTCCAGAGCCCTTCCTTGCTGACCGCATCAAAGGCCATAGAAACTCCACTGGTTTGCGGGTGGAAAACAACAAGTTTCTCTCTAGACAGAAACCACACATGCACCCAGGAAGATGATCCTTATAGGTCTTGGTTTTATAGCACAATATTACAAAACATATTATTTTGGACACCCATTGTATGAAATCGTGACATTTTATCTTTAAGATGACACGAAACGTACACCCATAACATTGAATTAAAATGTTTTACACCTATAGGATGTAGCTATTTTTGTTTCCATCAGTTTACGAAAAAGCACACAAAATATGTTAAGATGTGATATTATAAGTGTAAATTGTGATGATAGGGAAACGGAGGACGATTTCTTTCATATTATTATATTGTATTTCCCCCTTTCGCTATAACCTAATGACGTGTATGCTATAATTACCTTCCGGTGGTTCCCTGGCTTCACCCCATTTTCTCTCGTTTGTATATTGATGTAGCATATATTACACAATGCAATACCCCATTTCACAGTCTAAAAATGACACAAGTCTCCCTCAGTGTAGTAAAATATAGGGCATGCCAAAATATAGCACTTAAAGGGTCAAATGCGCACTTTTTGGGTGGTTGATCTGAGTCTCGAATATATGTAAATAGTTTTCAGAAGTACTGTACTCGAAATGTACGAAAATCGCATTAGTCCTTTAGAAATATCTCAAACTAGGAATTTTACTCACTATTTCTATATGTTCTTTTCTGTATATAACAGAGTATCTTAAAATGGCGAGTGGTCATTTTAACATTCAAACGCGGATAATTCTGGACGCACATGGATTTGAAGGCTCAAATTTCGACGGTGAGAAATAAAAAAAATAGAGGCCTGCTATTGTTTAGTTAAATTCTTAGATTTTTTAGCCTTTATTATAATGTCAATTTCAGCGATTATTATTTAAAATGATATAGTTCCGGTTTGTTGTTACGTAGACCTATGGTAATATTAACTCAGGGCACCTCCTCCTCCTTTCAAATTTGTTATCATTTTTATACGCCCACATGAAATCGGTCCGTCCACAATTGCTCGTAAACACTCTACAAGACACAATTCTTGACAGATTTTGACAAAACTTGGTATGAGTGTTCGTAATCACCCAAGGATGAACCCTATTGAAAATCAGAAGTATGGAAAATATTTAGTGTAAGTTATTGCCCTTGTTCTTGAAAACGCGTTCAATTTTTAGCTTGTACACATTCTAGAAGGCTCAATTCTAGACAGATATTGACGAAACTTGGTGAAATTGTTTATCGTCACTCGTGGATGAACCCTGTCTAAAATAAAAAAAATTGAAATATTTTTCATAGAATTTATTGCCCTTGTTCTTTAAAACTCTTTCAAATTTTAGCTTTTAAACACTAAAAGGCATGATTCTTTGTTTTATTATTTAGTACCGCGCTGAAGATTGAATATTTGCCTTCTAGAGTTTTCACGAGCTAAAAATTGAACATGTTTTCAAGATCCAGGGCAATAACTCATACTCAATATTATTCAGTATCGCCCTAAAGAGTTCAAAAGAAGTGTATGACTGAAGGTTGAAAATTTCATACTGGTGATTGTTACTGTACTGCTAAATATTTTTATTCAAAATTAAAGCTGCCTGTGGGCGTATATTACCAAACTATCTTACATAGTGAAAGAATTGCCTGTGCTTTAAGCTACCGCTGGGTGTGATTAATTTGTGTAAAAATAGACCTGGCCTAGGCGTGTATTTTAAATAAATTGGATTTGCCGGCATTAATTGGACAAGGATCTATTCATATATCAAATAATATGTAAGTTAACAAGGCATCTCGTAATCCAGTGGGATAAGCATTATTAATAGAAATAGACCAATAAAAATCAGGTCATTGACATACATTCACTCTTACATTGATTGTCTTTGTTCATATTGAAGTTGCAATATGTAGGTTTACATGTCAATCCATATTAATATGAGGTCAATACTATGTCCAAAGTTCAGTAGATTATCGCTTTGAGTTATATAAAAGATAAAGGTTCTTAATCATTTTCATACGTCCACATGAAACTACAATTTTCAATGGATTTTGATGACACTTGGTATGAGCATTGGAATTGATTAGATCCCCGTCAAGTTGGAGTTTTACGATTTTTCAATGAACAATTTTCAATGAACAACAACAAGTAATGAGTTATTACCTTTAACTTAGTCAAGACGCTTAAAATTTGTTTGCGAGACTACAGTTTCCATATTAAAGTGAAATTTGGCCTGATCATATAATTATATGATGAGATCTTGGACAGTTCGAATTTAAGGATTTATTTGGTGAACAGTTAAACGGATGGGTTTTTGCCCTTAACCAAGTCAAAACACATCAGAACACATAAAATTTTGTATGATCATATATGTATTTGTTATATTGGAAAAGTTTGCATTTGACTAAAAATTTTGAGTTATTGCCCTTGTCTTGAAACATGTCAAATTTGTTCATGCGCTCAATGGAGTCCATTTACATTCCATTTGAATCTTTGTGTGATCATTAGAATTGTTAAGGTCTTGAGTAAGGAGTTGATTACGTTTCTGAGTACTTGCCTTACCTGGCATCTTAACTTTCTTCAGAGCGGGCCTATAGCTTTTATTAGGCCTATATTGTGAAATGAAAAGGAATAGACAAAGCTTTCAGAATGATATCATTTGAACTCATTCCACATTTTATGCTTAATATGAAAAGTATATGAAATATTAACAAGTGGTTGCCTAGCAAGTTACGCCCACTTTCCTGATACATTTTCAGTATATCAAGGACAGTCACCTATCTGTGTCAAATCATACCAAAAATCTAATTTGTGCAAGATATTGTTGATTTAAACAAAGACACATTATTTAATAAAATTCTGACATAAACTGTGACCTCTATCGCCAACAAATTTTGATAAGTTTTTACTAAGTCAAGGGCAATAACTCAAATTCCGTTGATCGAAAAATTGTCAAATTCAATCTTGACTAAGATTTCATCATTATAAATGATCATACCAAATTTCATTAAAATAGGATGAAAACTGTACTCTCTATTGTGATCACAACCAAATCTTGACGCGTTTTTCATAAATCAAGGGCAATAACTCAAAAACCGTTCATCGAAAGATCGTCAAATTCGAACTTGTCCACGATCTCAACATTATAGATATTCACACCAAATTTCATTTAAATTGGATGAAAACTGTAGTCTCTATAACTCAAGAACTTTTCATCGAAAGATTGCCAAATACGAACTCGTCCAAGATCTCATCATTATAACCATTCACACCAAATTTCATTTAAATTGGATGAAAACTGTAGTCTCTATTGTGTTCACAACCAAATTTTGACGCGTTTTTCATAAGTCAAGGGCAATAACTCAAAAACCGTTCATCGAAAGATCGTCAAATTCGAACTCGTCCAAGATCTCATCATTATAAATATTCACTCCAAATTTCATTTAAATTCGATGAAAACTGTAGTCTCCATTGTGTTCACAACCAAATTTTGCACAAGTCATTCTTTCACTATGCAAAATCTGATTTAAATATAGGCCTAGGCCGAAATTTGCTGATTCTTACACCGGCACAATTTTTCGGGTTTTAAAACATTTTTTATCACCAGCAAATATTATTATAGTAAATGGGACTCATGGATATTTTTGCAGTTCAATAACGTCCCTTATTTTGACTTAATGTTATGATTTATCTGCCAATCTCCTAACGATGAACTGCAAATTTGGTGGATAAATTGGAGGTTGGTCTTATTAGTGTGCCTTAAAGCTATACCAGCTGAATGAAGATAATCTTTTCAGAGGCTTATAGACTTTTCGGACTTGTTAAATTTGTTGATCTTGGCGCATCTTTTTGCATGGCTAGAGGAAAAAAACATGAATCGAACGATGCGATCTGCATTTTGACTAACTTCTTTTTCGACCTTCATTGGATGCTACTAAACCAGTGCTACTATAAGAGAGTTTTTCTTATAAAACCTTATACCAAATTAAATCTTAACTTAAATTGTATGCGATGGATGCTCTTGTGGTCAGATATTTATAAAAGTTTTGGACTCAATGATAGGGCCTATTGTACGGAAGCGTATTAGGGCCATTAATTTTTTTTTTTTTTTTTTTGAATTTTCAAGTTAGTATGTTGAATTTTCAAGTTAGTATGTTGAATTGTCAAGTTAGTATCTGGAATTTTCAAGCTAATATGTTGAATTTTCAAGTAAGTATCTTCAAGTTAGTATGTTGAATTTTCAAGTTAGTATGTTGAATTTTCAAGCTAGTATCTTGAATTATCAAGCTAGTATCTTGAATTTCAAGCTAGTATGTTGAATTTTCAAGTTATGTTAGTATGTTGAATTTTCAAGTTAGTATGTTGAATTTAGTAACTTGAATTTTCAAGTTAGTATGTTGAATTTTCAAGTTAGTATGTTGAATTTTCAAGTTAGTAACTTGAAAATTAAACGATTTTTCAAGTTAGTAAAAATTCAAGATACTAACTTGAAAATTGAAGTAACTAACTTGAAAATTGAAGTAACTAACTTGAAAATTCGAGTTACTAACTTGAAAATTCAACATTCTAACTTGAAAATTCAACGTACTAACTTGAAAATTCAAAAAAAAAAAAATGAATGGCCCTAATGTGTATAATACGCTTCCGTACTATTGATACGCCTACTCATATATGATTAATTATCCTGTGGTAGTTTTTAGTGTGTGATTGAAATTCGTCTCGTGTGCAAACTTCAACGTAAATGTGTCATCCAGGATACTTGTGCAAGAATTATTTGAGTTCGCTTTCTTAACAAGTCTTCCTTTTGATTACAACGTAAATTGTATTCATCATATTATGTCACATGACAGGAAAATTGTGTAGGCACAATAGCTGACATAATTTTTACCTGGTTTTTCCAAGTAGCATATCACTCGTGACAATATTCGCTAAGCTAAGACATATATTTAGTACGGTAACCTATTCAATTACTGCAGTAGGCTACATCTCATTGTGAAAACTGATAATTATTGTTTTTTAGGCTTTCTTGGCCTTGCTTGGACTCAAGATTCGGGTTTTTAATTGCTCGTAATTCAAGAAAGTGTTTGAATAAGATTACACCTCATTAGATTTATAACATATCCACTTAAACAAAGAGAATGGATAGGGCTTATGTCAGTATTATGAGTTTATGTTAGACGGAATCACACACTATTGGACTGGCCTAGTTTTTTTTTTCTCCTGTAAACAGAATGATGAACTTTGACCAGCTGAACGAGATATTAAGCCCCGCCCAAATACGTTTGATTGGACAGTTTCTAAGATATACTTCATTGATTGGTCAAACATAGTTCATCCACGTGATTACATTGTGATATCACAACACGGTGAAACCAATGTGCAGAAAACTCATGATAAAGACGAAGATATTCAACTTATTAAGATTATTTTTTCGTGGATTATGTGATTGATATGACAGAATGTTGTTTCATGTTTCTCTACCAAATTCACTTATATTGGGCGTAGAAGTAGATCCGAAAGCTAATGGCCAAGAGTGCCTAGACAAGGTAAGTGCAAAGCTTGATGAACGTCTGAAGTGAAAAAAAAAAAGTAGAATGAACGATGACAGATAATCTAATATTATTTTAACTGAGCTGTCCACTAACTATTAGATTTATGTGTGCATTCCCATGCATATTTTACACTCTTCATGTGTATTGCGATGAAAGCATTGAGTATATGTTAAACTGATAATGAAATGTCAATCGGTATGCTTCAGCTATCAGCTGTTCGGTCAATTCACCCAGCTGACAATATGGCCGTATCAGGGTCCAAAGTCCAACTCAACAACCTAATCGAAGCACAAATTTCGACTCGACTTATTTCAAAACTTATTATTTATATATGCGATTTCTGGTTTTTATCGGCATATTAATAATGATTTTTATGTTTTATCGTTTTTATTCATACATTATTAATATTAGTCTCTAATATTTTACTCTAAATCTCAATATTATTTAATAATTATTGTGCCTACTAGTACTTATTACTACACCTCATTATCCAGTGAGTAATCTCACTTGTGTAATCTTGAGCTTGATCCCGTGTTAAAGGGATATGGGAACTCATGCTAAGCCAGTGTACTGAAACGCTGAGTTGGGATTAGTGGAACAATAGAGTACCACAAGATTAAAATTAGTGTTAAATTGTTCTCCAAATACCCCAAAGTGTAGTGTTATCTCAGTGTCGTCCAACACTTTGCATTGAGGTTAGAAGTCGAGTTAGTGTTACACTATAGTGCTACTCACTGTAAGGGGAAGGTAGCTGCTGTTACAGCAAATTAATGAGAAATATTTTGTTTAATAGATATGTGAGCAGCTAGATATTATAGAAGTTGATTATTTTGGTTTGATGTATAAAGGTTCCAAGAGTGAAAACTTATGGTTAAATTTACGCAATAGAATAGATGATCAGCTATCTGGACCTCCACCACATCAACTACAAATAAAAGTCAAATTTTTTGTCAAGCCACACTATATTCTGCAAGAATCCACAAGGTGTGTATTGCATTTCCAAGTGGAATAAAAAAATTTTTTTCGTAAATTGTCCATTACTTTGAAGTAGAAGATCATTCCAACCCAACACAAAATTTTGCTTTAGATATTGCTTGAATTAAGTGAGAATTTGCTGAATTATGAACATAAAATGTTTAATACAAAGCTTATAGATTTAATATAATATGTGAAATGAATCACATAAAGCATACATAGGCTACATCTTGTTTGATGTGTCTCATTGGAAGATCCAGATTTTTTCATCGGTCTCTGTGGCCTGAAATACTGACTGACAAGATAAATTGAAAAGAGATCATTTTCTCTCCCAATAAGAATTTTATAATGACTCTGTTTGTCATAGCTGATATTTTATCTCAATCTTTTTTTTGTTCTTTCAGGCATTTATTTTATCTTCAAGTGAAACAAGAATTACACAATCATGTTTTAACAGTTGAAGATGAGAATAAAGCTTTAAATATGATCGCTTTGATAGCTCAGGCAGAATTTGGTGATCAGAATCATAATTTTTATCAATTGAATAAATATAAAGATGTTTTTAAAGGACTTTGTGAGTTTACTGCCGACAATGTACATAAAGTGTTTGAATGTCATACAGGATTATGTGGAACCACAGCTGCCAATGCTGAATATAAACTATTACAAGAGGCTTCTGAACTAGACAATTATGGCATGGAAACACATATTGCTCGCAATGGAAATTATGAAGAAATTGAAATTGGTGTCGGTCCAACAGGATTTTTTGTGCACAATTTGGCTCATCATACTACTCAAATGTAAGTAGAATCACTTTCAGCAATTGTTTTATTGATGTAAAGATAGACATTTTTGTTCAAATGTACTATATGCTTATTTCTAATAGCATTAATGGTCAGAGTCTTTATTTCTCAATGATGGGTAAGGGTTATATGTGGTAACAGATTGATGCAAGACTTATCTCTGAAACCATCTTACTTTTGTAATTCTTATGATGAATGAGTATTGCTTAAACATGTTGTTAACAGTTTGAATCACTGTTTATTATCGTAATGTCTATATATTTTTCAGGGTGGCCTATCCTTTAATACAGATGGCAACCTATATGGATAAATCAGTGGTTCTGAAAATTTATGACACTGATGGAGAACCTAAAAACACGATGGGTTTTAGACTAGTCAGTAAGAAAGCTGCTAATGCCTTATATAGAAGTGTAACAGAAATGCACTCCTTCTTCCGCTGTGATACTGTTAGAAATGATGTCTCCACCCAGTTCAGTAGAGATTTGAAAGGAACATTGGCTTCTTTATTTAATGAAAATACAGATCTGGGTAGGTTTTGATGGTGTGTCTGTCACATATTTCTCTGTATTTTTAGGTAGGGATAGAGGAGGGTGGAAAAATCCTGAGATTAGAAAATTAACTGATATTAAATCTTTTCTAGCAGAATTTGATATAATTACTTTCAAGGATCAGTTGATAAAGTAATAAATCATTTATTTTTCAGGTAAAAAATATGTTTTTGATATAAGAAGAACATGTAGGGAAGCATATGATCATGCCAGAAGAAAGTTACATACTAATTCACAAATGGCGTCCACTAATAATACAGTAGAAGAGAGGTCTCCATTACAAGTTCATACTGTAAATAATGAATTGCAGTTAAATACACATACTAAACTAGAAGAAATAGAGGTAAGATTACTAAAAATTTACCCTAGATGACTTAACAGACAAAATCTTAGTTAGAAAGGCTTAGATAACAGTCATATCTTATTTAGAATGGTTCAGATAACAGTCAAATCTTATTTAGATGACTCAGATAACAGCCAAATCTTATTTAGAATGGCTCAGATAGCAGTCAAATCTTATTTAGATAGCTCAAATAACAGTTAAATCTTATTTAGATTGGTTCAGATAACAGTCAAATCTTTTTTATAATGTCTCAGGTAGCTCTTTATACTATTGGAAAATAATACATGGCTTACAAATTTCATTTTCAGATGCTGAAATCTAAGCTCCAGTGTATTGAAGAAGGGTTTACATGTTTGGTATGTAGAGACAATTCCATTCAAACAGCTCTGTGTCCTTGTGGTCATGTGATATGTTGCCAGAGTTGTGCTGAACAGTTAACAGAGTGTCCCATGTGTCGCAGCCAGATAGACAAAATACAGCGTGTGTTTATACCTGGAATACAAGGAACAGATTCTCAACGTATTGACATTGCCTGTGCTGTTACAAGTAGTGAAACATGATAAATACTAACAAATTTTATACTCATTTTAAAGTTCTTTCACTTGCCTCACAAACTGTTTTCAACTTGTTACAGGATTAAAATTGATGGAAAGATTATGTTGTAGGTAATATGATAGTTGTATCTTTTTCTCTATTTTTTTTCTGTAATAATTGCCACAATGTTGAAATCCAGTTTTCAATGACTTATATGCATTAACATAAATATACTTTTAAAAAGAAATCACAAATCATCCATCAATATCAAGGTACCGCATGCATTAAAATTCTAGATACTAAAGTCACAAATGAAATTCAATTACATTGCTTAAATGTCTCTAACTAGAGCCAAATTCAGGTGGTATAGGAGGATAATAACAGCCAAATGCAATTTTTTATAGAGGATGTATAGGATATTTGTCCTAAACTTTCTATCTCTCTACACAGCTTTTTAAGCCCAGTAAAAGAGAGTCTGTTATACTGTCCTATTTCCTTCAAAATGTACAACATTATGGTACTTTATCTTTCAAAAAATTAAAATATCAGGTATATTTGTTTGAAGATTAATCAATATTATCTATTTGTAGTATATTATGTATGTTTATTACGATGAATTAAGAGTCTTGATGTAGCCTGTTAATCATGTATGGCTTTACATTTCCTCAAACAACCAAAGTGAATATCATAAATGTGGTATTTTCTTACGAGGATATGATTTTAAGTATCAGAGTTAATTGTAATCTTTTCCTCTATATTAATTTGACCGTAGTTTAGTAAAAGGGAAATGGGTGCGAATAATTTAATTCACACTATTTTTTTGCACATTTGTTACAAAATGAGTCTGAGAGTCTGAAAATAGGGTCTGAAAGCCACATAAAATTGTGATGTTATTCTGAAATGATCTCCACTTGTAAGAAATATATTTTCAAGTAAAATGTAAATATGCAATCTTATATACAAAATACCTTGCCTCTACATATCATTATATCTATAAAATAGATGTCATTCTGAAACATATCATATATTCATCATTCCATATATACATTCAATTGTAAAAAACTTTACTTTAATCAAAAGTTGCAAGAATATTTATAGCAACCATAAATGAAATCATCATGGATTACTTGATGTATTTTTTGTTTCGTACCGTTTAAACCCCTGGTACAAATCAGAACCTTCGTTACAACATGTAAATTAAAGGTATTGTAAAGAGGTTTTCTAAATTTTGTATGTGTATTGGGGACGATGATCGCTTCTATTTTTGCCATTCCAATTTTCAATCAGACGTCTGTGTTTAATGACATAATCCTCGCAAAGTTCTTATGTGAATCAACCAAATTTTGCAGGTGTGATGTCTTAAAGCACTTAGTTCTAGTGGAATTGCATGACGTCTGATAGAAAATTGGAATGGTGCAAATTGATGCTATTAGTATCCCTGATGCGCATAAAAAAATTAGAAAACTCTTTACAATCATGTTTCACTAAGTAAAGTTTGACATTTCTAACATTTTTGTAAACTGGATGTGAGTTGTCCTAGGGGTTCTAGTAGAAACTCAAGGTTACTAAATGATTTGTTTTTCTAAAAAAGAAAACTCATTGAAAAAAGCACATTCTTATAACTTACTTTTGACATTTAACGTCAATTGTTGAATAAGCTCCCTTTTTTAATGCCATTTTAAAGATATTGTTTTTGTAAGCATATCAAATTCAACATTCCATTTCTAATAGTTACATCTTAAAATGCTTATCTAGTCTATGTATATGTGTCAGGAACACATATAGCTTCTTAAAGCACCATTTCATATGATTAACTAGTCTTTAATATATTAATGGAAATGTATGTGTGTTCCTTATATAATACATTACTTGAAAACTTCCTCTCAATCCCATGGATTCATCTTATTTACAATTCTACTAAAATTATTTATGTCTCTTTGACAAAGCTACAAAATGCAAAACTTTCTTAGGCAGAAAAAAAGACAATATATCTAAATGGATTTTAAATGGGTTATGTGCCTCTCAGGAATTTGTAAAGATTTTTTTTTTATCAGTCTGTTCATTTGATCTGAATTGAGCTATATTTTCCAAATATTTTATATAAATGTGATATATGAATGTTTTGTAAATGCCACTAATGTCTCAGGGATTGTCATAAAAAAATAAATTATTTATAGATGATATATTGATATATGGTTAAGAATCTTAAACTTTTTCTGTCGGAATTGCCTTTATACAGTGCCTTTCTATTCTTCAATAATTCCAATAGAATATACAATGGGAACAAATATTAATTTGGATTCAATGCTAAAATCAGAACATTATTTTTGAAAAGTTGTGCATTGTAGCTATAGCCAGTATAGTTTACAAGTTTTAAGTTGTTAATTTCATTGTTAAATAGCTCGGACATAAACTCATTTCCTTTTATGTTTTTTTTTTCTTCACATCATATTCATTTATCCTTTTATTTATGTATCAAGTCTTTCATGTCATTGTAAATTAATGATATCAATAATAAATTTCATAAAAAAAACCTGGGATATTATCTTTTCCATATGATTACCTTACAAATTGTATTATCCATGTTTTCAATGATTTGACACAGCAACAATAGATGAAGTAGATGTAAGGAATCATTACATCTTTACTTCCAAACTGATACTTTCTGTATCTTTTTGAAAGCCAATAAAATAATAATACTCATGAACAGTGAAACGAGAGAAAACTATTTTTATTGAAACTGACCCTAACCTGATTGCTACAGATCAGATATATAAGCCGATCAACATTAATATTATCTCTTGCAGAAAGGTAAAACCGCCTAGATTCGGACAATGAAGAAGGGAAATTGGGTTGAAAATAACTAATGTCCTTCTAACCCAACCGTTATAGGCCGTTGCTTTTTGGTAAAAAGGCAAAATCGTATCAAGAATTACAAATGCATTATTTTCAACTACAATATTTATTTGTCAAGCAAACCTTAACCAATAATACCAGCGGAAGAAGAATGGATCTTAAATATAGCTGCACCTTCCTTCGGGATATCTGTAAATTTAAAGCTCTTCTGACCAATTGTTATTGTAAAGGATTGCTTTATTTGCCAGCTGTCGTTGATAACTATCAATATGATGTTGTTATCTGGATTTTTGAATGCAACTGAATGAAGAGTACCACCTTCTCCAACATCACTGGTAGATTCTATTCTTACAGCACCCCTTTGAACGAATTTCGTAAAATGTTGAAGAATGTAATACTCCACGTTTTTTTCAAATGTGGATTTGCCTTTAATTGTTAGAACGCCTCGACAGTCTTTACAGCCACATCCTCTGGAACAACCCGGGGTGGTTAAAACAGGTCCATGGTGCTCATCTAATGCCAAGTTCCATAACAAAACCGTTTTAGCGAAAACTCTTGGCTGTCCAATAAAGAGATTGACAAAGTTCCATCTGAAGACTCTCTTCCAAGTAGTGTCTGCATTTGAACCAGTACACTCTGTGAAGTATATCCCTTTATCGGGATGTGCATGAACAACTTGAAGCGGTGCTTTACGATCACCACCGTAGCAATGAAACGCTGATCCTGCAATAAACATTTTTGCTTGTGGGTCGTTTAGAATACTTATAGGATATTCAGGATGATCCCAATTATGGTCGTATATGATGATTTTGGTTGAGATATGGGCACTGGAGAATTTTGGTCCTAAAGTTTTTACTAATTCCTTTTCATCTCCGGCATCTAACTTCATCGTTGGATAACCATCCGCTTCGAAACCAGGTTCGTTTTGTACAGTGATGGCGTAGATGGGAACATTTTCGTTCTTATACTCTTGTAGAAACTTGACCAAATAAGTTGCATACTCATCTTTGTATTTCATGTTGAAGGATCCTCCATTAAGTGTCGAATGGCTTCGATCCCAAAATGGTGCGTACTTCATCCATGCCGGTGCGCTCCAGGGAGATGCTATTATCGCCAATTGGGGATTAATTGATAAAGCCTGTTTTAAAATTGGAAGCATGTATTCTTTATCTTTCCGAATACTGAAATCGTTTAAATTTCCTGAGTCAGCATAAGTATAAGGTTGTCCTGGTAAAAAATCAGAGCCATCAATAGGAATGCGGATGACATTGATTCCAATACCTTTTGTTGCAGAAAACAGCGATTCCATTATATCATTCCTACGAGTATTGCGATAGATCAAATAAGCTGAGGAATGGGTCATTGCAGCACCAAATCCCAACATCTTTTGGTGGTGTATTGTGGGATCAACAGTTATTCTATTTCCTTGTGCATTGGTAGGAGATAAACAACCAGACTGCAGGAGGTTTTTCTGTTGTGGGAAGCCTTCTAGATCACTAACCCAATACTGCATTTCACTGAAATTTAAATAAGTACACGTTTAGGTCTAGATGTGCGTCAATTAGACATAACTCTTGCTTTTGAGACATTTTAGATAGATTCTTTCATATAGGTCCAATTGCACAATGTCGTCTTATTTGTACATCGTTGATGAATCAAGATGATGACACGTTTATTAGTTTAATCAATGGCAATTTTCTAGCACTAAGACTAATAACTATACTTATATTATATTAGTGGATGTATGTTTTAAAAAAAAAAACAAACCCATTATGGCAGGCATCAATTCTCATCAATATGATTAGTAAAACCACTATTGTTTGTCCAATCCACATGGTTAAATCTGAAATTTAGAAAAAAGAGTTGTTGAAAGTAGCATTCGCCTGATTCGTTACTGAATTTTGATGCTGAATTTTGACGTAATGTTATGAAATGCAGATCTTGATAATTCTTTTTACTTTTTTTTCTTTTTTTTACCTTTTCTAATGATTAGGCCCACTCCACTCAAAACAAGATCTGAATCTACTCTTTTATACCAGTTCATACTAAAAGTATTGTGAAGTGTATGAATTAAATATGACTATTACAGGATAATGATAATATTTTTTCCACTTTTGATAGCTGAAAGTCGATGAAAGAAGCCTGAAGCAATTTGAATTAATTGAAACTGCAATTAAATTTCTTTTAGTTTTAATGTCTGTTTCTTAAAATACTATTTCAATAATAATATAGGTTTTTACAACACGTATTTAATTTTCTCGCGGGCCCAGTGAATAGATGGAACAATACAGTTCACCAATTAATAGCTTAAAACCAATTGATCAGAACGACAATTTCCATTCGCGGAGGAGGAGGAATGAATAGCATTTGTATGTATTTGTATTCTTCAATATAGTTTTTTAATTACTGACTAACCATAAACCATTAGAATTCACCCTAATTAACCATCTTAGCTGAAATGAGAGCTATAGATGTTGCGTCTGCAGCCATATCGTTTCAAAGTAGCAGAGGAGTTTGGGATTCAAGCTTCTTTTTATTGGTTTACAGTTGATATTTATCATTTCTATTTTGACAGAATTATCATTTTGTTTCATGAAATTTGCTTTTAATCGTTTGTGTGTAGGCTACTAAATTATAATTTTGATTTCTAGTTGTTATTTTTGTTTTCGAAAAACTTAACGAGATATATTACCCATATTTAACGCACAGATGCAGGGATCTGTATTTCCCACTCTCAATGCAAACATATATATTTATTGTATGCTCAAACTCAACATAAACATAAGATCAATTTTTCTCAAATCAACAGAATCATATGAGTTATATTGCCCACATTCAACAAAAACATACTATTTATAGTGCTCCAACTCAACACAAACATAAGATCTATATAGCTCAAATTCAACATAAGATCTACATATTAAGATGTATATTGCTCAGACTGAACACAAACATAAGGTCTATATTGCTCAAACTCAACGCAAACATATTAAGATCCATGGAGTTCAAACTCAACATAATCATACAATTTATAATGTTCAAACAAACATAGGTTTATATTGCTCAAACCGTGCACAAACATAACATCTATATTGCTCAAATTCAACATAATCTTAAGATTTATAGTGCTCAAACTCAACATAATCATAAGATTTATATTACTCCAACATAATATTTATATTGCCCACATTCAGCGAGTCAGGGCTACTGTACCTCATACGTCAGTACGTCAGTGAGTTCGTCACTCAGTCACATTGGAGTCAGGGCTACCTCATACGTCAGTACGTCAGTGAGTTCGTCACTCCGTCAGATTGAAGTCGGGGCTACCTCATACGTCAGTGAGTTCGTCACTCCGTCAATGACATTCAACACAAACATAAGGTTTATATTGCTTACATTCAAGATCTATATTCCTCACTCTCAATTAAAAATTATATATATATATTGCTGAAACTCAACATAATCGTAAGATTTCTATTGCTTACATTCAACACAAACATATGGTCGGTATTTCCAACTCTCAAGAGATTTATCGCTATCTTTATTGCTGCCGAGGGCACCAATTATTGGAACCCATGCAACACGGTTTTTAGAGAATTTGACTCCCCACAACTTCGGGTTGCAATTTCGACTAGTTGATTTTTTCAACTGCTATGTAGTGCTATGCAAGTAAATCAGTTAGTAACTACATTTATATAATTTGATGTATATTACATAATGTCATGCTGAACACACTTGAATGTAGCTAACTGTTCTAAAAAGGAACTTCAAGAAGATATGCATTTAATTTATGATGCTACATGGCACTTAAAGTCAAATACTACATATTCAATGCATTATTACAGCTTGATTGGTGATTCAACATCAGTAAGGACACCTTCTTTTTACGACCCTTAAACTTTAATTCCCGGAAATACTAAAAATAGTATTAAGTAGTGAGCACCATGTTTATTATGCAATTACTTGCATAAGGGTTTTCAACTATAGTTGAAAAAACTCGACCACGACTGGTGAACAAAATATGACTGACAATTTCCACTAATTGGGGCGACTTCGGGGCCTCCTATCTATCTATCTTATAAAATAAACAATTAATACATTGCAAGGCAAGATCAGCCAATTTCTATTCCAGTGGCTCAACAAAGGGCAATATTAGGTCTTAATTTAAGAAAATAAGGCCATATGACTGATATGATTGTCTATGAAGGCATGAACATGAAATGAAAACTAAGACCTTTACTACATATAGGACAGCAGAGTACCAGTGCATGTCTTTTAATCCTACGACCGATTCCGAGATACTGTCAAACAGTCCAACAGATCATTAAATCATCACAGGCATTAAATTGACTTATAGAGGGGTATCAGAATGCAGGAGAGCAAAATATGTTAAAAAAAAATAATTTCCCGGGGAAGGGGTTCTAACACACTTTAGTTCTCCGATATTTAAAAAGGGCGACAAGAGCAAGATCTCAAATTATCGACCGGTGTCACTGACTGTAAGGTGTTGGAGCATATTATCCACAGACACCTTATGAACTTTAAGCAGTATGACATCCTTATCGACTACCTACATGGGTTATATATATATATATACGAAAACAACGCATCACCCCATACTAGGCCTAGGAAGAAGATGAAGATGGCGATGGCTGTAACTACAAAGGCTAATTAAGTAGGCTACCAGGGAGTCCATATTTTCAACAACCTGCCATGGGCAGTGTGCGTAGGAAAGCAAACAATAACCTCTCATCTTGCCCTACTTGCACCAGGGACAGCTACTACAAGACATTGGCCAGACCCCAGCCCTCACACCAAAAAGAACATTGATAAATTTGAGGCAGTGTAATGAGGAGCAGCTAGGTTCGTGACAAATAACAACACCACCAGTAGTGTCACAGTGAAGTTATATCGAGAGAACCTGCAGCAATGCAAATTAAGATCGATGGTCACAATGATGTACGTTGCCCATTCTCTCGTGGACATCGAAATGCCCGTTCAATTCAGGCAGGAGCAGCCACCACCACCTATACAAGGAATCTTTCTTTCCCACTACCATCAAATATGGAACCAGAAGCTTGAGAGTGTCATCTCTGTCGAGTCCTTGGATTCCTTCAAGACATTGCATGTTTTTATCATTTTTTTTAGGGTGTGTAATCCCCCTCGCTTTTTATACGCCCACATGAATATGTGGTCGTAGATTGTCGTTGCCCCTGTCTGTCGGTCCGTTCGTCAACATTTCTTGTGGGAACAATAGAGACTGCAGTTTTCATTTGATTGTAATATAACTTGGTGTGGGCATTGGGATTGATAAGACGGCGTCAAGTTCGAATTTGACGATTTTTCGATGAACGATTTTTAGTTATTGCCCTTGACTAAGTAAAATCGCGTCAAAATTTTCTTATGGGCACAATAGAAGCTACAATTTTCAATGGATTTTGATGAAACTTGGTGTAAGCATTGGGATTGATAAGATGGCAGTCATGTTCGCGTCAAAATTTTGTTGTGGGCACAATTAAATAGAAGCTACACTTTTCAATGAAATTTTGCATAAATATGTCTATTCTATTCTATTCTATTCTATTCTATTCTATTCTATTCTATTCTATTCTATTCTATTCTATTCTATTCTATTCTATTCTATTCTATTCTATGCTATGCTATGTGGTTAGCTTAGCTTAGCTTAGCTTATTTTTCTGATAATCGATAGGGTTCATCCTTGGGTGATAACGAACACTCACACCAAGTCTCGTCAAAATTCGTCAAGAATTATTCCTTCTAGAGAGTTCACAAGCTAAAATTTGTACGCGTTTTCAAGAACAGGGGCAATAACGCATACTTTGATTTTGATGTCAATTAGTCTTTAAGAAATTGCGAGAGCGGGGATATTCAAAACGATATCTCCGCAGCATTAAAAGCAAAACTCTTTCAGGAATTGAGAATCGGAACACAATCCTCGTTCCGGTAAACTCTAATCAATCTTTCGGATCACGGCCGTGCAGATCTACAAGATGTAGAACCTGCGAGCATATTTTAACAACCAATTCTTTCTCTCATAAACATAACGGTAAACAATTCCCTATTAACGGTGAGCTTTCTTGTACCAGCACAAATATCACTTTACCTAATTTCTTGCGACAAATGTCATTTACAATACGTAGGCGAAACTAAAAACTCTTTGAGAGAAAGAATTAACGGCCATCGTTTCAACACCTCCCATCATCTGGATAAACCTATTGGGAACCATTTCAACTCTCCCAGCCATTCCCTCGCAGATATGAAGGTGGCGCCCATTGAAAAGGTCATCGCAGAAGAAGACACCAACCCTAAAAGTTCAAGACTATACAGGGAGAGCTTGTGGATGAGTCAACTAAAAACTATTTCACCCTGTGGACTAAATATTACGGAAGCGTATAAGGGCCATTCATTTTTTTTTTTTTTTTTTTTTGAATTTTCAAGTTAGTATCTCGAATTTTCAAGTTAGTAACTTTAAAATTCGAGATACTAACTTGGAAATTCAAGATACAAACTTGAAAATTCAACATACTAACTTGAAAATTCAAGTTACTAACTTGAAAATTCAAGTTACTAACTTTAAAATTCAAGTTACTAACTTGAAAATTCAAGATACTAACTTGAAAATTCAAGATACTAACTTGAAAATTCAAGTTACTAAATTCAAGATACTAACTTGAAAATTCGAGATACTAACTTGAAAATTCAAGATACAAACTTGAAAATTCAACATACTAACTTGAAAATTCAAGATACTAACTTGAAAATTCAAGATACTAACTTGAAAATTCAACATACTAGCTTGAAAATTCAACATACTAACTTTAAAATTCAAGTTACTAACTTGAAAATTCAGCATACCAACTTGAAAATTTAAGATACCAACTTGAAAATTCAAGTTACTAACTTGAAAATTCAACATACTAACTTGAAAATTCAACATACTAACTTGAAAATTCAAGTTAATAACTTGAAAATTCAACATACTAACTTGAAAATTTAAAAAAAAATAAATTGAATGGCCCTAATTCGCTTCCGTAAAATATACAGTTTGATTCTCAAATAATCCCATTTGTTGCTCCATTCAATAACATTTCTTGCCAAGCATCCCGAATTATCAAAAGATACTACACAGAGTTACAAAATAAATTTTCCACTATTTTTTACAAAAAATTAGTCATAGCTTATTCGAAAAATAAAAATCTACAGGATATAGTTGTTCGTGGTCGACTTGACCCCACCGATGATGTAGAGTGATCTAACAGAATTAAATATTCTCATTTTCATTGTCTTTGTACTTTATAGTATATAATAGTCTAAAACAATTTACTTTCTATACCTACAGCCATTAATCGCTTTTCTTCATTATTCCAGAAAATTGGAAGCAGTCAGAGTTTTTATGATTCTGTATTTTCCACAGACAGTTGTCCCAATAATGTTATTTCCGTAAATGTAGATTATAAGTATTATGAATTTCTTTATTAGGTCCAAGAAGATTTACAGGATAACCGTTATGATTTTCTTTGATTTAGTTCATTGCATATTAGCATCACAATAATTATTGTAAACATAATTTTAACCCTGTGCCAGTGCCTCATATTGAATAGTAACTGGTTACTCTTCAATCACCCTAATCACTAAATATTTTGCGATTCTTCTGATTTTCAATAGGGTTCATCCTTGGGTGATTACGAATACTCATACCAAGTTTTGTCAAAATCCGTCAAGAATTGTGTCTTGTAGAGTGTTTACGAGCAATTGCGGACGGATCGACGGACGTACAGACATGGGTGACGGCAATATACGCACCCCATTTCATGTGGGCGTACAAAAATGTCTTGGTTAAATTGCTTATGTATTGAAATGAGTTTTTTCCCGTGCATCGCCCACCATAATATCATTGAAAATTGAAGGTTAGTTACCTCCCTTGAAAGAAAATTGAAATGTGTAGTGTTCAGTAAATGAAATTGTTGAAATAGATTCGAGGTATGGCTACAAAGGCAACATATATTATCGGTCAAGTAATCAGACGAGGAGTTGGTCGACCAGACACACTTAAAGTACAATGTACGAAAATGAAGCTCAATTTATATTTATACAAAGTAAGCATAGCTCCATAGAATCGTGGAAGATTATTTTATGGACAGCCATCACAGAAAAAAATTTGGCCTTAATGACTTTTTTGTTTCGTTATTTTTCGTTGTTCTCCATTGTAATCTTAAAGATTTATACTGTTGACGTTCATTTCAATCAGAATCCTTGTCTAAATTTTAACTGGGAAATTTATTGTGGCATAGAGAAACCAAAGTAGAGGGATATGATCACCAATGAGATTATGAGACTGACAATACTCACTTGTAAAAGTGATTCTGATTGGCCCGTGAGTGGTGTGTAATTGTTTGCTATGAAAAGCTGGGAAAGCCACCAGTATGTGGCCTTGCATTATATCTCGCTAGATTACAATGGAGACTTGTAAAAAAAAAAGTGAAATAAAAAAAATTGTAATCTAATTTTAATTAAATTGGAATCGTGTAAACTGCGTCATATAACTTTAATTGATTTGCACCATCCGGTTTATTTTTAGTCTTTAGATCTAAAGCTTGAATTGAGCAAATTCCTTCAGATCAACCAGATCTATATATTTAGTTGATAAGATAACCAATTTAAAGTCCAATTGGCTTGTGAAGATAATGAAATCTTTTTTAAGACGCAATTCCTACTCATATTTGAAAAAGAAGTAAATTGGCAAGTTTGATTAGGAGGACAGTAGATGATCCTACTGATCAATCTGAAGTGAATAAATGATAATTATGCTAGTGACATCATATCCTTTTAAATTGTGTTTCTTATAGTTGTGCATTGAAATTGAGGTTTTAGTTTAGGATATTCTGTGTAATGAAACAGTAATAATAACAGTTAATAAACAATATTTAATATTTATATTTTAGTATTATAACCATATGATCAATATTTGGGCTAAAGAAGATGATGTAAGGAAATGTAAAATTGGAGATATTGTATTGTTAAAGAAAGTGCCATATAATATAACCCCGAGAGTTAGTCATATAATAAATGACATAATATACCCAGTGGGTAATGTAACAGACCCAGTAACTGGCAAAAGATGTCGAGGTATAGATTATATTGATGAAGAAAGAAGAGAAAAAGAAGTTAAGTATTTCCAAGAAGAAATTAGACGGAAAAAAAGTGAACACAACACAACTGAGGATCAATCTGAAGTGAATAAATGATAATTATGCTAGTGACATCATGACATGAATTTCTCATTGCGTTAATAAGTGATAGTTGATTAGTGCAGAAAGATTACTTCATATTGTGTGTGCAGAAAGATTACAAGATGTTTGTCACTCAAATTCTGATTTTATGAGAATAAAGGTTTATATAAAAACAATATTCAGTTTTATTAGTTTGGATGCCTTATGTCTTTCTGTATTTTTGTAGTGGTTTTGTGGTCTTATGGCTATTTAATACAAGATACAGATTAGATTGTAGGCCTATTTTGATGATTGGTAAAACATTTTGGAATGCATCAAATATGGCTTATTTGTAAAAAAAAAATGTACATACTTCAAACTATCCTTACACTGAAAAAGTGATCAATAAACAAAATAATATTTTGCAACAGCATGAACCATTATGAAATAAATTGTAAGATTATTATATGATAAATTGAATCCGTTATTCAGTTTTATTATAGTGATCTGAAAGTATGGCCCTGGTACCAGAAATAATGTTATCTATTTAATATAAGTTTGTGACATTATCCGTCTTATTATTTCCATTATAACCATTTATTGGCACACTATATCACATAATCGGGCATCTTGTCAATCAGTTTTGGATGAATTGAAATATCAGCCTAAAAATACTAGTCAAAGATTTCCATGGAAAAAACTTATTACTTGGTCGTATAACTTTACAAAAAAAAAATTTCCGTGTAACGTATTATTTTCACAGGAAATTCCAAGGAAGGAAGCGTGTAAATTTCAAATGTTAAATTATCAACTTTCTATTTCCACTGACCCAAGACATTCAAAGGCAATGATATGCAATTTTAAATTTTATTTGAATATTTAATTGAGTTTGTAAGGTAACATTTTAACAGTAAATATGAAAATAACATAATATTTCTATCGTTTGGACCGTTTTCGAGAATTAGTCAATCCCATATATAAAAGGAGTCTGGACGATCAAGAGATGCAGAGATAACTCTTACCAAAAAAATAACCGGTTCTACATTTTAACATCTTCAATTTATTTGCCACTAGTGTGTAAGCTTTGAAAACCGTTCCTGTTGACGGTCTTAAACATTTTCTCAGCTTCAATTTCCATCACTAGGCATTAGCTATCAAAAAAGTGTTTGTGAAGACATTAGTAGATGGATATTTAGACAGTTGTCAGCTGGAGTAGACTGAGTCAGAAGAACAAGACCCTGTTATAGTTAAATCGGTATTTTCCACACCTCCAACGATGCATTTTTTCTAACATAATGTTGCGATTGTAAATTAGTGTTGGGCATGAGCGTAACTTTCGTTTTGTTAGTATCATGTGACTGACCTTTGATTTTTTTAAACGGCCGAAGCTAGATCAGTTTTGCCCCAAAAAAATTTGATGAAACCAAAGACATGACATAAATGTTGTACAGGCAGGGAGAAAATGATGGTATGACTGACAGACTACTAGTCTTCTCATATTTTACATTTTCATAATTCTCCAGGTAGGAGCATCAACTGAAATAAAAATGCCTGTTGAAGTTTTAGAGCACGAGCTAGAAGATATATATAATACAGCAGTGGAATTGGCTAGAAAGGCTGGAGAGGTATTGATTTAATTTTTACGTCGAGCTTAAAATTGTTCACGCTTATTAGAAAAACAACACATAAAGTTAATTAAGTATAAACTTCATTAGTTGTCATGAGTTAGTGGTCTTCTATGATGTGAATTGGGAATTTAATGCTGTTCAGACATGTAGCACAGCAAAATCTAACCTTTGACATTGTGACTAATTGTCATAGATGTCTAACTTGCACAAAGAAATCTTCAGGAACATTTAGGTTACTATCAAGGACATAACCCCATCCAAATTGATTAATCTTAGCTTATATAATTTCACTCATTACCTTTGTTTGAGCAAGATGAAAATATACATTATATCATTATATATGATAATATGATGCTATAAACCAATATGCAGGCTATCAGAGAAGCATTTTATAAAGAAAAGAATGTGGAAATAAAACAAAGTGCTGCAGATTTAGTAACTGAAACTGACCAGGCTGTAGAGAAAATGATTCAAGATTTGATAATGAAAAAATATCCTCATCATAAGTATGTACCTGCATTTTATAATAAGGTTAATCATTTTCAAACTTTCCTCAAATTTTAGAAGGGACATTCTAATTATTAGTTTTATCTTGTAAAAGAGCTTAATTTTATCTGTCTATAAAGCTCCTGCGCTACAGTTAAATGAAATGCACAATGTAGATTAAGATTATCTTCAGACTGTTACTGTTATAATAAGATATTTTTCGTTGGATTGTAGCTGAAATTTAGCTTCATCAGTGTTAAGTTAGGGATTGAATATGAGATTTATTATCATTGTATCCATAGGACATTTATTAGTCACATTATATGCCTGGTTTGATATATTCTGTTATGTCCTGTTGTGATAATATTTAAAGCGAGTGATACATGTTGCTTGGTTGGCAGAGTTCTTACAGTAAATTTAAGATCAGGATGATCAACAATATGAATAATTTTAGTTTATAATACATAATTATATACACTGAAAAAATTATGGTCCTTTGTTTACAGATTTATTGGTGAAGAAACTGTATCAGCTGATGGGTCAGCCTGTTCACTAACTGATGATTTTACATGGATTATTGACCCTGTAGATGGAACAACAAACTTTGTTCATAGGTAAATTTAATCTTGTCCTTTACAATCTTTTGTACTCTGATAAATACTTGTTAATGCTCATATACCATACACTTTGCTCACTTTGTCTGGAATAAAACAATAACATTTTTGGCATGTGTGATGTGCCTTGTATGACATAAATATATGTATTAAATATTCACATTAAGGAATAGGAATGCTGCCATGAACTATTGGATTCAATCTAAATAACAATTGTACTGTACTTAGGGTGTGAAAAATTATTTTATATGCCTATACATTTTCAATTAAACTATGCAAATATAAAATGGACTGCTCTTTTTTATGTCTTGCAAGACTTAATGATTATCATGAATTGTTTCAGCATACCTGAAGTCGCCTTTTCTTGTGGAATACTGGTAAATAAACAGGTAGGAATAATTATTTTCTGGTTGATAGATAGATAGATTACATAGTAATAGGCTATGGAGGTTGTATGTATGGAAGATATGGTATAATCCCACCTTTCCCATACTATGGCATGAAATTTTGTTTTACTAAGTAAACCTTACTTATAACAAGTGAACAGGATATAAAACTAAATGTGATTTGTTACATAGGTTGTTATTGGTGTAATTTATGTACCTATATTGGACCAGATGTATACAGCCAAAAAAGGTCAAGGTTCATTTGTAAATGGTAAAAAATTATCTGTTAGCTCTGTTAAAGGTAAGTCAAATAAAATATTCATATACTGTCCTAACTACATTCTGGAATACATCAAAACCCTATTAATAGGGTTTAGGCACAATTTGACAACTAATTTCAATGGGTGGGCATGTCTTTCAGCAGCTTATTAGTGTAAAATTGCATAAATATTGTTTCAGTACTAAATATTATGTTTCAGAATTAAAAAGCGCAGCTATTATTATGGAAGGTGGTAGCTCAAGAGATCCTGATGTATTATCTACTAAAATCAATAACATTCATTCTGTTTTAAAGTCATGTCATGGGTAAGTATAATTTTGTATTTTATTCAATATTGAAACAATCATTGAAATGCAGCAATTCCCAATCATACCATAATTGCCTTCAACATTTTATGTGGTAAACGAGTTGTTGGTGGTTCAATAATTGATTTTGTAATTTTTCTATGTTTTTATGCTATTCATACACATGTTCTTCTAAATCTCTTATCGCTACAGTGGAGTTCAATCCTTAATCTTATGTTGTTATTGTGTAATAGGATAAGAGCATATGGTTCAGCAGCTATTAATTTATGTAAAGTAGCCAGTGGTATGTATGAAGCGTATGTAGAATTTGGTATACATTGTTGGGATATTGTAGCTGGTATGTTAATTTTACAAGAAGCTGGTGGAGTCAATAAAGATACTACAGGTACTTATCTCAAATAGACTAGCATATTGAAAAATTAATCTCCTGAATTCACAAGGCTCACATTCACAATGTTTTATATTTCACATTATATACCCACATAATTACGCAAAAAATACCCCAGAGGGCAGTAAAGCCCTTGTTACCAAATGATGACACATAACGTTAATGTCATAAGATTATATTACTAGGGAGTTCAGGCTATATGATGTTTTATTTCATTTACATTTGAGTGTTCAAAGGGTTAAATCTGGAGCATATATTGTCATTACATATAATATTCAGTTCGCCTACCTTAATTCAAACAAAGCTGCAAGAGGGTGAATGTTACCTTCCTGGAAAACTATTTTTAATAAAAAGAAATAAGATAAAAAGAGCTTGTGTAGCTGTTTGTCTGCATTTTTTCATTTCATTTGACATAATTGCTCTCTTATGAAGTTTGTGAGTAGGCTTTTTTTTGTAACTCACTATGATTTGATAAATACTTTCTTGAAAAACATTTTTGACTTTAGATCCCTATTTGTTATCAGTCTTGAAATCAACAAATTTAATATATGCAATATTTCACAATATCTGTATTATTTCGTTTTGAAAGGTGAAGAAATTGATATTATGAGAAGACGTATTATTGGTGCCAACTGTGAGAATATCATTACAGAAATAGCTTCCAAACTGACACAGATTGATGTAGGAAGAGATTGATTTTAGCATTTAATTATATAAATAAAATCGATATAGGTCTCATAATGTATTAAAATTTTCACTCATACACCTTAATAGATAATTATAATTTTTTAGTGACTTACCTTGAGTCACCATGCATTTTAAGTTTTGTCAAGACATAATCATGCACCTTATCATTTCCTAGTAATCAAATTTATTTTTTTTCTGTTGAATATTTTCATTTAACTATATTTATTTAATATATACATATATATATATATATATAAATATAAATATATAGTCAATAGTTTAATAATACTATTGTCTTAACCCTCAGGATGAAGTCTGTATTTAAATTATATACCGGAAAATTGAATCATCTCTGTATAATTTTATAAATGTTGGTTAATGATGATTTTAGAATAAAAGTTATTACAGTTGTCCAGAGAGTTCTATATCCTACTGGTATTTCATCAACCTTTCTTTATTTCACTATTGAACATTTTTGCCAGGTTCAATGAGTTAAATTTACCCACTTTAAATGTTTTAAGATGGACCTCAAGATTTTGAAAGCTTTGTTGTATGTATATTGCATATCATGTTAGATAAAGTACAATTATGGTTAAACTGATAGCATTACGTTGTACAGCATATTAGCACCTCTTTACTTCAATAATTTTATTTGTCCAGATCACTAAGTATTTTAACATCCAACATTCCAACATCTTGTCTTTTTATATCCGGAATGATATCTTGCTATTTACCATACACATAGTCCAAGAGCATGAGTATTAATCCATGTAAATTCATAACATAGTTTACATTTTAATCTAGCTCAAGTCAATAATCCTATTTCAAAAATCCAACAGTTTTTCGTTTGGATCCTTTCTCTTCATCTTCTAATAGAGACAACAGACTGGCGTTTAAAACTTTACCAACATTTTTTCCTGACTGAAAAGATACAAGTTTGTTAACCATTAAATAAACACAGAAAAAAATTTGAGCTTAGGCAGGATTTTCTATAAAAAACCATTGATGCCATTTATCTACCGATGTACAGAAGATTGATTTAACAACTCAAAAATAATAGTGTCATCTTAATGGGTTTGTTTACTGAAATCCCGGTGATAGATTATGTACTCTATGCGACAGAAACTGTGTGGAAGATGAATTTCATTTCATCTGAATATGTCATAAATACTATGATCTACGTACTGTATACATTAAAAAAATTTATGAATGCTATGTTTATTCAAACTTGTACTCACTTATTATCCAGCCAAGATTCAAAGTACATTTATCATGCCTTAATCTGACGCAAATTATCACTATCATTGTAAATATTTGTTTTATATTTAGTATTGTATTTAGTATCTTATTTCTTTATAAAACCATACATTAAAATGTAATTTAGACCTCTCTTTCATATACATGTAAATAAATTACTATTATTAAATCAAATCAGATTTATCAACAACAAAAATTATGCATTTCACAGGAAATAAATATAATATAATACATATTAATATATTGAGCCTCCCCTTCCATACTGATATCAAATATTGCTTTACAACTATTGACCTACCTCCATCATCTCAAATATACTCTCAGGATTTAAACTACCCCATCCTTCTTTTTTTAATGCAGTAATAGTACTATCAGCTGTAACACCCATCATTAGTCTAAAATATAAACACCCATCATTAATCTAAAATATAAACATCATTAGACTGCAATATAAACACCCATCATTAGTCTAAAATATAAACACCCATCATTAATCTAAAATATAAACATCATTAGACTGCAATATAAACACCCATCATTAGTCTAAAATATAAACACCCATCATTAGACTGAAATATAAACAACCATCATTTAGTCAATACAGACAAATTATGTAAATAATAAAATGACACCAAGATTTAATTAGATTAAATCTTGGTGTTATTTTGTTATTCACTTAATTAATATACTACTGTGCATCAGAAACAATCTACTATACTTGCCAACTGGTGCTAACTTAAAGGGACAGATGCGCCATTTTAAGAATTGATTTGAGTCTTGAAAATATGTAAATAGTCTTCAGAAGTACTAAAAGTGTTCGAAAATCGTATAATTCCTTGAAAAATATCTCGAACTAGGAATTTTACTCACTTGTTTTTTCTTAATATCACAGAGTATCTTACATTAAAACGCGGATAATTCTGGCTCAATTTTCGATGGTGACCTGTGAACCCTATTACTGATTGACTTCCCGTTTCTGAGACTAAGGTATGATTCGTCAAAAAGAATTGTGCAGCTGTCCCTTTAAAATTAAATGTAAATAAGCCTCTAAATAAATGGGAAAGATTTCCTCAACTAATCTGACAGACACTTTTACAGTAAGTCCTTGATATTAAACAAAACATACCTGGCTAAGCAACAAGCTTCTTCTTTCTGGCTGGCATCAACTACATGATGATGACCAATCTAAGTTAAATGACAAGACATATTTTTTTTATAAATTTAATTATTAGATTCAGAAATATGATAGCTTAGATCACTCATTTCCACATAACAGATTATCCAGTCATATCAGATCAGATAATAAGTTATCTTATTATGTCTAGCAATGTCTTTTCTCTCATCTCATTTCATTTTTAATGTAAGATAAGCTCCTCATTTAATCCTTTTTTGATTTTCAATATAATATAACACTAAAAAATCATGTACCTTACTGAGGGTGACAATACAAGGTGCTGACTTTATATCTATTCTCTGAACATCAAATGGATCATCAGACAATTCTATTTCCATATCATCTTCATCTTGGTTGACTGTGACATTTGGTATTCTGTTTAATAAATAAATATTCAGTATTTTCATCCTACATAAACAATCTGTACACTCATCATTTCACTGTGTTAACTCTCTTGTGTTGTTTTATTGTGAACTTGAAATTGACTGAGAAAGATATTTTCTGCAAATCATTGCAAGTCTTTTTTGCATTAAGTGAAATGAAATGAATGGAGTTTTACGTCCTACTTTTCTGCACCATGTGGGCTAATGAAGACGGGCAACGCCATGCAGGGTGCAATGAGGGAAATTTTGCCAGGACAGCGGCATAAGCCTGCTCTTTTTTGATTTCCAACTGTCGAGGCATCTTTAACGTGCACAAACTGTAGCACACGGGGCCTCGGTTTATTGTCCCATCCGAACGACTAGACGCCTTTTCCATGTCAGCCCCTCTTACCTGCATCACCGACAGGGGGAAACCGGGTTGAAAAATCCGAAGGTATTATCTCGACCTATGCTGGGATCGAACCCCGGACCTTCAGGTTAGTGAGCAAGCGTCTAACTCACTGAGCCACCACGGCTCCCTTTTTTTGCATTAAAGGCATCTTGAAATCAGATCCACTTTATTTCAAACTATTATATGTGACAAAACTGAAAAGTTCGATTTATAAATACCTATTAATACTATTTATAGTATGCTGGTGTAACATTATATATTATTTTCTATTCACAGACCTAAAGTTATTATCTAAATAAATATCTAATATATATTATCCAACGCTAACAATAAATTGACAAGTTGTTCATTGATCACGAAAATCAATAGACATCATCCTTGCATTTGTACAAACCATAAATTGTAGTCTGGAGAGTATGCACATCACAATACCAATACTTACTTTGTATTGAAAAGTGCTGCTTTAACTCCAACAGAAGCTGCATCAAACAAATTACCACCACACTCTAAAAACTAAATAACAAAAAAAATATTCAAGATGGTGATAGTTTGCAATAAATTGATTTTGATTGATCAAAACCATCATATCTATTAAATTTCATCAAAGAGCTTCAGCAAAATTTGACCAACATGTTTCCTTAGATATATTATCTTCAGAAGCAAATTTGGAAAAATTGGAGGTTCTACAAATTTCTGTATCTACTAAAAACTATCATAATGTACTTACTAAAACATCTATGTATAATATCCAACACTGTTGTTTTGGTATGATACATAATGATTTCAAATCTAAAGAAGTAGAATTACTATAAGCTCTGGTCAAAACATTACTTATTTCTGTTGCTAATTCTTCTCCTCCTCTACCTTCAAACTGTGGGGTAGCATTTGCTGAACTAAAAAACACAAATAATTTAGAGTGTGTAGAAAATATAGCATGACCAAAAATAAAACATTGCCCTTTTTGTCCATTTCAGTTTATCCTCTTCTCAAAAGTCTATAACCACACTGATTTCTGAGGCTTCCAAATTTACCAAAATTAACCTCAATTTACAAAAAATCCCCCTTGCAGCTCCAAAAGCAAGGTTTTCTGGAAAAAATCTCATAACTAGGTTAGAAATTGGGGCAATCTCAGATATTTCACCCCAATCGGTCCTAAATAAAAATCCTAATAATCAACATAAATAATTACCAATCAACAAAAAATTCAATACAACCACAATTAGGATTATCTGGAGATGGTGAACCTAACTCCGCTTTAATACCAACTAATAAATCTGTATTTGCCTGAAATTATAGATATTGCATTTAGAAAAAGACAGGGATTTGAATTTTACATCATTTTCAAGGATGTCCTTTTACCAAAATAACTGTCGGTTTTGTATCTAGTTTCTATTTTTCTAGATAATAATAATACTAATAATAATTTTATTGGCATATAATTTTTAACATTTTAAATATTCAACGAAATAGAAGAACATAATTATGATGCTTTTATATGATAGAGATAATAAAGTTAAGGAAGAAATGGCTTCCAAAAATACCCTTTCTAGGTATGAGTGGCCCGACCGGTTTCGTTCTGTTCGTACTCTTCAGGGGCAGTGAGGCTAGAAAAGCGGGGTTGCAATGCGGAGGCGTCTCTGCTAGAATGTGGAAGGGATTTGGGTCAGTTGCGGAGGCGGACTGACTTGAAGCGGAGGCGTCTCTGGTGAGACGCGGAGGCGTCTCTGGTGAGACGCGGAGGCGTCTCAGGTCATTTGTGGATTGCTTATGCGGAGGCGGCTCTTGACTGGTACGGAAGCGTACCATGTCAATTGCGGAGGCGGCTTCGGTCAGATGCGGAGGCGTCTAGGGTCAATTGCAGAGGCGGATTGATAAAGCGCAGGCCAATTGAATCGGCTTTTTCATCACTTGCTGAAGCTTTCAGCTTGTGATGGGGGGGGGCATGGCGGGCAGTTGATGGTCGAACTGGTAGGCGTGTGGTTCTGGTGTTGTAGCTAAATGGATATAAAGGACACAGGTGGTCTTTAGCAACCCGAAGTACACCAAAGTATTGCTATCTGGGTCTACACAAATGGAGTAGGGACATGGGAGACGGCACAGGTTTTGTGTCGTTGTCTTCCTACTGGGAGGGAAACTCTTTTATGAATTTGATTTTTCAACCTTAGATGCCTTGGAGCCTTTGTAGTTGCCACTCGCAGGCAGGGCTATCTATTTGAAACAGATCCTCGTAAGTGGGTTTGTCAAATAGGCTGGACCAACTCGAGGCCAGGTCGGGGGTGGGGCCGGTCTGGTCTGAGGTGGTGGGACTGTGGTAGACTTTTTCTGCCTTTAAATGATAGTTCCTTCTCAATTCTTCAGATATAAAATTATATAGATATAAAAGACAGAAATTACCAGTCTAACTCTTGCTGAACCTGTTGTATTAGAAACAACACCCGTTTCAATTTCCATGTGTCTATAGTCCTCACAGCCTCTACCATCTTCTCTATAGTTTTCCTAAAATCAAAAAAATCATTCATTAGTCAATGCTGAGACTTTTACAAATTATTATTATAAAACTTGCAATATCAACTTAAAATAAATATGGTTAATCTTATAGTGACTTTGTTAACAATATAGCTCATTGTAATTTCCAGCAGACATGAAATCATGACATCATTGATCCTTAATAATAAAATTACAACTGTCAACAGTCTGATTAGATTAGAAAATTACATAGAAAAGGTAATCATATGTTCATATATTTAAAACTTTTCAGCTTATAGTTAGAAATATCTCGTTCTACAATTTATGTCTTGAGCACTAACAGCGAAAATTTTTTGTTATTGGAAGTCATATCATCATATTATCTATATTTGAAATTGTAACGTCCAGGATGATGGTAAATTTGAGGCACGAATCAAAACCTGTATTCCATGAAGAATGTAAGTTTTTTCTGCTTCACTGTAGATAATGTCAGTCATGATTTTATTTCGGTATTGCACCAATTAGCCTTTAAGACAACTGAATAAATTAAATTATTGGTGTGTTATAGAAAACAACAATGAATTTTTTATCATGAAGTAGCAATTAATTCAAAACAACGTGAGTTTTGTGACCGGAAATGTGAAGTACGTCATGCTTCATCTGCCTTTATTTCCGTCAAGCTCGACGATCAACCGGAAATTGTGTAATACGTCATATATGTACACATGCTACAAGAAATCAACAACAAGAAATTAATAAAAACATTCTTGAAAATCATGATTTGACAAGTGATCAAAGAAAGAATATAATCTGAATATGGAGAATTATACAGAAAATAACACGTAATAAGTCAATCCAAATTATTTACCTGAATAATGCTGTATTGTGATCCATGGACGAATATCCATCTATGTCATGCATGGACTCGTGCTTCAGCTTCACAATCATTCACAGTTCACACCTCACCACGGCCATGGTACTCATGCTTGCTTTGCCTAGGCCTCATCAATTTGATGGCAACATGAATTCATGATGTACTCAACTTAGATATCAAAGAAAGACTGACTCATGTCAATGCCTGCCAACATTCACGTTCCTTAATAAGCAAGGGTAGCATAGTGTTTACAATATAGGCCTATGCTACTGAGGAACATGGCCAACATCCAACAAGACAATTACAATAACAAAAATGAAATTGAAAGAGATGTTGTTATAAAAAAAAATGATGATAAACCATTGTAACCATTGTCATCTAGGCACAGCAAAGACCTATACATGATATTATAACCATGGGATATTAGGCCTACCCTTTTCTGTGCATTTATTTGCCATCTTTCAAGTTTCATGGACTGAGACATGGTATACTATATATGTTAGTGCTTGGGTTAATACATAGTACTCTTCTGAATCTTACTTAGTACCGGTACTAGTAGTTACTAGTAGGCTGTATCTTAAAGTTATTTTTGATGGAAGCTTACAAGTTTGATCACCATTTCAATACTTTTGGTTTTAACTTTTCACCATTGGAAAAAAAATAAGATTCTTCTTGTATTTGGCACATTCCTTAGTCTTTTTTTTCCTTTTATATATGTAGAGGTATAAACCTATTTTTTATTTCATATTTTCAGGCAAAATTACAGTGATGCAGAAAGTGGGCAAGTGGCACCAATTCCCAAGAAAGAAGTACCAGTAGCAGATGGAATCAAAATAATTGACTGTCGACCTTTATTTAGAAAATTTGGCATACGGAAATTACCATTTCGTTATGCATGGTTTGTCACTGATGTATGTGGGATAGTTTGTGCTGTATTAACTTGGTTACTAATATTATATTCTCAATATGTTGTGATATTTATCATCTTATTACCACATCAAAACAAAGCTCATAAGGTTATTCATGGATTCTTCTTTTTATTCTTCTCCTTTCTGGCTGCAGCATCTCATCTAAGAACAATGTTTTCAGATCCGGTGAGTATCATTTTATAAGAGGAATCTCTCAAAGGCAGTGTGCAATATTGCGAGGTTGGAACAGAACACAAAATCTGTATAGTCAATATACTTGAGTCAGGTCTTTTTGGATTTTTGTTGTTATTTTGTAGAGTGTAAAGTAATATGATCAATTCACTAAAGAACAAATCAATAAATTTGGGGTAAATCTCTTTTTTCATTTGACCTCGACCATGGAACTGTTTTTTTGAGACTTGATATTTATTAACAGGGATCCATCCAGAAGGGAAATGCTACAAGAGAAAATATTTTAAGATTAGGGTTAAAAGAAGGTCAAGTTGTATATAAATGTCCAAAGTGTATAAGTATCAAACCTGATAGAGCTCATCATTGTAGGTAAGATATTGAACTACAAACTATGAATATAGTTATTCACATCCTATAAACTTAGAGAATATGAGATTTTACTGTAAGACAGCTTTTTTACTTTAAGATCAGCTTCTGGCTATGGCCTTTTATGAAAATATTTGTTCTGGTAAAATTGCCATCTGCATAGCGCATGAGTTGACAGTGTTAATTATCTCAAGATTTGTACATTCATTTCTGTGCAATTGATATGTAGTAATGAATTATTTCAATTATTGATTTGACAAAAATTTTGAGTCTTGCTCATATATATCTATTTAAATTTTTGAACCTGACATTTATTTTCAGTGTTTGTCAAAGATGTATTAGAAAAATGGATCACCATTGTCCATGGGTGAATAACTGTGTTGGGGAAACTAACCAAAAATACTTTGTTTTATTCACTGTAAGTGTATTCAGCAGAAATTCAGCTTTGGTATTATCTCAAACTATATATCATATTACAAAGGACGCTGAAAGATTTATTTCATTATGGAGTTGAGCTAAAATGGCTTTGGTAGTATCTAAAAATAATTTAAAACCATATTTGTAAGAAATTTGATCTGTAATTTTCAGCAGAGCCTCTTGCACTTGAGAGGAAATCGCTCGCACCAGTTCTATTGAGAAGTGATTGGAAAAACAGTTCCTCGCAGAATACCTTCCACTTGCTGTAGGAGAGCGAACTCAGGCTACATGTGGACACCCCACTTTAACAGTTAACTAGATATCCACAAATAGTAGCTAAGGATGTCTAGATAGTAATAATCAGTATGTTTTTCCCCTTGTCATTGATGCAGGTTGGAAGGCCTGACATGGAAAAGGCATCGGGTAATTTGCATGGGAAAATAAACCTCGGCTTCAGGTGCTACAGGCTGTGCATGTTTAAGATCCCTCGACAGTTGGAACTTGAAATAAGATTAGGCTAATGCCGCTGTCCTTTCAAAATTTCTACATGGCTCACTGTATGGCTTTGCCCATCTTCATTAACCCATAAGGTGCAGAAAAGTAGGCCGTAAAAATATATTATTTTTTATATTTTTTTTAAAATGCATATGATTTCTGACTCTTTTTTGTATCACATCGAATACATGATTGCTAAATATGTTTTTGATTTTTCTTTTCAGTTTTATATATGTTTCATATCAATATATGCACTGTTTTTATCCATAAACCATTTTATAACATGCTTAGCTAAAGATTGGAAAGGTAAGCAAGAATAATTTCTGTGAACTATTATGCACCAGCAATCCCACTTGAATCTCAATTTTAACACAATCTCAAAATGATGATTTTGACACGCCCACATGGAAATTTCGCCTCGGTTCTTTGGTCCGTGGTCGGTCAACATTTCTTGTGAACACAATAGAGAATACAGTTTTCAACTGATTTTAATGAAATTTGGTGTGATCATTCATATTGATGAGATCTTGGTCGAGTTCGAACTTGATTTTTCAATGAACGGTCTTTGAGTTATTGTCCTTGACTTAGGAAAACGTGTCAAAATTTGTTTGTGAACACATAAGAAACTACAGTTTTCAATTGATTTTAATGAAACATGGTGTGATCATGTATATTGATGCAATAATTTGATGTGTTTGGATTATTGATATTGATTTTTAAAAATTGGTGGTATTTCTCAGCATAAATAACTGGCAGTAATTATATATATCAATGAATTCAAACTATTAAAATTTCTTTAAAATGAGAAAATTCATACTTTAGTCACTTAAGACTGTTTTATCATTTCTTGCCTGGCAAGCTATCTTTGATGTGTATTAAAGAAAATGATAGCACTGATTTGTGCAATTCCAGTTTTCAGTTGGACGTCTGTGCTTGCAATTCCATGAAACTGATTATAATATCTGAGGGTCTTTTTGTCAGAGCCACTTATTTTTGGAAAAAATAAGAAAACCTAACAATCTTTGTAAGGTGTAAGTATTGAAGAATTCGATGTATTTTTGTACATGAAGTTGATGTGTATATGTATATGTGTGATATATTTGTTTGTAAATTTCAGAATGTTCTGGTGCCTCTCCCCCTGCTACCACAGTTTTTTTGATATTTTTGATATTTGAAGGGTTATTATTTGGTATATTTACTGCTATTATGTGTGCTACTCAGTTACTATCTATCATATCAGATGAAACCGTAAGTTTTAACATTATAACCTTTTCTTGAATTTCATGTCTATTGCAAATCATACATCACATTAAAACATTTCATTGTGAGCACTATAGAGACTGTAGTTTTCGTCTGATTTTGATAAATCTTGGTGTGATGCTGTAGATTGATAAGATCTCAGTCAAGTTCGAATTTGACGTATTTATTGATCATTGGAATTAATAAGATCTCAGACAAGTTCTGACTTGAACCTATTTGATGAATGGTTTTTGAGTTATTGTCCTTGGCTTTGTAAAAAGGCTTCAAAATTTGTTTCTGAGAACAATAGAAGCATTGGAATGGATAAGATCTCTGGCAAGTACGAATTTGACATTTTTTTGATGAAAGGTTTTTGAGTTATTGCCCTTGACTTTGTAAAAAGGCTTCAAAATTTGTTTCTGAGACCAATAGAAGCATTGGAATGGATAAGATCTCGGGCAAGTACAAAATTTGACATTTTTTTGATGAAAGGTTTTTGAGTTATTGCCCTTGACTTTGTAAAAAGGCTTCAAAATTTGTTTCTGAGACCAATAGAAGCATTGGAATGGATAAGATCTCGGGCAAGTACAAAATTTGACATTTTTTTGATGAAAGGTTTTTGAGTTATTGCCCTTGACTTAGGAAAAAGGCATCAAAATTTGTCTGTGAACACAATAGAGACTACAGTTTTCATCCGATTTGGATGAAATTTGGTGTGATCATTTATATTGATGAGATCTTGACAAGTTTGAAGTTGATTTTTTGATGAACGGTTTTTGAGTTATTGCCCTGGACTTAGAGAAAAAGCGTCAAAACTTGTTTGTGAATACAATAAAGACTTTGAACTCCATTGAACTGATTTTAATGAAATTTGGTGTGATCGTTCATATTGGTGAGATTGTGGACAAGTTTGAGCTGGATTATTTTTCTATGAACATTTTGAGTTGACTTAGGAAAAACGCATTAAAATTTTTTAAATTGCACTTGATTAGAGCTGTGTGATTTAATTATTTGCTGTATTTGGGTTATTGATATTGATTTTAACAAAAATTGTGGAATTACTTAGCATAAATAACTGGCATATATATATATATAATTGAATTTAAACTAATAAAATTTCTTCAAAATGAGAAAATTCATACTTTAGTCACTAAAGACTGTTTTATCATTTCTGACAGCTGCCAGTGGGCGTATGTTACCTTGCCTCGCAAGCTTTCTCTGTTTATGTCTACACTTTGAATCGAAAAGTAGGACGTAGAACTCCATTCATTTCATTTTTACACTTTGAATCAAGATCAGGTTATTCATTAAAGTATAATTAGATATATTTTTGTTTTATAGGCTATAGAACAGTTAAAGAAAGAACAAGCAACATGGCAGAAGAAATCCTCCTGGTTGAGTATAAAATCTGTATTTGGCCATCCGTTTAGTTGGAGATGGTTTTCACCATTTGATCAACCTAAATTTGTTTATCAACATTCTTTTATGTATTCTGTCTGATAATTTATATTAGTTTTATTTGTTTTGTTTGTGATTAGAATTTAAAATATATTTGTTTATTGTTACTTTACTTCGAGAACAGTGTACTGTACATCAAAGTTCCTCTTCCTCTTCTCATGAAAAACTAGTTTGACCCAATTAATCAAGAGTCAATATTATGACATTAAGTTTAAAATCTTAATTTGTAGTGGTAGTTTGATGCATTAGTTTATACAAGATAATGCCTTAAACCAAAATATTTCATAGTTCTAGTTTATTGTGGTCTGGAAAATATAAACGATATTATTATTATAAAATAGGTAAACCAGTATAATATTTCTCTTTGTGGACATGAGCTGGCATCCATGTTTGTCAGTTTATCATTGGTTATTCCTGTTCCATTTCCTTTTAAAGGATTGTAGTTGTAAATACTTCCTGTATGGTATCATAATTTGTATTTTGCCCAACATTTTAAACTTTTGTCAGTCATCAGTGATGTAAATAAATTTGGGAAGATCGAAGTCACTAATAATTCGAGGCTTCTTGAGAACCAAATTTTACATTGATTCCAATCTTATTTTTATAATACACTGTGTTTGTATTGTTCAGTGCTAAAAATTCGAATAAATGGTGTAATTACAGATTGAACTACACAATTACAAACTTTTTACCAGATGTTTGGATTATTGAAAATGACATATTTTTTCTAAGATGTTGTAAAAAATTTGGACTGGTGTTTATATTTAATATTAAAATAAAGTACTTGGTATTTTATTTCATTTCAATAAAAGGTGCGAATAAACAATGTACAGTGTGGTGTACGGTGCAGGATTATCAATACAGTAGAAAATAATAGAAAAGAATCGTATTTGCATTGTGTCTGGACCAGTACCTTGTGTGTTCTTTTGTTCTATTTTCGTTTGTATCAATTATTCTGCACCTTACACCGCACCCGTACCAGGTCTATTCACAGCTTGACTCCACTCAGTAAGTATGAGCTAAGTAAAGAGCCAAACATCTTTCATAACTACAATAACAATTATTTCAATCAGATTGAATGTAAAAACGTTCCTTTGTCGCTTCTTTACAATCTTAAGGTGTGAATATATAAGCCTGTGTGCACCAAAAAAATCAAATTAAAAAGATTATTTCAAACTTAAATATAAACGAAATACAATTCAAGATAATTCTATTTTTTTAATTAAACACCTTGGATCTCTAATAGTGAAATGGTTAAACTGATTTGCATATAATTTGATATGATATGACCCAAAAAAATAAAAAAAACTGCAGACAAGGGAAAGGGTAAGTTTATATAATCCACCTTTATGTCTTATTTTGTGCATACAGAACATAAATTGAGAAAAAAAGTATTAAAAACAAAACAAAGATCTTTTCACTCATTTGAACCTCATGCCTATTTTTATTGTGTATCCTTATATCTGTATATAGCTGAATAATATAAGATTGTATATTTAGATCTATATTTAAAATATAAATTATTATATTTAACTGTAAATATTAAATTATAATAAATCAAATAATATACAAAGTAATATTGACATTTTAGTGCGTTTTGTTAGCATTGAATTGTAGTTATTTTCAACCACTGAAGTCATTTGTTTTCAAATTTCACTTTCATAAGCCAATGATATGTGTCTGGTATCACACACATGGTATTAAAAACAAATTCAGGTCAATGTAATTCAATTTCTTGAATCTTTGCAATTAATATACTTTGTTATGTACAAATTTAGTGAAAGAAAATGACATTGGTTACTTCAATTTGAAAGTTGAAATATAGATGTCTATATCTTTGTGATTGAAATATTTTTATGTTTATAATAATTTGAAGACATAATAAATGGAAATATTTGATGGTCTTTACGATGTTTTATCAAGATTGTCTTGAAATGTCATTTTTTTCTCATTTCATCATATGATATTTCCTGAACTTTAGGTCTGTACTGTTCATTAAAGGAACAGATTCGCTATTCGTTTGACAAATTGTACTTTAGTGTCAGAAACTGGAATTCAGTAAAAGTGTTCATAGCCCAAATTTTAGCCTTCAAATCCATGTATGTACAGAACTATCTGCATTTGAATGTTAAAATGAGGATTTTTCATTTCTTGAGACTCTGCCATATATAGAAAAATCATAGTTAGAAATAGAATGTATAATTCTTATTTTGAGATATTTTTGAAGGAATTGTGCAATTTTTGAACTTTTCTAGTAAGCTTACATCTGAAGACTATTTACACATATTCAAGACACAAAGAAATCCCCCGAAAATTTCTAAAATCTTTAATTATTCATAATGATCTTATACCTTGGTGACAACAGAATTCTATCTTGACTTCCATAACCCTTTTTGTCATGGTCCTTTAGGAAAAGGAATAGGAAAACGATATCAGGAGTAATTCTTGAAGTGGAAATTGAGTTCTATCTGGTTTTAAGAAATTTAACACAATTTCTTTTATTCTTCAGTCTATTTTACTTTGAAAATACAGCATTTATGCATTCATTTACTGAAAGCAAAATCAACATTTGTACAGAGACACATAAATTAATATAGGCACACTTGAAAATTAAATGTCTAAATTCCAGAAAACAATGTTTAACACAAAAATCTTTTTTCTTTATGATGTTATTAATGTTTTTTTTCTGTCAAAACAATTTTATGTTCAAAGGTGTCTCACTAGCTTTAAGACACCAGCCTCTTATATCCTATTTCAACATTATTAAGGAACACTTGCCGTTATAAGTAATAAATAATATAAGCTTAAACTATACACAAACCAGTATTAATAAAACGAAAAATCAAAAATCTAATCTAATAACGAAACTAAGGTTCAAAATATTAATTAAATTAAGTTAAACTTTTCTAAGTTTATTATTCATTTCTAATATATGTGATGCTTCTGCTTCGTCATATTTGATACAAATGGACTTGTGTCCCTTCTGCCAAGAAATTTTCTGACATTTGGTCGAGCAGTAGAAAGCTTTCTTGCACTTTCCACATGCCTTGAAACCATTTGGCGTTTGGGACTCTTTCTGACAATTTGTACAGAATGTATTATCATCTCCCTCAAATTTACATTTATTACATTGACACCAGAAATTAAAAGATTTATAAAGCCACGAACGTCTCAAATTTCGTGGCATTTGTGGATTGATGTAAGTCGTCATGAGTTCGGTGCCCTTTTTTATGTCTCGACAGGCAACCATCATGACCCCGGGCAAACCTACGAGATCATCCATAAAGCCATCCCGAACTTCTATATTATGATCACAATCATGATTTAGACAAGCATGAAGTGGAAACATACCAGTAAATAGAGGATCCGGAGCTTTCTTATTTAAATACTTGAGAAGTTTGAAACCATCCAAAGTTTTCGAGAGATTCGTCATGAAGAAATGATAAGGGTTGATGCTGGCTGAATAGGCCTGTAAGTTACATGTTGCTTGGTAATAACGACCATTGAACTCTTCTTCGTTGATAAAGAAGCTTTCTTTATCTCCATAATGGTTAAACACTCTCTGGAACACTGGTAACATGTGAGGCATTCTTCTACAGACATGAATACTACCATACGATATAAACCTACGATAATAGGCTAAAATCGTTGAAAGATCATGCTTTATAAAATCAATGTTAAAATTGTTAGTCGATGTTAGTAGTATAACATAATTGAACGAGTTATTTAGGTAGCGTTTACCGAAGCACCTTGTTCCTAGATTATAGCTCATGGTTGCCAATCAGAAAAAAAAGCTTTCCGCATGTATACATTTGCAAATATTTGGAACGGTTTATGATGCGCGTAGTTTACTATTTTGTAGGCTTCTTTTCCAGGTTCCTTGTGTTCATAATTCACAAGAAGATAACGAATGAAATGAAGTAGATTAAGAGAAGGAAGTAGAATGACGAAGATGGTGAAGGTAAATATAGAAAAGTAGAATTTCAATATTTCAATAAAAGGAAACCATACTAGGATTTGACTTCATGTTATCATGAACAACAACATAAAAAGCATCAAACCAAACGTAGGTCTATTCTACATCCACAGAAACACTACCATGCAAGAATCAAAGTTTAAATACCCAAGATGTAGTCCATCTCCTATGCATCAGTTTCTCAATAGACAAGATTTAATAACCGCACCCCTTCGCCCTCCCATGTGGTAAAGATATATGCATGAAGTGTTTGACATGAAAATGGCAATCCTATGCTTCTTAAACTTTAATATCCAACGCGATAGAATTCAAGAAGAAGAAATATGCAATTGGAATTTGAATGATAAACAAATTTATCTATTTATTGACTATTGTCTCATGGTAAAAAAAGTAAGGGTTTGGCATTATTTGAAATAATAAATAAGTAGATTAAATAAATAAAAAAAAAATACATAAATTAATAAGAAAATGAATTCAACATGAAGAGGTAGGCATATGTTTGATTTCTGGATTATTTCAAAACAGAAAATAGTGACCACATCACTATATGCTTATATCGCACACAGAATACATAAAATATAATCAAAATTACTCATATTAATAAATAACCAAACCATTTTCAAGTTTGAGAATTAAAGACAACATCCAAAGAGATCGCCATGACAATTGGAGAAATAGGTATCCTAACGAAAGTTTCTTTCTTGTTGCTAGCTGAGTATGTATAAATAAAATATAAAATGTATGGCTATCACTTTTGATAGAAGAACATATTACGTAGTCCTCGACTAGATTTTTTTACAACGAAATATTGCGCTATTCTAGGACCACAAGATGACGAGCATTATACTGTGCCACCCGCTGATACTTCCGGCGGAAAATTATCAGAAGTAGTTTAAGCTGTTCCAGACTTTTGTTTTGAACAAATATTTTTGTGACCTCGTCTCCATGCTTCTTTTTGACATTTAACCGAACAATACCATGCTCTTTTACATTTGCTACAACAAGGGAAGGCTTTTTCACTTTCTGATTTGGCGTTGCAATTGGTGCATTCTTTCTTATCTTCACCCTCAAAAGTACATTGTGGACACTGACACCAAAAATTAAAGGATTTGTACAACCACGCACGTCTAATGTTTCTTGATAACTTATTATCAATATATGACGTAAATAATTCCTCTCCTGTTTTTATAAATCTCTTTGCAACAACGTTTACTCCTGGCGTACCGTTACAATCGCCATCTCTTATTTCGACGTTGTTACAACAAGAATGATTTAAACAAGCATGTAACGGAAACATTCCGCAGAATCCTGCATAAGGTGGTGATTTTTCCAAATATTTGATCATTTGGAAGCCTCTGAGGTCTGTAGAGAGCTTCTTCATAAATGCGTGATAAGGTGTGGAGCGAGCAGAGAACTCTTGCAAATTACATGTAGCTTGGTAGTAGCGGCCGTTAAATTCTTCCTCGGTGACGTTGAAAACGACACCTTCGTGACCGCTATTTTTGAATACCCTTCGGAAAACCGGAAGCATGTGCGGCATCCGCGAAATCGCAGAGGTAGTTCCATAAGCAATGAACCTGAAAAGACATTAATTGGCATGGTTAACTCGCTCTTTCTTGAAAGTGACAGCTTAACTTGCCGGAGGAGATATGCATCCATTTCCAATTTCTAATTCCCGTTAAAAGAATTGTTCAACACAGAGAACGAAGGGAAGCCATTACAAAAACATCATTGTATTTTGTGAAATACATGTAGATAGAAAAAGAGGGATCAGTCATTCTGGAAAGAATAACGAAGCAGAGAACTCGGCATGCAAGGAACATTGTCACACCAGGCTGCAATTCTCTTTAATTTACGACACCAACCCCATTCAGCATATTGCAATAACCCACTGTATTGCTCAAGATCTTGTTCTGGACACGAGAAAATATCAAGCAAACAAAATATTGTGAAGTTACCCCAAGATATCCATGGGGTTGGTTTCGTTTCCAGTGCAAATCATAATTGGAAAAAGTGAGGGGATCAGCAAGCTTTCACATTGAGAAATTCATTGAACACACATAAATGCTGTATTTAATTTGACATACCTTCTATATGGAGCTTTTGCCTTTGCCCAATGAGTAACTGTAGCAGTGGTGGCACCGTCTGTTATCATTAAACGTTTCGCTTCCATTATTATACTAGCCCAGATGTTAGCTAATATCATTAAACTATAATGTCCTCCCCAAATTTCGCCTTTAGTACCATCATCTCGTATGCCCCAACCTTCGTTATCTAATAAATCATACAGTTCCGATGAAGCGGGGTTTAATTTAGGACAGATAATTTGGTGATACAAGTCCCAAGCCTCTAAACGACAATCGTCACTACAATATTTCACTCTCCTACAATCATCACAATAAATAGGTGTAACATCAGGCCAATGTATATTGACCAGTTCCTTTTCCTCCTCAGTCATTGTTTCTAAAGCATCTCCAAAGTATTGGGCAGCTGTTAACAATGATCTAGCACAATGACTACAAGCTTCAATTTTATGCTCTGGGTTTGAAATCATGGCTCTAACTACAGGGCTATCTACAAATGCTATATCTCCTTCCTTGATGTCTTCTGTAGCATACACACCGCGACCAAACTGTTTAAATTCTACTTTGACAGGATAACCTGCTGTAAGAGGTCTATACAATCTGTCAACCCTAACCTGTTGAAACAACATGGCAGCTTCGTCATCACCTTCTTTACTTAGCTTAGTAGCTCTTCTAAACCAAAACTCAGCAGAGATTGGCAGCTCGAGAGACATCAAAACTTTACCTAGAAAAATATTTCTGAATATTACAAAAAGATATAGGCAACACATTCTCTGCGGTCAAACATAACATCTTTGTGTGTCCCCAAGTATTATACCAACTTTGGGCATTGGTGCCTATTTCAGCGGACATTTATTGAAAATATAGTTTCCTTACCTCCAGCTTTCCAAATGTCAGGACCCCTATTTTGTTTAGGTATAGCCCACATATCAGATAGTGCTTTAACATGATCTCCTTTCTCCAGGTACATATCAGCTCGTAATTGTCTATAGATCAAGTTTGGTGGCTCGTTAGATAATGCTAATGTACATTGATGGATTGCGCTGGATAAATCTTGGTTACGTAATCGAAATGCCAAGGCTGCATGTTTAGCTGCTTCTTCTTTATTGACTGCATCGAAATTTACTTTATCTTCGGATGGAATTTTATATTTTTTAGCCAGGATCTCATATTCCAAGTTAAGAAGATCACTATCACCAGGATAAGGATCTTGTGTACAAAATTTAACAGCGCTGTATGTGGTTTCTGCCCCTTTACCCTTTTCGTTGTAATCACTTAATATTTTTGAATGGAGGTTCTTCAGATTCAAGGTTATTGTCTTATTTTTAGGATCAATTTTCAGCCCATCATTGAAATAGTTCAATGCTTCTTCGAATAAAAGAATCTGAGTTGAAGCTTGTCCACAAAGTATGCAGGCCTCTAGAGACTTAGGGTTGATCTTGTAGGCATGTTTAGCATCTGCATACGCTGACTGGTAGTCGTTTAGATTCATATGACATCTTGCTCGCTTCAGCAAAATATGTGGATCCTCAACATCTGTGGCAGCTATCAAGGCTGAGTATTTTTCCCTAGCTTCTTCATAATTTTGATTTTCAAACAAGATTTGTCCATCATTTTCTAACTTCCTCAACTCAATCTCAGCTTTTGTATCGAGCTCACCCATCTTTTATTCTTTGATTTTAGAGATATTCACTACAAAAAGAGAAAAGGAACTGTAATAACATAGTACTTTACATGACAAGGAAGTGGTCAAATGAGGTTATCTTAAAGGTTTGTGAAAGTAGATAACCCTAAGAATTACACAGATCAGAATAATTCAATGGAATAGAAATGCAAGGTTTTCTAAAATAATAATAGAAAAGAAAAGTTTACTCAAAAAAGAACAAACTGGTTTACAAAAAAATCAACAAACTGGTTTCAGAAGATAAAACTGGTATACTGAAAATGAGCAAAATGAAATAGAACAGAAAAAATTTATTTTACTCAAATAAAACAGAACCTTTTTTTTTTAAATAGAACAGAACAGTTTCCTTAAATAGAAAAAAATGGTTTACTGAAACAGAGTATATAGTTAGCCAAATAAGAAATTAATGGTTTACTAGAATAAAAAATAATAGTTTATCAGAATGGAATAAAATGAAATGGTTTACTAGAATATAAAATAATGGTTTACAAGAAGAGAATAGAATGGTTTACAAGAAAAGAATAGAGTAGGATAGAATGTTTCACTAGAAAAGGATGGAATGTGTTATTAGAATGGATTAGTATATGGTTTATTAGATTAGATTAGATTAGATTAGAATAGAATAGAATAGAATAGAATAGAATAGAATAGAATAGAATAGAATAGAATAGAATAGAATAAAATGATTCATTGTAATGTAATGTTACAAGCACAGAACAGAATTCTCACCTATGAGACGGTTCAACCAGAATTGAAAGAAGTTTTCCTCAACCCAAACATAAAAGATGTGCTTACATGGGAGAGTCTGGTTCATGATAGGTTGTATTAAGTGTATCTCGCAGCATGCATGAAGACTATGTGTAATACGATATACTGTAGCAGACATTTTGATTTATCTTTCATATTTTTAGCACAATTCTGCGGCCTAATTTTGAGCGTTTTCAAGAATTAAAAAAAAAATATAACAGCATATGACATGTGAGATATCACAATGAATTTTTAAAAGACTTAAATCCACATTATCAGAATCATGAGTTACCGTTGAAGGACATTGAAAGGACGTCCATATTTCTATGAAATATAAATACATATGTATAGGCTACAGATTCCGTCGATGATCGACTTTCACAAAGAAAAGAAAATTCAAATGAAATACAAAGGCCTACCTTATTATCAGCTTTAAAAACATTTACATGTTCCTTTTCTACCACTGTTTTGAGAATCTGACGCGTTTCATAGCCATTATATCTTCACCCACATGGTTCCCACGGATGAGTCTATTTGAGTGTAATATGATAATAATACATGGTGCCTGGTAATATACAGACTGGTGCCACAGGTATCATGTGGTCAACATCTTTTATCTTTTATTTTATTTCTCATTAGAGATTAATTTGATACCTCTTTGAAGGCAATCATGCTTGACGTGATATACAAGTCTGCTTGAAAAATATTCAAAAATCTACCATTCGAGGAATTATTTTAATTACACAAACTACCAAAAACTTGTCACATCCAGTGACGACAGACTTTCCAGAGCATTAGCTTTTTAGATGCGTCGATGTATTGTAGTTAACTCTGTCATTAGTAAATGATAGTGAATGTAAATTGCCCCCCCCCCCCCCCCCCCCCCCCTTGTTTTTCACCAAATGTTTAAACCAGAGAATTTAAAGAGATGGGAGGTTTCTCATTGTTTTCAATCCGATTTGGAATTGGAATAGCTATGGCCTTAACCCTATTTTCTTCACCCATGATCTGCTCTGAAGTTATCTCTGAATATCCTATTTGATGCGGTGTAAAATACACTTGCCTAAACAATGGATATCCATATTGGTAGATGTGGATAGCAAAATGAATGTCGGTTTATATATATATTAAATGGCTTATTATTATAATGGTTGGTATATACTACATGATCGATTAGGTGTTTTTGTTGAATGAATTGAAAGCATAGTTTTCATTATGTGTTATTAATATGGGGGCAACCAAATATTAGATTTGCATATGAATACAATATATGTGGGTAGCCAGTAGATGTCGGTGTAAAGGCTACTTATACTTATATACGGTAAGTTATTTCTTATTTTCTTTCTGTAATTCAGACAGTATAGACAAATACCATTCATACCCTTTTTCTTCTTTCCTCAAAAATGTCCATTAATAAAATTGAAATAATATTTTAAAAATTTCATATATTTCAATATTCGATGTTGATCGGACTTTTAATACTAGCGACTATTTTGAAAAAAAAATACTCAAAGAAGTCGTGAATTAAATGGGGGCCATTCTAGAAAAAAAAACAGTTGTTCTGTATGAACTTGTGGAATGTAAAAGATTTCTTGACATGACTGAAAATTAGTTTCTTTATGAAATTCCGTTTATAACAGTCAATTTTTTTACATTGGAATTAATTCAAACTTGATCATATGTTATTCCATGAGATTTCAGGTAGCCCAATGGGTTTTCGCATTTCAAACTTCTACCATGGAAACATGAAAGTTGTACAAATCAAACTTTTTACAAATTGGGTGTGAAATTACCATTACTATTATCTAAAAACTTAGGTCAATATGTGTATTCTAATTCTCACAAACGAACAAAAATACAAATTGTATATAGCAACAAGGTAATCATTATTTATCGTAATTGCAGGAAATAACATTAATATGTAGAAATATCCACAATACATGATGGTTGGGCCTTTAACCCCAAGAAGAAAAAAATACCCTCCTGGACCTAGATCTATAAGAGACGTAAAACCAACCCCGAAGCCAAGATACCGCATTGAAAACATTCAACAACTTGATCGACCTCCAAATATTCCTAGTTACCAAAGGTCAATAATTCAAGACGTCAATTTTGGAGTGGTAAGGGGAAAGCCTGTTGATCCTTTCAATAAAAAACAACGAGATGCAAGAAGTATATCTCCTCCATCACCAAGGCCACAATACCAAAATACAGATGTTACCAAAATTAAATTTCTTGACGACGATAACAACAGATATGTCAGGCCAAATAATTATCAATACAGAAGATCATCGGACCCCGGAACTCCCCGAAATCCAAGAAATAATAGAAGAGGACCGCCATCACCAAGACCAATTCAATACAGACGGGCATCTGATCCAGAAACACCACGATTGAATCGTAGACAAAATAGGCGACCACCACCATCGCCAAGACAAAGATCTTTTCAAAGTCTGCCAGATCGACGTCTTCATACAGGCTCACAATTATCATCAGAGAGAAGGTTGCAACGAAAACGTGATCCTAAAAATAAGAACAGTAGAAAACAATATTATGATGATGCCGATGCATTGCCTAATATCCCAATGAGACAAACTGGTCCGAATAACTTTCCACCTAGACCAATATTTGTTGAGAAATCACCAGAAGCAGTGGCTGTTATACCTACAAGCCAAGCGCGATTTACACCAGATATGAACAGAGTGAGACAAAAAACATTTGCGTACTCTGAGACTAAACGAAACTTCCCTGTTCATATTTATCGTGACCCAGATCGGCTTGTAGAAGGTGCTAAATATCCTGATGGTATTTGCTGTGGCGCTCTTAATTCCACTTTTCTTATCACTATTTGGGGATTTTTGAAGATCCTGCAATTAGTAAGTATGACGGTTTTTCTAGTGGAAAATAATTCTAAAATGAGAATTGTACATACTACAAGCTTGTCTCAGTATTAATGTGTCGCCAATAAGCATTAATTTGTTAAGTTTCATAAGAAGTTTCAAATAATTTTTCATTTTGCCTTTTTTTTTTTTTTTAGATATGTTGTATCGTCATACTGGTATGTGCTGTTTTGGAAGGTTTGCAAGAGACTGGGATATTTTGGGTGATATTTGTAGCTGCTCTAGGAATCATTGTCAGTCTGGGAACATTGGTATTTCATTTGGCACGAGGTCACCTGAAAGAAAGTCGATGTGTTTTATTTACGGTGAGACCACATTCTCTGTCTAAAATGCACAAAAAGCATTTTGAAAGAACTTTTGCCATAACCAATGTACTTTAAAACCTGTGTGACTTGAATGATTTTGCAGTCACATATAATGTATGTCCCAAGTCCGTGTAGCTTCAATAAATTTATTATTCATTCTTATCTACACTTTCACAGGTATCTAAAACACATATAGGGGATATATAAGAGTATATGGTGTAATTTTTTTCATTGATCACCTTAATACAAATATGATCCATTATATTATATTCATTTGAGTTCTATGAACAAACTGAATTGTTAACAATGATTTCTTAAGGCTTCCATTCAATTGCATTACTCTTGGTAAACAATTACCCTACGTCAACACAAAGTGCTTTATTCTTCTTATTAAAAGAATATTTTGTAAAACCTTCTTAATGACCATTCTATGTGTTTTCAATAGTAACGAAAGCTTTGATATATTTTATTATAGGAGTTTACGTTGTATCTGTTTATGTCGCTATGTGTCCTTTCGGCGGCCATTATAGCAACACTAAATTCGGAATTTACTGACACTATAACATGTATAACGGTAAGATTTCAATTTTTTCTGCCAATAATTAAGGTTTAAGATTTAATCAGTAAAAAAAGTGCATGCTTCATTCAATGTTCAAAATTGAGCTTGATTGTGGTTATACATAATGTATAATTCTGTTAAAACAAATCTTGTTATAGAATATTCTGACTTTCAATTGAATATCATCTACAACATTTGATTTTGTATCAATATATTTTTCACTTATATCTATCTAATCGTTTCGTCGTCCCAAATCTATCTTTATATGGTTAATCACCTCAATCTATCTTACCTTTTATCATCACAATTAATGGTATATTTTATCATCTCAATCCTATTATATTTTATCATATTGTCCTATCTCATCTTTAATCATCTCAATCTATCTTATTTTTTATCATCTCAATATATCTTATCTTTTATCATCTCAATCTATCCTATCTTTAATCATCTCAATCTATCTTATCTTTAATCATCTCAATCTATCTTATCTTTAATCATCTCAATCTATCTTATCTTTAATCATCTCAATCTATCTTATTTTTTATCATCTCAATATATCTTATCTTTAATCATCTCAATATATCGTATCTTTAATCATCTCAATCTATCTTATCTTTTATCATCTCAATCTATCTTATCTTTAATCATCTCAATCTATCTTATCTTTAATCATCTCAATCTATCTTATCTTTAATCATCTCAATCTATCTTATCTTTAATCATATCAATATATCTTATCTTTAATCATCTCAATCTATCTTATCTTTAATCATATCAATATATCTTATCTCTTATCTCAATATAACTTATCTTTTATCATCTCAATATAACTTATCTTTTATCATCTCAATTTATCTTATCTTTATCATCTCAATCTATCTTATCTTTTACCATCTCAATCTATCTTATCTTTAATCATCTCAATCTATCTTATCCCTTATCATCTCAATCTATCTTATCTTTTACCATCTCAATCTATCTTATCTTTAATCATCTCAATCTATCTTATCTTTAATCATCTCAATCTATCTTATCTTTTATCATCTCAATATATCTTATCTCTTATCATCTCAATCTATCTTATCTTTAATCATCTCAATCTATCTTATCTTTTATCATATCAATCTATCTTATCTCTTATCATCTCAATCTATCTTATCTCTTATCATCTCAATCTATCTTATCTTTTACCATCTCAATCTATCTTATCTTTTATCATCTCAATATATCTTATCTCTTATCATCTCAATATATCTTATCTCTTATCATCTCAATATATCTTATCTTTTATCATCTCAATATATCTTATCTTTTATCATCTCAATCTATCTTATCTTTATCACCTCAATCTATCTTATCTTTTATCATCTCAATATATCTTATCTCTTATCATCTCAATATATCTTATCTTTCGTCATCGCTATCTTATAATATATTTTATCATCTCCTCCTATTTCAACTTTTTTTTATATCTAAATCTGTATAATACTTTATCATCTCAAATCTCAATCTATCTTATTCTTTATTTTCTCAATCAACATTTTGGCCATAGAACACTCTCGTTGAAAAATTGTTGGTCATAGCTACGAGCAGCCAATGTTGGATTTTTTGGGAGTGGGGCCTCATTTATATTGGATCCTGAAAACAGATTAAAAAAGAAAGCAGAAGAGACTCATTTTTTGGACATGTCATGTTCTGTCGAAAACCAGTTATGGAGTTATGGGCATTCTGCAATGCTACCAGCTTTTTTTCTATCAGAATCGACGGCCTATATTAAGTTGTGACTCGGTCAATTATATAAACTTATTACAAACATAAGTTCCTTTTACCGAAAATTCTTTTTAAACGGTATCATTGTTTTCCCAGCCATAGCATATTTTATCATTTTATATTTTTAGGCTTAGCATTCTTTCTTTTTTTTTAATAGATCGTTGGTTTCATAGCAACTCTTCTGTTTGGGGTTGATACAATCATCACTGGATCCTGGATAGGAGCAAGAACCTACGTTCCTCCAAGTATGAGACCGGGGCCAATACGTTATCCTCCTAACTATCAACCGAAAGTCTATTATCCTAGAGCAAGAAAGGAGGTGATATATGATTCTCCACAGATATTATTAGATCCATGGGAAAAGAAAATTCATTATAATGATTACAGACCATCGCGGTATAATTTTAATCTGAACAATCCAAGAGATCCACGCTTACCAGACCGAGTTGACGTCAGATATATTCAAAATAAACCGAGGTATCTCAAACCGTTATATCGTAGAGAATATCGTTTCCCAGAAGAACGTTTTGACTACGAATATGACGATGTACGTACTGCCCCAGTTCGTAGATACCAACCTCGAGAAGTCATGGACGGATTTCGTAGTTTTCCAGATCAAGATTTCAGAAGGTATCAAAGTCTGGTAATGAAACCCATCCTGCATGAGGATGATTTACTGTGTGATGATAGTAGAACTCATGTTACTGTGTTCAATCATCGAGAATATGATAAGAGACCGTTTCCTAGGCTTTACAATAATTATCGTAGAAGGAATTGGAGAGTACCCGAATTTGATGATTTTACTAGTGAGAACGAACTTGATTCTAACATGCCATCTCGGGGTTCCAATGACTTTTCTCTGAATCCGAATTATCATAAACGACGAGACTATAGGGTGCCAAATTTTAAAAATTATGATGATTGGAGAATACAAAAGCATCGTGCTCGCCAATTATCAACAATTCCAGCAAAACCAAGACTTCGTCGAGAACATTTCTGGTCGGTGGATTCGATACCATCGGATAGGAAAAGGAGGAGAGAGTACCCAAATTTTAAAACGTACGAAGATTGGAATATACCTCGAGATAGATTTTCTATATCTAGTGTTCCCAATAGATTCCCAGAGAAAGATGATTATCAATCATCATTCGGACCTTTTGAGTCTAAAGTGGGAGAAAACTTTTCAACGACACCCTTTCCAGATAGGTCATTAGTAGATACTTCATCGTTGATACGTCCGTACCGTCCTAAACCTAGGCGTGATCCAGATTTACAAGAACAGAAATCTATAAATTCTCGTAATGATCCTGTACCGGGTGTTCCAGGTAACAGATCGATCGTACAAGATAGAATCAGTAATCGTGATAGTGACATTGCTTCTTTGGACGCTAACAGATCCACCAACTCACAACGGATGAAGCCAATTTTCAACAAAGAAAAGGAGCCGAAAGCTAGAAAATCGGTTGGGAGTGTTTAAAAATGAAAAACACGTAGGCTTTAATTTACTTTAGGTTTTACAATTCAAATGTGAAACAACATGAAATCGTGGATTCACTGTAGGCCCTATATGAGGTATGTTGGTATAATGTGAGGGAATCATGTACATTGTGTTACCGGCTCTTGTACTCTTCTACTGATACAAGCTTACATTCGTACATATGCAAAATTATTCAAACTAAGTCAAACTAATGGAAGGCTTCTTACAGTAACAACATGTTTGATTGATTCTGGATGTAAACGTTAAAATGAAATGTAGTTTTATGTCCTGCATTTATTGGGTTACAGAAGACGGTTACCATTATACAATGTGCGCACTGAATCTAGATGTTTTCGACACCTTTTCAAAGCTAGCTCCTCTCAAGTGCATCACTGAAACAACATGAATTATTGCCGGGTCTGAAAATTGAAGGGTCAGTAAACAATCATGAACGGTGCCCGTAATTTCTTCCAGTTAAATTTGCTGTGGTGATACGAAATCAAATAATAATATATTGTGCTAAACCTAGATTAAATCCTGTCAAGACCAAAATCGAAACAAGAAATTATTGTTTTCAGCAAATCTGTGATAAAAAGATATAATATCTAAATAAATTAAATTATATTTAATGTGTAAGTTATTATTTTGTAGCTAAACGTATAATTCTTTTCATGTTTTTTCTAAATTACAATGTCATTCAGCAAAGTATTACATGATTAATGCTCCCGAGTCTTCCAGTGGTACATTCACCTAAGTTCTTGTCGAAGCGATATAGGGTTGATAAAGAATAATACCGGCCACGGCCCATTCGTCCCATTTGATCAAAACATCAGTAGAAACTACCGAAAGAGATGTTGGCCTCAGAAGTGTTCAAAGAATTCCACCAATTATAGACAATCACGGAGGCCAAGAAGTTCCGTTTCCGCTCCCGACCTCTTGATCGCGACTGCATATACTTTATGGTTGGTAAGAAGCACATCTTTTAACAGCAGACCCTGATTAAACTGTTGTTCGGTGAAGGGGCCAGCAGTGGCGGAGCCAGGTTTATGGGGGGAGGGGGGTATCTGAAAATGCCCGAATTTCTAACCTAGTTATGAGTGTCTTGGGGTTCAAATAGTCTAGGGGCAGAATGGAATAATGAAGGACAACTGTCTAGGCTGAAATGCAAACTATCGGCAATTATGTGGAGGCGTTACAGTCTCAAGCCTCTCGTTGAGCGTCTGAAAGGGTTCTTCCCTATAACATTTTCGATAAAAATGAATTGGTGGTGCACTCTGACAATATTTGGGACAAAACGTATAAATATCGTGAAATGGGGGGCGTATATTGCCGTCATCCATGTCCGTCTGTCCACAATTTCTCGTAAACACTCTACAAGACACAATTTTTGGCGGATTTTGACAAAACTTGGTGTGAGTGTTGGTAATCACCCAAGAATGAACCCTATTGAAAATCAGAAGAATTGAACAATATTTAAGGATGAGTTATTGCCCTTGTTTTTGAAAGCGCGTTCAATTTTTAGCTCGTAAACACTCCAGAAGACACAATTCTTTACGGATTTTGACGAAACTGGGTTTGAGTGTACGTAATCACCCACGGATTAACCCTATTGAAAATCAGAAGAATCAAAAAAATATTTAGTATTAGATATTGTCCTTGTTCTTGAAAACGCGTTCAATTTTAAGCTCGTAAACACTTTAGAAGGGACAATTCTTGACGGATTTTAACGAATCTTGACATGAGTGTTTGTTATCACACAAGAATAAACCCTATTGAAAATCAGAAAAATCGAAAAATATTTAGAATGAGTTATTGTCCTTGTTCTTGAAAACGCGTTCAATTTTTAGCGCGAAGAAGGGACAATTCTTGACGGATTTTGACAAACCTTGGCATGAGTGTTTGTTATCACCCAAGGATAAGTCCATTTGAAAATCAGCAAAATCGAAAAATATTTAGTATGAGTTATTGCCTATTGCCCTATTCATTTTTTTTTATCTCGGAAATCTTAGAAGGCACAACCCGTGACAGATTTTGGCGTAATTTGGTGTGAGTATTAGCAGCACCCAAGGATGAACCAAATCAAAAAATGTTTAATAGGAGTTATTCCCCTTGTTCTTGAAAGCGCTTTCAAATTTTAGCTCTTAAACACAAGAAGGCATGATTCTTGCCAGATTTTGACAAAACTTGGTTATATTATTCAGTACTTCTCAGAAGGTTGAATATTTGCCTTCTAGAGTTTTCACGAGCTAAAAATTGAACATGTTTTCAAGAACAAGGGCAATAACTCATACTCAATATTACTCAGTATCGCCCCAAAGAGTTCAAAAGAAGTGTATGACTGAAGGTTGAATATTTCATACTGGTGATTTTTATTGTGCTGCAAATATATTTATTCAAAATCAAAGCTGCCAGTGGGCGTATATTACCTTGCCTGGTAAGCTATCTTTAAATTTGTCAAAAATAAAGTGGGGATACAATTGGGGGTGCAAACTAGCAAATCATTCTAGCGGGGGACAAATACTTATTTGTAGTTACCTTGCTTGAAACTACTGAATTCATACTGCTAGCAGACAGTGTACAGACAACCCATGTTTATCAAAACAAGCAAATGAGGAGGTCACGCGAGGTCGCACATAGAAACATATATGCTGTACATCTATCTATGTATAATCTTCTCTGACAGTTATCTACCTTATATCTTGAATAGATATTATTATTGTTATTATTATTATCATTATTATAGGTGGTGACTACACAGTCTAGTGTTTAGTTTGCTCCCGCATCCGCGCTTTAGTCATACCATAGAACTGTATACAGTTCGAATCTATGGTATTTATATTGCAAGTGTCTATGTGATCAAGACTAAACATGACCTTGCTTCTCATACGACCTTCACATTTTGTAAACAAATACACGTGAGGGAGTAGTTGAAAAAACAATTCTGTTAGTATTATAATTCAAAATGATGAAAAATGTGATTGAATTTGGCAGAGTGAGTAAGCTTCTTAAGATGCTATTGTGACCAGTGCAGTTTATAACTGAGAAAGTCTAGTTTTTTACCCGATTTATTTACCCGAAACATATGCCTTTATTCTAGGATCCGATACTGATAGTGATAGTAGTATATAGAAGGATGTAGTGTAGACGTAGTAGTGTCAGAAAAAGTAGGCCTTGAAGCCGTATGCATAAAACATCTTAAATATGATTATTTCCTTAATTTCTAAGGATATCCTTAGAATCTCCCTTAGGTTCTATGGTATGCATACAGTGTCTTAACTTGAAACCGGTATTATCCTTGTAGGAATTTATTTATTTCAATCTTGTCGTAATTCCTTTCATGTTCTGTAAATATATTATAATGATAATGTATAAACTCTTGTATGACCAACATCAATTACTTGACTTTTTATTTAGAATATGGGAATGAGAAGTAGACAGTTTATAGGTTTGACTAAGAAATTCTCATCACCATGTGAGACTACAAAAGGTGAACAAAAATTGACACAAATTTTAAAAAACAGTTTTCCAGAGGCTTCAGAAGTGATTGTTTCAGATATTTCAGGTAAAGTTGATTAACCAATGAATTTTGTTCACATTATGTGAAATAGTTTTAATAGGGTAAGGTAATTGGTAAAGTTCTGTATCAATTGAATTGAATAGTAATAAGAAACTGTTGAGTGATTAGAATAAATTGATGAGAATAAATTGTATTTATTCTGTAATAACTTAGCAGTCAGATGGCAATAAATTGTTGTTGGGCTATTACCAGCTATGTAGATTATTTCTCGTAAAGTCTCACTTTCGAGATTAGATGAATAGTACTGCGCAGCCGTGACAAATCATTTGAACTGCTCTAAGCCGTTGTGACAGGACGTGGTTTTGTCACTGGTTAAGTTTAATCAGGTTTACTTGTTGACATGGTCGATGAGTTTATATCTGTGTTAGCAAAACATTCATTTAGATAGAAACGCTTTGTTTTGTCTCTAGACGAGAGTATTTAGATGCCATATTGTTTACATTGGTTACGATGGCAAGTGCTCAGTTGTTGGATATTGGTATGAAAAAAACTAATAATAATCCTTCTGTTGGAGCGAATAATCGAAAAGGGAAGAAGAAACATTCATCTCCAAGTGGTTCGGGTTCGAAAGGTTCTGATTTGCAGTTACCAGGGTCGAGTATATCAAAAGGCAAAACGAGTGTTGTCGATGTAAATAACAATACCGCCTGTTCGAGTCAATCGGGATCGAAACCACTTTCCATTAAAAACGTACCTTCAGATTCTGTAGACATTTTAAGTGTTTTGAAGGCAATTCAGGCAAATCAAAATACACAGAATGCTAAATTTGAGTCTCTAGCAAGTAAAGTTGATGAAATGTATTATTGTGATGATGGTCACACTGGCTATAATAAAGATGATGATCTTTTAGCTGCAGAATATGAAGATGACCCAAATAATTATGAGGGTTTAGACGATACACTTCTTGAGCCAGACTATAAGAAACCTCGTCTTGATGTTGATTCTGAGATACCCCCTTCTAGTGAGACACGTGTGTCCAGGTTTTCTGAAGCTGGCAAAAAGTTACGTGTGAAGGATAAATGTGATGTTCCAGTTAATGATGAAATAGCTTCATTGGTTGATGGATGGTTCCGTGAGGGAATCGAAGAAGATCGTTATTTTGAATTGATCAAGACCATAGCTCGACCAGAAAATTGTACTTCTCTAGTGAATATAAAAACCAATCAACTTGTTTGTGAATTTTTGGCAGCTTCGACTAAAATAGCTGACAAGAAAATACAGAATGCACAAACGTCACTTGTTAAAGGTGCTATTATCTTGACCAAGTTAACTGATGTCTTGGGATATGCTCCTAACGAAGGTTCAGATGAAAATTTGGAGAAAGCTTTGGAAGCTTTAGCTTTACTTGGCCATGCAAATAAACAATTATGTTTTATAAGACGAGAAAACATGAAACCAGACATAAAGGGTGAATATTCTCATCTTTGCAGCCAAACGCTCAAGTACACTGATCATCTATTTGGTGATGATGTGTCAAAAACTGTTAAGGACATCTCAGACTGTTCTAGGATCAGCAATAAAATTTCTCAAGGTCGAGGATTCAGTAACACTCGTGCAAGGTCAGCACGTGGTAGAGGTTTTCGTGGAAGATTTAGTAGAGGCCATTTCCGTGGTAGAGGTTTTGGTGCAAGTAGCTCAAATTATGGTGCTTCAAAAAACTTCCAGAAGAGAGGGCAAGGTCGCCCCTCACCGACTTAAAAGTAGACCTAAAGGCAAGTAAAACAATTGATAGATTCCAGGCTGGTAGATTAGCATTGTTTCTTAATGTATGGGAAAAATTATCTTCTGATAAAACAATTTTGGATATTGTAAAGGGTTATCATCTTGATTTCGTAGATGAATTGCCTCCCTTTCAAGAATCAATGCCATATCAGCCAAAATTTCCTTCTGACAAATGTGAGGTTATCTCAAATGAAATTCAAAATTTATTGGAAATGAATGTTATAAAAAAAGTGCCTTTTGATAAAGATGGGTTTTACTCATCTATTTTTGTGAGACAAAAACCAAATGGTAAATATCGAATGATTTTGAATTTGAAAAATTTGAATCAATTTATTACATAGCATCACTTTAAGATGGATTCATTTGAAACGGCACTCACTCTTGTTTTTCTAAATTGTTTTTTTGGAAGCGTTGATTTTTCCAATGCTTATTATTCCATTAGTATGACTACAGACCATCAAAAATATTTGAGGTTTATGTGGAATGATAAAGCTTATCAGTATAATGCTCTACCACAGGGTTTATCTAGTGCACCTAGAATATTTACAAAGTTATTGAAACCTGTGTATTCCACTCTCAGGAGATTGGGTCATATAAATTCAGCATACATTGATGATTCTCTTTTAATTGGCATTTCTGAGACTGAGTGTTCAGAAAATATCAATTCAACTATATCTTTAGTTGAAAGCTTGTGAATTATGAAAAATCTGCTCTCAGCCATCTCAACAAGTTATATTTCTAGGTAATATTATTGACTCTGTTTTAATGACAGTCACCATCACACCCCAAAGAAGGGAGCGTATGGTTTCAGCTTTTAGTGATATTATCAAACTTTCTAAAGTGAAAATTAGAGAATTAGCCAGAGTTATTGGGTTAGTTGTGGCCTGTTTTTCTGCATCTGATTACGGGCCTTTGCACTATAGAACATTAGAAAGGGCTAAGATTAAGGGCTTGCAATACTCAAAATATAATTTTGACTCAGTAATTTGTATCACAGATGATTTGAAATCTGAAATAGCTTGGTGGATTAATAATTTAGATTCTCAAAGTAGAAAAATTTCACATGGTGATATTGATTTTACTGTCATTTCTGATGCCTCCTTTTCAGGTTGGGGAGCTGTCTTTAATGACTTAAAAACTGGTGGTAGATGGTCTGATTTTGAAACAGGTAATTCAATAAATTATCTGGAACTTCTAGCTTGTTTTTATGGCTTAAGATCATTCAATGTAGATAAGAAATTTAATGGCAAACATATTAAGGTTTTATTGGATAATGTAACTGCAGTATGTTATATTTAGGAGATGGGAGGTATCCATTCATTACAATGTGATAATTTAGCTAAAGAAATTTGGACATGGTGTATAAGTGAGGATATTTGGCTATCTGGTAGTCATATTCCAGGCAAGTCAAATGTTGCCGACATTCATTCTAGGAAGTTTGATGACCAAAAAGAGTGGATGCTGAACCCATCAGTGTTTGAAAAAATTGTTGATTTGTTTGGTCTTCCAGACATTGATCTTTTTGCCTCAAGGCTTAATTGCCAGGTGGGAAAGTTTTGTTCATGGAAACCTGATCCTAATGCTACCTTTATCGATGCTTTTTCATTTTCATGGAATGAATTATATTATTATCTTAATCCTCCTTTCAGTCTCCTGGGTCGCTGCATCCAGAAAATCCGCTTAGACAAAGCCGAAGCAATTGTGGTAGCACCAATTTGGTCCAGCCAGTCTTGGTTTACCAGTCTCATGGAACTTCTAATAGAGAATCCGGTTATGATACTGCCTCAGCCAGACCTTTTGTTACAACCGGTCTCGAAAGAGAAACATCCTCTTCACAAGTCGATACATCTGATGATTTGCCGTGTGTCCGGACACAATTATCGCAATCTCTCTCATTTTGGCATCATGGAAGTCAGAAACCAAGAAACAATATAAAGTGTTTTATAAAAGATGGTTTCAGTACTGTAGTGAGAGGAAAATTAGTCCGTTTTCGGCTTCTGTAGAAAGTGTTGTTAATTTTCTGGCAGAGTTGTTCCTTTCTGGTCTAGGCTACAGTGCAATAAATACTGCTAGAGGAGCTTTGTCTTCTATGGGATTGATATTTGATGGATTCTAAACAGGATCACACCCTTTGGTCATTAGGTCTTTGAAAGGTGTTTATAATTTAAGACCTACCAAATCTCGTCATTCTACAATTTGGGATGTTTCGCCTGTTCTTGCATATTTGCAAAAACTTTCTCCTGTTAGTGAACTAAAGTTAAAAAACTTAACTTTGAAACTAGTCATGTTGATTTCACTACTTTGTGCAACAAGAGTGCAGACATTACATTGTCTTAGATTGCGTAATATGGTTGTGGAAAAATCATCTTACGTATTCACATTCACTGATTTATTAAAAGTCAGTCGACCAGGTTATAAAAATCCGGATATGGTGTTGTGTGCTTATCCACCTGACAGGAGACTTTGTGTTTATACCGTACTAAAATATCTGGAGAGAACACATACCCTTCGACAAGATCAAGATCAATTGTTTATAGGCTATATTAAGCCACATAAGGTGGTATCTCGTGATACAGTATCTAGATGGATAAAAACTGTAATGTGTAGTGCAGGTGTGGATGTTAATGTGTTCTCGGCACATAGTGTACGTTCTGCTTCTGTATCAAAAGCAAACTTTTATAAAGTTCCTCTTCAAGAGATTATGGACAAAGCTGGTTGGACTAATGTTGGGACATTTCGTAAATACTATGATAAGCCAATTGTTAATAATGTGTATGATAGTAGTGTATTAAAGTTGTAAACATTTTTTTTTTTCAATCTTTGTTATTCTTTAAAGATTCACATAATCTCGAAAGTGAGACTTTACGAGAAATAATTAGAAAATTAAACGAAACATACCTTGGTAAAGTTGAAGTGTGATTCTAATTATTTGAGTAAATTAGGATCACTGTAGAGATTAGGTGCCACCCTCACCTCCCGGCATCTAATATTATCTTGATTTACAACCATTTAGTCTGTTCCAAGTTCGGATTATAGCTTGAAAAAATGTTTATTCTGTAAAATATGATTTGTCACGGCTGCGCAGTACTATTCACCTAATCTCTACAGTGATCCTAATTTTCTCAAATAATTAGAATCACACTTCAACTTTACCAAAGTAAGTTTCGTTTAATTTTCTAATTTCCATATCACTTTTCACAATTTAAATTGAAGTGTAGCTGCGATTCAACACAAGATATTGTGGCAATATTGACTATCTTTCACTTCCATGATGTTTTACATTCTCACTTACAGCTATTTCTAATATTACAATGTCATTACAAAGAACTGCAAAATTAGAACAACACACTGGAAGTAGCTCATTTTAGCCTACTTATTATAATATTCTGTCTAAGGATTCTAACCTAAAATAAAGATAATAATATTGCAGGTGGTTGTGGCGCTATGTTCCAAATTAATGTTGAAAGTGAAGTTTTTCGTGGGAAACGGATCATACAACAACATAAATTAGTTACACAGGTATAAATTATCAGTTGAATATTGTTCCAAACTTTCAAGGAAAAGAGTAACTATTCAAGTTTGATTTGAATTCAAGATGGCATATGACACTCCAATTTCAAGATTTTTTACTTTTTTGTTGGAACAAAAAAGAAAGCAGGAATGAGTCCTTTGCAGATTTATACCACAATCCAAGTAACTTAAACAAAATTTAATACATACTCTGTTTTTTGTAACTGGACTTTTGAGGTTAGTCATTTGACTAAAATCAGACGTAAAATTTTTGTCAGATGATGGATGGCAACTGGACTAATTGATCAAAAAAACACGAAACTGAACATCCAGATTTGATTTAAATCAGATTAATGGCAATTAAATATGATTCAATTAATGTTTATTTTCAGGCCTTAGAAGAAGAAATAAAAGATATGCATGGTTTACAGATCACTACCAGAGTACCACCAGTAAAATAATCATCATAACATTCTACTTGACATCAGGATGAATCAACTATCACAACTGGCAGTTGAAGCAATATGTTTCTTTGTTAGTGTAGGAAAATGTATGTAATATTCTCTCGCTGAAGTGATGCCGCCAGCTGAAACTATTCTTTATTTACTATATAATTTGATTATAAAGAAATCCATTGTACATGTATAAAAATCATTGCTGTGGATATAATTTCGTGTACATGTAGATTTGAATTTATGTGTATTTTGGTATAAACATGATGATTGTTATTTGTAAATAAACACGTGACTATTCATAAAGATATTTTCTTAAAAAAGTTAATGTTCAGGATAGTGGTTCTATACTAGAGGGCAAATTTTCTTTTCATTTCTTAAAATTATACAACTGTAAACTTGTTCTTAGTAATGTCATAGCAAATAGTAAACTAATTTGGATGTTTACACATTGCATGTATATATAAAAGTCTACAATAACTTTCACTGTCAAAACAGTGCTCAATTCATCGATTGTAGAGCAAGAAAGAAAAATTAAAACAGAACCTTTTTTGTGAAACTCTGTGATTCAGGTTCTGTTTTAATATTTCTATCCATTTGAGTCACGGTTGCCATACTAACACATCAAAAGCTTTTTAAAAAATATGTTTTATTTGTCATTATTATATGTTTCATACTCATCAATGTCCACCTTATCATCTTCTTTATCTTGTACCATCTTCCATTTTTCATTAAAAAGTTCTTCATCTTCTTCTTCTTCAATTTGTTCTATCTCTAGTTCATATTCTTCATCCTTTTCTTTTACCATTTTAAACTTCTCAAATATATAATCATGTTCCATTTGTCTCAGTATTTTTTTGGCTTTCTCTACTTTTGGTTTCTTTAATTTGAGAGCCAACTGGTTATACTGCTTTGAAGCACATGTTGATAAATTTGGTGAGATTTGGTTGGAAAAATCTGGATTTTTTATAACAGAACGTGTTCTTTCTTTTGATTTCTTTATGATGAGATTTGTCATTATTTCATCTTGTTGGACTCCATAGATGTCATTTTTAGATCTTGCCACATTTTCATCTGTAGGTTTGTTATCACTTTCACTCACTAAGTTTTGTTGTGTATCATAAATTCCACTTAAAAGATCTTTTTCATGAAAAGCCATTTTAGCATGCTCAATTTTGTCTTTAATAGATTGAGGTGGTTCTATGCTGTACTGGTGTTGAACAATATCTAGAGGAACTGTGGTAGGTGTAAAATTTGGACCGAAATCAATTGATTTTAATATTTCTTCCACTCTCCTTACATTAGAAACCGATTTGTCTTTAACAAAGTTAATACAGGGTACAAAACTGATTAGATGATAGGATGTTAAAACATGTCTGAAATAAATAAACAGAGCACTAACTTTCCATGAGTTTATTCCATAGGTTTTGGAGCCATTGGCCGCTACATGATAAAAAGGATAATATGCAGATATAACCACTATAGGCTGTCCAGCACTCATTAATGAAAAATAAGGGGTAATTTTGGGGCTAAAGTTAAAGATAGCTTGCCAGGCAAGATAACATACGCCCACTACCAGCTGTCAGAAATGATAAAGTCTATAGTGGTTTAATATGTGAAACCAATCATCCGATTGTTACTAATTTCAAGCTTTACTCAGGTCTCATATCAACTTCATCAGAAAAAGAATAAAAAAATGTAGTCTCTATAAGGCCTACAAGCCAAATTAGACACACTGAATTAATTCAAGAGCCATAACTCCAAAACCATTCATCCGATTACCATTTTTGAACTTGAGATCTCATCAATATATACATGCATACCAAGTTTCGTTGAGATCGGATAAAAACTGAACCCTTTATCATGACTACAAGCAAAATTTGAAGCGTGTTTACTAAGTCAAGTGCAATAATTCTGAAACCAATCATCCGATTATGACCAAATTCAAACTTGACCGAGATCTCATCAATATATACATGCACACCAAGTTTCATGAAGATAGGATAACAAGTGGTTGCCTAGCAAGATACGCCCACTGTCCTCATATATTTTCAGTATATCAAGGTCAGTTGATATTGTTGATTTAAACAAAGACACATTATTTAATAAAATTCTGACATAAACTGTCACCTCTATCGCCAACAAATTTTGATGAGGTTTTACTACGTCATGGGCAATAACTCAAATTCTGTTGATTGAAAAATTGTCAAATTCAATCTTGACTATAATCTCATCATTATAAATGATCATACCATAAATGATCATTTAAATCGAATGAAAACTGTACTCTCTATTGTGTTCACAAACAAATTTTGACGCATTTTTTAAAAGTCAAGGGCAATAACTCAAAAACCGTTCATCGAAAATATCGTGATATCGTGAATATTAAACTTGTTCAAGATCTCATCAATATAAATGATCACACCAAATTTCATTTGAATAAGATGAAAACTGTAGTCTCTATCTCGTTCACAAGCAAATTTTGACGCGTTCTGGCTAAGTCAAGAGCAATAACTCAAAAACCATTCATCGAAAATCGTGAATATCGAACTTGTCCAAGATCTCATCAATATAAATGATCACACCAAATTTCATTCGAATCAGATGAAAACTGTAGTCTCTATCACGTTCACAAGCCAATTGTGGACAGACGGACGGATGGACGTATGGACATGGGTGACGACAATATACGTCCACATTATAATGTGGGCGTATTAAAAACTGTAGCTTCTATCGCGCCAACAAGGCAAATTTTACGCGTTTTTACTAAGTCAAGGGCAATAACTCAAAAACCAATCATCCTATAATCACGAATTTCGAACTTTTAGAGCTTAAATCGAGAATTTTATAACTAAATTCCAGCAGCTCTAAATATTTAAATGGATTACTTTCGCACATTTGACAACTAAAAAACTTACATAAATTCTTGAGTGCTATGGCTGATAAATGAAATGAAATGAATGAAGTTTACGTCCTACTTTTTGGGAATTTTAGGGCCGCTGGACAGCCTGCCACTACTATGCCTTCATGTAATATCTGTGAGGGACCATATCACTAAAACAAAGACACATCTGTCATGTATGTTCTTCTCTGGTAGGGGAATGCAATATTATAGTATTGTGCCCTTCCAATGCTTGCTGCCAGCAATGCTGAAATTTGCTGCTGACAGACAATGCTGCATTTAAGCAACAAAAGTCTTTATCTGCTAGTGAGCTAATATTATAGCCAAGATATTATTGATTTAAACCAACACACAAAATTTCATAAAATTCGGACATAAACTGTCAGCTCTATCGCGTTCACAAACCACTTTATATAAAATTTAAGTTGATTTTAAATCAGGTAAAAGTCTAGTCTCTATAGTCTTCATAAACAATTTTGAAGCATATTTCCCATGTCAAGGGCAATAACTCCTAAACCATTTATCTTTAAAATTGTCAAATTAAAACTCAACCAAGATCTCATCCATATAAATGATCACATTAAATTTAATTAAAATTAGATGGAAACTGTAGTCTCTATTGTGTTCACAAACAAATTTTGATGCATTTTTACTAAGTTAAGGGCAATAACTCAAATTCTATTCATTGAAAAAAACTTCACAACATCATAGCCCTAGATGATCATACCAAATTTGATTAAATCAGATGAAACCTGTATTCTCTTTAATGTTAACTAAAATATTTTCAGCTTTTCACTAAATCAAAGTCAATAACTCAAAAACCGAACTTGACTAAGATTTCATCAATATAAATGATCACACCAATCTCTGTTGTATTCACAAACACATTTTTATGCGTTTTTAATAAGACAAGGGCAATAACTCAAAATCAGTTCACCAAATAATATCGTCAAATTCGAACTTAATCAAGATCTCATCTATATAAATGCTCACACAGAAATTCATTAAAATCAGATAAAAACAATAGTCTCTATTGTGTTCACAAGCCAATTGTGGACAGACAGGGGCGAAGATAATGTGGGCATATAAAAAACTAAAAACAATTACATTCTCATTAGACTATGCAGATATAGTGAACAGTTTACATATGTTAAACAATCTTTAAAGGATAGAATAGGTCGAAAGATGAAAACCAACCTTAGTTTTCCTTGATTTTTTCTCAAAATCATTTCTATTTCCTCATCTTTTTGTGTACCAGTGGCTGACCAATAAACATTCATACTAGTGAAATCAGGCTCCACCTTTACCTGTAATCATTTACACAAACACAACAGTATATTATTAGTATATCCAGGAAATTTGTACATATCAGCCAATCAGTTTGATAACAATCTATTAACTGTAATTTCAGTGAGAAACACACATTTCATAACACAAATTTCATCAAAATTCTAGGAATTTAATAGAATCTTATATCCTATATATAACCTTATTTAATACAGTTACATGTATTACAATGTGCAAAACATCTCAAAATATATATATCATTAGAATATCAACAGGGTCTATACTTGTGGAAGAGTTCAATAAAAGGTTGAAGGATGTTCTGTAAATATAAGCGAAAAAATAGGATGAGACCAATAAAACCAAATAAATACCCCAGTTATTTCTACATTATTGGCTGATAAATATGGATCTAATTCTCCTGTGTTAATGATTTGTACTAAATAATCATATAACACTTTGCCAACTTGACGTGCTCTTCTCTGTTGTCCATTACTTTCAACTCGTTTTCTACTTTCTGTTTTTGAATCACCTGTAACACTTTCATGTCTTGGAACCTAAAAGAAATATTTGTGGTAAATGATGCAATATGTTATTTTGCCTTTCATCATTGGATGAAAGTATTCTAAACTTATTTTTAACTTAGAATTTGATAACAAAGCCCAAACTTTCCTTCACAGAACCTCCTTCCCCCCCCCCCCCCCCCCAAAAAAAAACAGATAAAATATTTATTTTTACAATGTAAATCAATGCATTGTACAAACATTGTAATTGTTAATCCTTGAACTTTTTGATAAAAATAATTACAAATAACTATAGACTATCTATTTACTTACGAAGTCAAACTGAGGCTTGAATCGTCTGAAAAAGAAAAAAAAGATTCTGGTGAATATAGATAGAAACTCACACATCTTCAATATTAAAGATTCAATAAACGTCTAAAATATTATAATTAAGTCTGAAGATAGTGTGCAGCTTGAATGTTGACTTTTAATTCCAACACATCAAAATCAATTTAAAGGGACAGAGGCTGCATTTCCAGAGATTGATTTGAACCTTGAATATATCTAAAAAATTTTCAGAACTACTTAAATTGTACAAAAATCTCATAATTTCTTCAAAAAGACCTCAACAAGACATTTAACTTCACAGGAAGTTAGAAGAAGTGGGACAGGATGATTGAGTCTACCTTATACACCACGTCATCAACAGATATTTGATATAAAAAGTTTCTTACTAATTAAAATTACTTTCAAACTTAGATAATTATGGATACACTTGGATCTGAAGCTCAAATTTCAAGGTTAAGCTGTGAACATTATATCGGAACAATTCACGTTTCTGAGACCAAGGTTGCCGCATCTGTCCCTTTAATGAAATAAGGCTACTTTTGGATTCCTAGTTTCTCTTAGGGTAAAAGTAAAGATGAAAAAGTCTGTTCATACTTTTTAGTATTATTTTGTTTCAAATACATCTTCTGTAAAATTCGAGCCATTCTCACTTCATCATTCTTCCATCTTAATGTTATTCTTTGCACTCCTAATGCAAAAAGACTTATGTTGGAAGTGATGGTATTTTTCAGCATTTTACTAAATTTTAGCCAAATATCTGAAACCTGAAATGGAAATGAAAGCAAATATAACTTTTTTTTTAAATCTTTCTGATCCTTCCCATCATCATGTAGACAGTCCTATGATCTGCCCAACCTCTAAGCCTACCAATACCAGAAGTCTTAAAATTGTAAATAATAATCTATGTGTTTGTGAAAGAGTTACTAGGCTCAAAATCTTATGGTACATACAAAATGTAACTTTAGGTTCAAGCTTTTAGCTTCTATATATCTAAGGTTTTAAGCCTACAGAGGTCGGTTGGCTGGATAATCCAATGCAAAGGAGTTATCTTCCAAACAGTTTGTCCGATTTGGCATCAGACCGATTTCGAATACAAGACATCTCGGACCAAAAAAAACTCGGACATCTGACATATCGACAACACAAAAATGAAAATGCATGCTGCCATTACTTTCGATACTAATATAATAATAATCTTAACAGAAAACCTGAAATGCTCGAAATTCAAATCCTAAACATAAATTTTTAAAAGCACAAGGTAAATAACTGGATCAGCCAATGGCAATGAGTAAAACTGTAAAAGAAAAAAGACTGTCTCGAGGTAAATCATTGATGTACTTCCGGTTGAGAAACTTTAGCAGACAGCAGTGGCTTTACTTTCAAAACAAATAAAAGTTGAAATAAAATGTATCATGGATGTATAAACACTTGATATTTTACATAACTGGACTAAGTAGAGCATAAGAACCTTCTCTAATTCATAATCATGTCAACAAAAGCTTTGAAAAGACTTCAAAATGAAGATCCTCTCCAAGAAATATTGAAAAAAGTTGGTGGTGCGGATTCTGCTGAATCTGACGAGGAGTCAGTTGAAGAAGACAGCCAACCTACAGCACCTCGCAAGGGAAAGAGAAGCAAAAAGAGAAATAAACAACTGAATCGTTTTGATTTGGTATGATTTAGTGACTCTTTTTACATAGCAATATTGTGTATATTAGTAAAGTAATTGAATCAATGGAATTGACATAGGTATTTAGTTAAACTGAAACATCTGTCTCTATTCCATCCTCTGATAGCTATTTGGACAGATGTCAGCTGGTTTAGAGACAGAAATAAAAAGCCTGTTGAATTGGTACATTCTGCATCTGTTTTCAACCTATTTAGATACCTCAGATCTGCAAAACCCAGGTATATTTAGAAGGTTGACTATTTGTGTAATTCAGTCATACCATCATTTTCTCCCAACACCATTAATGTCATATCATGTTCAAACTTTTTTGTGCAAAACAGATCTAGCATCAGTCATTTAAACTGTGTGCACAGCCAAAACTTCAAAGCTCACAGAGCCATGTAATACTAACAAAACGAAAGTTACGGTGAGGCCCAACACTAATTTACAATCATCTTAAAGGTAATTCAATATTATGTCAAGGAAAACGTATCTTTTATCAGGGTCTTTTTCTTCTGACTATACTCCAGATGACAACTGTCAAAATATCGATCAGAGGCTGGAGTAGAGGCAGATTTTTCAGACTAGTATATTTAGTTAGACCGAGGCCAGAACTCTTACAACAAGGAAACAATTTACTTAACCCATATTTCTTCGCAATTTTATACAAGTCTTATGGGCTTTCGGTTTTGATTTTTAGATTCTTGGTTACTTATTATTTAAGCTCAACGAAGAAAACAACAAAGATGATGAAGAGTTAAAACAAATTTTACAAGAAGAAGAAGAAGAAGAAGTTGATGAATTGAATCATATAAAAAATGGGGAAAGCAAAGCTGAAAATGTACCAGAAAACAGGACTGGAGATAATCAAAAAAAAAAGAAGAAAAAGAAAAAAAGGAAAGGAAAGGAGAACAAGTCAGAAACTAACAATGATGTGGTAGGTACCCTGGATGAATTGTTTTAGAAATGATTCTTCGAATTCACTCCTTACACACATTGTTTTTTTTTGTTTATGATTTATTTGTTTATTATTTGTTTCAGGTAGAAGACGAGATTGATGCAAGTGTAAGAGAAGTTAATATGTTGTTAGGAGATATAGGTACAGCTGGCCATGATAGCTCCATGGCTGTCTCACAAATTACTTTCTCAATGAAAGCATTATTGAGTGTAGAACATAAGTAAGTTGTTCTGTTCATATTATTATGTACATAAAAGAGCAGCAGATATAAGAATGGCAATTTATGTTTGTCAAGCACTAGATTTCTTTGATATGTTGTTTTTTTGTACATGCAAAAACTTTACTTTTAAAATATTCATATTCTATGGTTTATCATAAGGCTGAACTATTTATTGACATTACTGTAAGTTGATTCTTATATTTCAGATATTTCACCACAAGAAATGATATCATTTAAAATCGTTTTGCTTTCAATCGTTATTCTTATGATATATAGGTATATAGATAGTTCAAAATTTTTATTGCGAACTAACAATCAATTTTCCATATCACTACCGGTTTCAACGTTATTTGGTTGTAAAGTTGAAATTTTCACTTCCCTAATTTTGAAGATATTTTCAAAATTCTTTTCGCAATTAGTTAACATTGTCCAAAAAAAAAATATTTGAATAAAAAAATTTGACGCGGAAGTAACAGTTCATCTACCATATCAATATGACTAATTTTTGTAAAACTTATTTGCAAACTTTGATACCTGAAGAACAAACATACAACAAAAGTTCTCTTATATCTTTATTACCCATTACCTCTTCTTTCTAGAGGTATATAACACTTGATTTTTTATCAAAATTTTCTTCTGACTTTTATAGTAAATGTGCGTAATTTGACTTTTGCCGTATAAATTCAAGCAGTTAATGCAAAACTATGAATATCTCTTGATCTGATAACTGTAGACAATTTAAATTTTGAACATTACTTGACATAGTATACATAATAACAAATGTGACAAAATTTTGGGATGGGCGTGGCACCTCCGGGTTAGATTCACATTCACCTTACATATTTGCAACTGATCATAACACACAAAGTAGGAATTTTATTCATACTAGGGTCACTACTTCAAGGTTGAAGGTCATTTATCTATGATGTCAATATACACTTGGATCTTTGATGTTCGACATCTACTAAAGACTCATATCTAGTGACCGTGACCTTGATCTTTGGTGACTTTGAGACCTGAATAAAAATCTTAGCCATTGACGAAATCTATCACATGATATGGAGGGCGTATTTTGCTGTCACACATGTCGGTCCGTCCACAATTGCTCGTAAACACTCCACAAGGCACAATTCTTGATGGATTTTGATGAAACTTGGCATGAGAGCTTGTTATCAACCAAGGATAAACGCTATTGAGAATCATAAAAATCGAAAAATATTTAGTATGAGTTATTGCCCTTGTTTTTGAAAAACGCATTCAATTTTTAGCTCGTAAACACTCTAGAAGGCACAATTCTTGATGGATTTTGATGGAACTTGGCATGAGTGTTTGTTATCAACCAAGGATAAAGCCTATTGAAAATCAGAAAATCAAAAATATTTAGTATGAGTTATTGATGAACCCTATTGAAAATCAGAAAAATCAAAAAATACTTAGTATGAGTTTTTGCCCTTTTTCTTGAAAACGCTTTCAAATTTGGCTCTTAAACACTAAAAGGCAAGATTCTTGATGGATTTTGACAAAACTTGGTTTTATTATTCAGTCCCGCCCTGAAGATTGAATATTTGCCTTCTAGAGTTTTCACAAGCTAAAAATTGAACACATTTTCAAGAACAAGGGCAATAACTCATACTCAATATTATTCAGTATTGTCCTAAAGAGTTCAAAAGAAGTGTATGACTGAAGGTAGAATATTTCAAACTGGTGATTGTTACTGTACTGCTAAATATTTTTATTCAAAATCAAAGCTGCCAGTGGGCGTATATAACATTGCCTGGCAAGCTATCTTTAATTTTTAAAAAAAATAATAAAAATTGTGTTAAAATTGTATCATTGACCTGTGAAAAGTTTTAAAAGAATCATAAGGGATATATATTGTTGTAATACATCTTAAATGGAACATTAACTTGTCACCTACCTACAAACCATTACCTAGAATAGAAAAAAAAAACGTGACAAAAGTTTGTTCTTACGAAACCTTTGCTTGATACATATAGAAGTAGCAGGTAATATTTTGACTATCGTCTAATAGGCTTGCGGCTCTATTACTATTTCTGTTTTATATCTACAGGAACTTGATTCCTGAAAATGAAATGAGAAGAATATTTGGTTCAAGAGTTATACAAGCTGAACAGAGGTATGTGGAATGTTTCATTTATTATACACCCACATGGAATTGGGTTGTTGTCGCCCATGTCACTTTTTATGATTGTTTGTAATCACCTAAGGATAGACCCTGTTGAAAATCAGAAAAATCGAAAAATAATAAGTATGAGTTATTGCCCTTGTTCTTGAAAACACCTTCAATTTTAATATATTCTCTACAAGGTTCAATTATTGACAGGTTTTGACGAAACTCTGTATGAATGTTTGTTTTCACCCAAGGATGAACCCTATCGAAATACAGACTAATGAAAATATTTTGTATAGGTTAATACCCCTTGTTCTTGAAAACATGTTCAATTTTATACACTGTAGAAGGTTCAATTTTTAACAGATTTTGACGAAACTTGGTGTGAGTATTTGTAGTCACCCAAGGATGAACAGACAAATATGCCCTTGTATCTGAAAACATGCTTAATTTTAGCTCGTCAACACTCTAGATGGCACAATACTTGACGGATTTTTACAAAACTTAGTAATATTATTCATTATCGCCCCAAAGAGTTCAAAAGAAGTGTATATCTGAAGGTTGAAAATTTCATACCTGCAATTGTTACTGTACTGCCAAATATTTTTATTTGAAATCAAAGCTGCTAGTGGGTGTATATTACCTTGCCTGGCAAGAATCACTAATTTCAGTTTGAAAGGTTTTAAATTTCCATGTTGGAATAATTTTTAAAAATTTATTTTCATTCTCTTGTAGACGCAATAGAAATCGACAAAGAATTCATCAGAAAACTTCAAGACTAGCACAACCTAAAGATACATGGGCTCCTTATTCCAAAACTGGTGAGTAATGACTTGCTGACTTATCTTATGTAAGAGACATAAAGCAATGAGTTTATAAACCAATTAAAAAAAGCTAAATATTGGTGTTATGGCATAATTGTAGTTATTTAAGAAATATGTGGGGTTTAAATCCCCCAAAAGTAACTTCAGAGGTCAGGTCACCATCAGCAAGGATGGAATATGTAACTGGTGAAGTAGGTGTTTTTGTAAATGAACATTTGTAAGTCCTGATATTGTTATTACAGGTTTATCTATGAACTTATTAGAAAATAGAAGAGGTTATCAATATTTTGAATATGAACACAATTCAGCCTATAGAGAAGTTCAGTTTTTATTTCTTGATGCTGTTGAATCTCTTAATCCTCAGAGCATTGTAGTAAGTAATTTCTTCTTGAATTCTAATTCTAAGATTGTATAGTGAATGAAATCATGAAATGAAGTCAAAACATCATACAAAAGATATTAAACTCAAATTATCACATCACTAGAACTTTGTACTCTCTACTTATTTATATATTCCATGAATGCAAATATATTTATGGTTTTTTTAGGTTCTGTTTTTAATACAATTGATGAATTAAGCACTATTTTAAGAGTGAACATAATATTTTATTATTGAATTATTATAACTTTTAATGAATTTTTTCATAGGATTTGTTGCATCTCCATCCTTATCATATTGGTGGCTTAATACAACTTAGTGAAATATTTCGAATGAGCGAAGATATGGCTGCTGCAGCTGAACTTATAGGTACTTTACACTAACTTTATATGTGTATTGCAAATGGGATTGAAAATAACTCTGTAGTAGGCCTATATTTAAAAACCTATTAGCACAACTATTTTCACTATTAATGTATTTAATCACATTTTCATCTCAAATTAATTTCTTTTCAGAAAAAGCGTTATTTGCATTTGAATGTGCCTTTCATCCATTGTTTAGTTTAACAAGTGGTAACTGTAGATTAGACTATAGAAAACCAGAAAACAGGTATTTTACATTGCTTCTAATGTGATCCTGAACTCACTCTGTTCATCGTGTCATTTTAGTGGTTAATGGTCTCCTGATTTGTTTCAATGAGCAAATATAGATTATATGCACCATTATTAATTGGAAATGTTATCATACAAGATACTTTCTCACTGATAAATATTCCTGTTTTGAGTATATACTACAGCAGATGGTGCAAAATGATGGTTTTAGCAAGCTTCTGTTTAGTTTACAGCAGTTTACAAAGACAAAATCTGTATAAAATGGGATGAGTAACTTGAGGTTTTAAGATATTCATTTAGATTTTTATTCCTGTATCTTTTTTTATAGGGGATTCTTCTTGTGTCTATTTAAACATTTATTAAATGTTGGTCAGAAGGGATGCTATAGAACAGCTTTAGAATTATCCAAATTATTATTAAGGTAAGTAGTTAGATTGAACCTTTTAATAAACATTCCTGCATTGTTATAGATATATGTCCACATCCGTGAATGATTAAAAAACATTAACACATGCAGCCCACTCTGATTTTTATACACCCACATGAATAGGGCTTTTTAAATAATAAAACTTAAACCATTTATTCCTCCTTTGCAGAGAATATGTCAATGTATTATTTCAGTCTATAAGCTGATGATGATTCTCTATGTGTGTTATTAAGTATTGATTTCTATAAAAATTTATCAATGTCTTATTTCAGTCTAGAAGCTGATGAAGATCCACTATGTGTGTTATTATGTATTGATTTCTATGCCTTACGAAGTGAACAGTATGAGTTTTTAATAAGGTTATATGAAGAATGGGAAGCCCATAGAAATTTATCACAGCTACCAAATTTTGGCTTCTCAATTCCTCTGGCAAAGTTTCATTTAGCAACTACTGATGAATTGTTAGATAAAGCTGATAATTTGGTAAATATTTTATTTAAGTACATGTAAATGTTCTTTCCCACTTTAAATCTGAATAGGCTTTGATTTGATGTTTAGATATGTTTTTTTTTTATCAATCAAATCAATCAGAAGAAAGCTTACAGTACATACTATAAAGAATTGATGATAGAAACATAACACAGGATCTTTGGATGACATGGACATCTGATTGCTTTGTTGGCTAAAACTTTTACCATGTCTTATATCACCAACTAAAATTTATGTGATTTTATCTACCTAGTTTTTTGATATTCAATCATCATCTTTCTTGTAATCATGACAGTAATGATTGTTACGATATAAGTTATCACCAAATTACACACATTTGGAATGTTTCATTTGTAGTTACAAGAAAGTTTGTTGATGTATCCAGGGTTTTTAATGCCAATGGTAGAAAAATGTGGAATAACTCCTGACCCTACAGTAACAGGACATCATTTCTTTCAATATAGTGCTCAAACTAGGTAAATTGTTAAACTCTTACGTTCAATATATTTGAGTTGATTTTCTCCATATTAATTTGAAAGTAGGATGTAAAACTGCATTCATTTCATTTCATTTCCATATTAATTTGGAATGGGAGTTGAACCAGACATATTTTTGCATTGTTAGGTTTTTAAAATTTTCACTTTGGTTAATGCTGAATTTGTCTTAATTTGTGATATAATTACAAAGCTGAACCATTTATGTTTCCATCAAGACATTGCCATAAATTTAAGGATGTTCTTTGACCCCAAGCTGGACAAAATACAGTTTCCTTCCTTACCTGATTTTAAGTAACAGAGTTTCTATTATGTATCTCTTTAGTCAAACAGATTCTTTGAAACAATTAACAACATTATATGTACAGAGAACCTATTCTTGTTGGAAGGAACCTGAAGTTATGGAATGGTTAGAAAAAAATGTTCGTACTGTTTTAACACTAGTTGATAATAAAGACAGTAGAGTTGTACGATGTAAACAGCTGTAAGTTACCTTAGAATATGTAGATTCAAATTAATAAATGATTGCCTAGCCACTTTATCTTGATTATAGACAAACTGATACATATCTTTTTACAACAGCAATCATAGATTGAATTTTTAAATATTTTGCTTAATAGAATTAAGTTGTCAAATTTGTTAAATACGATCTATATTGAGATTTTAAAAGTTACTAGTTGTCACTTAATTTGACCGATGCACGTTACATTATGTGATATAAGATAGGTAATACAATATCAGTCTGATAGCTGAAGAATTAGATGTTGACTATCTTGAAATCTCTAGATAAGTTTCGCATGAACATTTAATATGAAGTCATGTTAATGTGATTGTTCTTGATTATTGTTATTATTGTAATGAATTTAGAGTGTTGACTGCTATAAATAAGCTGATCTGATTATTTATATAAATGGTATTTTGTAGCCGGTTGAGAAGATATCAAGGTACACCAAGAAATATATTACGTCATATTATTTTATCTGAAATAAAAGATGTTACAGCTCATCTACCCCCTGTAAGTCAATACACATAAATTTTAGGAGTACCTAATTCATATCAATAATGTTATTCATTGGAGTAATATGCAATTTTATGTGTATTTAATTTTACAGCATATTAGACTATCTAAGAACAGATATTTATCAAATTGTAAAATAATTTTTGATAAAACAATTTCGTGAGAGGTACACAGATCTAGTTTACAGAATAATAGTGAATATTTAATGTTTATCTCTACATCATAAGTAGGAGGTCTATCATAACAGAATGATATTTGTAGATTTTATTCCTTTTTGATATTGGTTTATCAAACATGAATTTAGTTTATTCTGTTTATTTCCAGGAATTGGCAAATACACCAATGTTGAGCTATGATCCACTTCCACCAACAGATTCATTTGAAACTTATCAAAGACCTGGAAGGTAACTCCTAAAAGGACAAATTTCAGTATACTATTACTCTGTAAATACATGGTATTTTATTTTAAAAAAAATCTGCATGAAACACTTGTAAATTGACCTTTTTTCGCAGTAATTTATTTTTTGATAGTGTCAAAAGTTAACCAGCTATTTTTCTTTCAGACCAACTCAAGCTCAAGAAGCAAGCAATCCTTTATCACTATTCTTAAGATCTCTTCTGCCAAACTTTAATGCAAATGTAAGTACTCTCATATTTATGAACTTACAGTGAAGTGTATAAAACATTAACAGTAAGACATTAACCATACAAAAAAAGGAATTATTTTATTGACTACTTCTTTTGGCAATCTTAGAAATAAATAGTTCTATGTGTCAACATCAAAAAGTATTGAGGTAAAATTAAGATTAGTTCAAAAGAAAGCACATTTATTTTAGGTCAGGTCAAACAACTCACCATTTTCTTTAGCTAATTAAATGAAATGAGATTTCAGTTTCTAAGCTTTATAAATATAATTGATAAGCTATGTGTATTATATCAGGAACCAGTGCCAGAAGAGGAAGATGCTGGAGCTGTAGGTGGTGATGAAACAAGAAATAATTTACAAAATGGTGTTGGTGCTCTGATGACTGCTATGAGAGATTTATTAAATAATATAAGACCAGTAGAACCACCTGTAGAAAATCAGCATAATGGACAGGAAGATGATCATGAAGAAAATGAAGGTGACTGGGATTAACTCTTTAAATCATCAAATTATGTCCATAGATATCAGTTTTTAATTAAGGGTTATAGTATTTTTATTTCAGAAGTTTACAGGTTTTTCAGAAAGTACTAATAATAAATGAAAATTTAATTATGTTTTTCATTATATTGAATTGAACTTAAAATCTAAAATAAAGAGAGCCTTGTTTTGTATCAGCTTATTGTTTTACCACATGGACGTGTCTCTTCTCATTGTTTGACCTCATATGAGATGATAAAATCATTATATTTTGAATTTAGAGGAAACATTCAGTGCAAAAGATCACACAAATAGTTTAGGCATATATTGTAATCGCCCAATGAATCTATAGGTCCATCCGTTCATATCTGGCTTGTGCTCACTCTACAGGCTATTTTGTGGGTCATTGTCATTATGAAGATGATCCCTATCGATCGGGTAGTTTTTCAACGAAATATTGTGTCTGACTTTGTCTTTTTGACTATTTTAGCTATATTGTGCAACTTGTGCTCTCTCTACAGACAAGAAATTTTAATGGATTCTTTTTTTTTGTTATTGTCATTATGGAGATATAACCTATCGATTTTTGTGATGATCTGATATTGTCGTCGGTCCGTTCACACTTGGTTCATGCTCACTCTACAAGTAACAAACAATGATTTGTACTTGCAATCAAAACTGCTGGTGGGCGTTTGTCACCTTGCTTTGCAAGGCTATCTTTGTTATAGAAATCTGTTGATCAGGCTTTGTAATGTAAATTAGATATTAATCCAGGAAAGATATTTGTGTATTCAAGACATATACAACAACAGTTTAATTTTTAAATTGTGTTAACTGCCTAAAATTGAAGTAAACTGTGATTTTGTTTTGGATTGTCTCCTTACAAATATATTTGCTCAGCTATAAAAGAAATAATATATTATATTTGTAAGTAATGTTGTTCAATACTTTAACAAGGATTGTTATGCATTGACATGCATTGATCAGAAATCAGTTGTATATTTTATGGAAAGGGCAATAAACACTATTAATGAAATAAATCTACTTTTGATTCTTTGAGTACATTATGTAACCTGGTTATATACTCTGTTTGTATGATCTAACTAAAAATTTTAAGAGAATAACATGTTTATGAAATGTGTAATAGGGAAAAAACATAAAATTGTGAAAAGTTACATATTTCATTTTAAATCAATAATTATTATGTGTATATATATAATTACAGAAAACGCCCTCTTCATATGTTGAAATTATTGTAAAGGGAATTATTGTAAATTATAACGTTTAATGTTCACATATTTTTATTTAAAGGATATCTTTCTTACTGGAGGCTTTAAGTATTAAATTAACATTTACTACATAAATTACAGTTGCATGACATCACTATTGCAAAAGAACAATATTCAAGATCCTTTTAGGTTTAGTTGAATTGAAAAACCCCCAAATGTCTGGCTGAATATTGGATGGGGTATATCGATGCTAGTTGTGTCCTGGGTGCACACAAAAGTTTAAGGTCCTTGTCAACAATTATATTTTGTTAAAGTTTATTTTCCAACATTATACATGTACATCATTTTATTACTAACAATATTATACGTTAATTGTAAGATTAATTCGATAAAAAATACAAAATAATTCTGTATAAGTAGCATAAAATATATAAAGGTCCTGTCACACTACGACATTCTCACCAGCGATCGAGTAACGTGTTGCGAAACGCAGAGGAACGTCGAGAACGCAAGAAACAAGCTACAAGAATGTTAGATGAGCGTCGTCAAACGTTGGGGAAATTCGATGGACGTCGGCAAACGCTGAGGGTGAAAAATATTTTTGGGTGTGCACAATAAATCACGATGTTCTATAAAAACGCTACTTACGCGTTAGAGGAACGTTACACGTCGAGAACGTTGGATAGACGATGGAATAAACAATGAAACGCTACCTGGACGCAAGGCAGAAGCTAACCAAACGCCATGAGAACGCTATCAAACCCAATGGAACGCTAGGTTTTGCTGCCATTTTCGACCACAACTGCCTGACGCTGAGTGAACGTTGCCAGAGCGTGACCAAGAACGTTTATAACAACGTTGACCTAGAAACTCAATTTGAAGAACGTCGACGTTCTCCGACGTTTCTCCAATTTTTCAAAACGCAACCAAACTTCCAACAAAACACTATAGTGTGACAGGACCTTAACATGTAAAAGATAAAACATAATCATAATAGTAAAAAAGAGTTCTTAAAATGTCATTAAGTAATCCAATAAATAGTTAAAAAATAGTCACACGTAATATATGAATGGATAAAAGGTACTGTAAATAAAAATCTGTACAAGCAAGACAACTGATAAGATAATATGTAGTAGGCTACATGAAGAGATGTTGAACAAAATTTCAGGACCTATGAAATGGCAAAACACAGTTCCGCAAAATATTCCCCAAAGTTTACAACACCCGCAACTAAGGTATGCCTTCGTTCACTAAGAAATTCGGAACTCAATTTGACCTACAGCGTTTGTCCCAATTCACCAACAAAGTTGATAGAGGTAAGGTCATATTGTTGATTGATACTTTGGGTAATGGTTGAGAACAATATCTATAATATTGTCTTTTTTTATACAGTAGACACATTTTGATTGATAATAATTTCTTTAGCAGTTTTGACACCATTTCCGTTTACTTTGCTGTCTGGTTTCTTTTTATCTTTAACTGCCTCGGTCTCTGTTGGTATTGGCTGATATTTAGCTTTGATTTTATTATAAGTGACATAAATTATAGCTATAACAAAAAGAGGCAATGGCGTCATGATACCTGAAGCTGCTGGGCCAACGGCGGCCAAATCTCCATCAGGAGGTGGTAAAGAGGTTAACAACATCAGAAATGCAACACCAACGTTCTGTATACCGGTCTCTATGGCAATGGTTTTAACCCTAGGCCAAGGCTGTCTGAAGATTAAAGCTACAACTCCTCCGACGAGGTAACCAAAATAAGGAAGAAGACACCCTGCTAGAATGTGGAGCGGTTTAAACAAGCGGAAAATATAAAGGTTAACGTAGATTCCAAAAGTTAAAAGAATGACTATAGTAATTAAAGATAGAGGTTTGATCACTTTTAAGATTATTTTCGATATCTTCAAACATTTATATTTGATAATCATACCAACAAATAAGGGTATAATAACCATGGCCAATGTTGACATAATGTTGGCATAAGGTATATTGATGGTTGTTTTCTCGTCATTAAATAGTTGTCCCAGTGTAAACATCCATAATGGTATCATACCTGAAAGGACATGCAATCTTGTAATTGTATTCGGATATAAGTAAGCAGTAAGCATAAATTATCATCTGCCAAGAAACCGCTTCTCTATTCCACAGAGCTGGATTTGAAGATCCTATCGGTGGAAAACTCGGCTACAGAGGTTTTTTTCTTTTATTGAATTCTAGACTTACATACTGCAAATTGCTTCTGGTAATCTATGATTTGTAAATTAAACGCTAAAATATGAGGACTTTATTCCTATGACAAGAGGATAGTAATACTTACCCAAGGCTGCTATGGTACTGATGGTTGTCATAGTAACAGATAAAGAAACGTCACCATTTAATACATAACAATATATATTACTAATACCACCTCCTGGACAGATACCACAAGCAAATATACCCAATGCTACTGCCGGATTCTCAAAATTTATAGATTTAGCTATACCAAAAGCAATCTGAAATTATAATTTGAAGAATTTTTAGAGAAGGCTTTGAGTTGTTTTTTCGAAGAATTTTTTATAGGATGTTTTCGTCCAATTAATTGTTATTGTTTTTTTATAAGGATTTGACTATTTTCTGTAAACCACAATAGTCACTCCCTGCGCCAGGTTTATCTACATATGAAAGAATAACTGCTGTATGTATAAGGCCTATCTGCTTTCCGGGTATATTTACATTATTCTTAAAAAATGAGTTCTATATTTCAACCCGGGTTTGAAGTTCATCATTCAAATTCTAAAAATTGAGATGGGGGAATTTGATCATGTGTATTAACTATTAGGTTGGATTCATTACAAGCAATGGGTGGTAAATTGGAGATTGTGTTTCAATATAATAGTGTCAATATTTCATGTTACAATAATTTTAAGGAATGTTGTATTGAGTATATTTTGGTAAAGGTAATTGTGGTTTGTTATGGAGGTCATGAAGCAGTATCACAATATATTAACCCAAATAAACATATCATAAGAGTCTTATGACTTTTACGGTTGGGTACAAATGTGTTTGAGATGAGGCCCTCGACCCCCCTTTTGGATTTTTTGGGGTAATAGTCGTGTTGGAAATTTTGGCAGTGAAATGGAATAATTTTTCAATTAATTAATAATTTGAAGAATTTTTAGAGAAGGCTTTGAGTTGACTTTTTTTTTAGGATTTCAAAATTTATCTGCAAATGAAAAAATAAGTGTCAGGTATATTTACCTTATTATTCTTGAAAAATGAGCTTTATATTTCAATCTGGCTGGGAAGTTTATCCAGATAAATGTGCATATATAAAAATATTATTGTAATTATACTAATGAAATGTTGTCATAACTTACCAATGGCATACATATATATTGACACCCGAATCCAATTGCTGGTGCGATTGGTTTCTTTAGCACTGTTTTCACAACGTTTAAATCGGTTTTACAACCCATTCCAATTGTACTGGATATGATCACAAAGTAAATGACCACTCTAAAAATCACGTCAAGGGTTCTCATCGGCTTTAAAACCACAACAAGGACACGCATAAGTCTCTCAGAGTCAGTTTGACCTAATTCATTGTCTTTAGGAACTATCACGGTTTCCTTATCCATCATGTGATCACTTCTGTTATATGATGGTGGATATCCCTGGGTCATGAGATTGAAATAAAGCCATGTTCGTCCTAACAGATCTGTACCCATTAAAACATTGAAGGTTCCTGAAAGCTCATATTCTCCAGATTGTGTCTGTAAATCCTCAATAGTTGTGTTGGAAGCATCAGGATCGCAAGATAATAGAACTGTCGCATTGTTCTTGATGAATGCAACATACGCATCATCTGTAGCTATTTGTAAAACGTAGAATGAGGTTGGATCATCACAAATAATGGTATAGTTAACTCTTATCGGTTTATCATAAAACATAAATGCCAACATTTGCGGAAAATCTTCAACTCGAAGATTTACCTCTGAATGGTTTGTCTGGGGTGTCAGGGATGTATTGGATGACATCATACCTGATGCTGATAATCCGAAGCAGTTGCCTGTGCCCAACAGATAGACAACGGTTACAAACCATGTTAAAAAAAACTTTAAAAAACTTTTCATCTTGATACACTGCTGACACTAGAGTCACTATAACTTAATCAAAAAATGCATTGTGAAGATACAAGATATGCACAATGTCGCTGATAAATTTCCCTTTTTAAATCCTGTTGTTGTAAGCTGTCACAAAACAATACTTTGATCCAAACTGACTTACATTTCCTATACGTAGATAACAATTTAAATCTCGGGGGGTAATTAGACCTTAACACAGGATATCAAATAGTAATATAGATAAATAATGTGATTAGATTTTATACATAAAAAAATTAGAACACAGATACGAAATATGTCTGCAAAATGAACACCCAAATACTTATCGTCATAAGAGGTTATAAACCAGGACGTCAAGTACTGTTTACTGAGTAGACCTTGAGTAAGTTGTTTAACAGGGTTTTATGGACAGAATAAACTGTTTGGACAAAAGGATTAATCTTGCATGTCGAAGCGTACCACACTGATCTTGTTAGCCATTCACAAAAAAACATACCCGTTTAAACCAAGAATGAAGTAGTTACTTGCTCTCTTGTTACATAATCTCCAAAGACACTGTTTCTTTGGTACCTATTTCACTTTAATCCAAACTTTCGTTACTGGGGATTTTTTTTCGTCGAGATCGAATTGTAGTTTATGTTTCTAGTAAGCTATGGATGTCTTATAATATACCAACAGCTTCAAATACATGTATATTTAACAGCCAGAGGTAGGCTGTGATGCTGATGATATTGACTTGGGTTACTGATACATATATTCATGTATAATACCACTCTTCCTGATAATCGGATGAAGGTGACTGGATTGGTTACACCTACGCCATAGGCCCGGATTGATTCCTGAAATCCGGCATCTGTTGCATATTCCTAGATACATCAATTCTCCTCCCTATTGTTATTTTCATTATGACTATTTTAATCCAAGTCCTATATATTATGTAGAACAAGCGTGATGCAATAAGTACAGATAAGTGAGCTGTTATTATCTAGGCCTTTATAAGTTGTTGATTTATCAATAAGTGAAGGTCAGAAAATAAATTTGAATATATATTCTGTCAACATTGATGAATAGGACTAGACGGATGATTTGTTTATGAAAATGGGGTCCAGGTGTAGTCTAATCTTGGATGTTTCGTTGTTGTAAATGTAACACGCATTTTGTTTATTTGAATATGGTAAGTAGCCTACATAAGTTGTCAAGTTATAATTACTGGGTATTAAACTTATTGAGAGAAAACGATATATCATGCACGTACTTACCAGAGGCATCAAAAGATACTGGCAAATCACACCGATTCCTGGAGCTATCGGCCTCTTTAATGATTCTTTCACAACATCCAAATCGGTTTTACACCCAAAACCAATAGTTGTTGTTATTAACATGAAACTGATGCAGAACCTAAATATATGATCTATTAATCTTTTAGTTTTTATAACTGTCACCAACACTCGCAAAATTCTTCCCTTTACAGCACCAATCTCGTCTCTTGATGTCGTATTCAGATCAACATTATCAATAACATCACTGTTATTACCCAGTAGAATGAAATCCAACCACGCCCTTCCTAGAAGATCAGTTCCTAGTGAAACTTCGAATTCATCCGAAATGTTGGATTTTGTGTGGACAAAACCGCCCTCGTTGCACTTCAAAGTTTTTATAGAATCACCTTGAATAAACGCAACCATTATGTTGTCAGTGACCATATTGATTTCATAAAATGTTGAAGAATTCGGACACAGTATTGTATATTTTACTGTTAGTCGAATTTCTTCATACATTTTTATCACCAAATTATTGTATTCCATGTCTACTGACAGATTCACCATGGCAGTACTCTGGTAGAAAACTGTATAGAGAGTCTTATTGGAATTATTGGAAACTTCGTTACTACCGACAACATGACTTCTTCCACAACAATGAATCGTGAGAATACACAACAGATAAAAAATATGTGCCATATTACAAGAGTTATTTCGAGTTCTGCATTTAAATTGTATGTTCTTGGCGCACTGTCTTCTTCCTTTTACCCAAAACAAGACCACATTATAATTCGATTTTCGTCACAAAGGAACATGGACTTTATCAACAACACTATCATCAAGTGGACAGACAAAAGCTACCAAACGGTCAAGTTTTATCAATGGTATTTGTTTGTTTTGTCCGAATGACCTTGCGAAGAATACAGGTGAATTATTCTTGCAAATATTATCCGAATTAACCCAAAAATACCAAGATATAAGTAGATGGTCGCTCAGTAAATCCTTCGTATGATAGTCATAGACGTGGTAAGAAATAAATCAGTTCATGTTAGGCTTTATGATCAGACTAAAGCTGCATGCGTTTCCTTTAGTACAGATCCGGTCCGGATGCGGATACGGCAAAAATCACTTTCATTAAAATAAGTAAGAACCGGACCATGTAGCGATTGGTACGGAACCGTATACAGAACCGTGTCCTGAAACGCACATAATATGGAAACGCAGTTTGGGCAGCCCGCGCGGCAAAAAGCTAAAAATAGGTAGGGAATTCCAAAGTGTGCTGATTCTTCGACACCTGACAATACCGGTGCCATGTCTAAAAGAGTCCCCTTCCGCATGAATAACCGAATATAAGGAAACACAACCTGTCGTGTGCCGTGTCCGCACCCGAACCGGAGCCGCGCCGGATCCATACTAAAGGAAACACAGCTTTTGCCATAGACTTTGGTATTCATTCCCCTTTTCGTGTTTTGTAGTCTTCAGAAAAAAAATGACAGAATTTTGTCCAGAAAAAAAAACAACTCCGATTGTGGTCAGAATGTATAAATCATAGAAACTATAGCTGCATGACTTTAATGTTTGGGCAATAAGGTCTGTTTCATTTCCAGAACGTTTTTCAACGAATTCGTTTTAAGCCTAAAATGTGAAATAGACATTATTGCTTAAATTTTACCGTTACATTGTATGATTCGCTTTACAAACCTATTGTATCATAGCCAATCTACTGATTATTCAAATTTATAGCTGTCACCACTTCTGCCGATTCCTTTACCGCCTGAATCTACCAGTTGTTCGAGCGAGGAAAGCGCCGTCGATAATCGTAACTTTGTAATCACCAAAAAAAAAAATATCGATGCCATCGTAATACGCCCACATTTGTTATGGAAGCTAATTTGTCCGGGAGGTTGACAAGAGTTATCAGTAAATGAGTGTTTCTGAGAGTCAAATTTTAATATTTCATGGGTTTTCTTTACAGTTTACAATTCAAGAACAAGGGCAATAACTCAAAGTAAATATTTTTCGATTCGTCTGATTTTCAATAGGGTTTATCCTTGTGTGATTACAAACACTCACACAAAGTTTCGTCAAAATCCATCAAGAAACCAGCTCTATCGTGTCCACGAACAATTCAAGATCAAGGACAATAACTCATAGTAAATATTTTTCGATTTGGCTGATTTTCAGTATGGTGTCTTGGGTGATTACAAACACTCACACCAAGTTTCGTCAAAATCCATTAAGGAACCAGCTCTCTATCGTGTCCACACACTATCGTGTCCACAAACAACTCAAGAACAAGGGCAATAACTCACAGTAAATATTTTTCGATTCGTCTGATTTTCATTAGGGTTCATTATTGGGTGATTACAAACACCCACACCAAGTTTCGTCGAAATCCATCAAGAAACCCGCTCTCTATAGTGTCCACAAACAATTCAAGAAAAGGGTAATAACTCATAGTAAATATTTTTTCGATTCGTCTGATTTTCAATAGGGTTCATCCTCGGGTGATTACAAACACTCACACCAAGTTTCGTCAAAATTCATCAAGAAACAAGCTCTATCGTGTCCACGAACATTTCAAGAACAAGGACAATAACTCATAGTAAATATTTTTCGATTCAACTGATTTTCTATAGGGTGTCTCGGGTGATTACAAACACTCACACCAAGTTTCGTCAAAATCCATCAAGAAACCAGCTCTCTATCGTGTCCACACACTATCGTGTCCACAAACAATTCAAGAACAAAGGCAATAACTCATAGTAAATATTTTTCGATTCGTCTGATTTTCATTAGGGTTCATTATTGGATGATTACAAACACTCACACCAAGTTTCGTCAAAATCCATCAAGAAACCCGCTCTCTATCGTGTTCACAAACAATTCAAGAACAAGGGCAAAAACTCATAGTAAATATTTTTCGATTCGTCTGATTTTCAATAGGGTTCATCCTTGGGTGATAACAAACACACACACCAGGTTTCGTCAAAATCCATCAAGGAAATAGCTCTCTATCGTGTCCACAAACAATTGTGGACAAACAGACAGACGGACCGACCGATGGACAGGGACAGGGGCGACGACTATATTCGCCCACACTAAAACTAGTAAATTTAACCCACTGTTAGTCTGTTAAGAAAAAGTTAAACCCTTTGGATCACTCACCTATGTTATTAGTGGTGAAAATAATTCATTAACAATTATTCCTATTTAAGAGGGCAAACGATCTTCGAGATATAAAACAACTCAGAAGTGTGCTTGTTTTTCAAAAAATTAAAAATATTAGCGATTTCTGCTTGAGCAACATTGGCGAGCCATCTATTTGATCAAAGAGTATGCATACTTTGTTTTCTGCAGAAGAAACATATGAATATTTATTTAAAAATGCCAAAAAGAAGATTTGGAAATTAGTAAGTCAGCTTCATCTAAAAATGTTAAAATGGCCCTGTTCGTAGAAATGTCCAAGACACTGTGAATGTGTGAGTAAGGTTTGCAAGTTTTTAACACATGCAATTGATGAGTTTGGTTTTCTGGAAAATACAGGAAACTATAATATCTCTATCTTGCTGAATTTGCTCGGGAATATCCAGCCATCCTGCAAGCAGCGTTGCAGTAAAGAGCAGGTTTTCTATCACAGGCCTGGTATTGAATTCAAGAAGATCGTCACTTAGACCTCTCATTCTGAATAATATGATAACTTTCATACATGATAATTTAAAACTATATCACATTTTGATTAACATCTGTAACTCTAATTTAATCTAATTGATTAATTAAATTAAAATTGTGAATTGATTATTTGTGATTAACTGAATAATGTATGTTCATTTTAAATTATATTAAGCTAGTTGGAAACTGGCTAGCTTAAAAAATTTGATTATCCAATCGATTGCAGCTGCCTACCAGCCACTATTTAACAACATAATATATCGGATCAAGGGTCTACCTAGAAATATGTTTTATTTAATATTAGGGAATCTTATATTTCATTCCAGGGACTACTACCGAGACTATCAGCACCAAATATATTGATTTCAGAAGGCCTTATCAAATATAAAGTCAAGCTTGCTGGTCGCTGAATTGACCACGGTTGTATATACGAGTTGAGTTGCTCTCGCAAGGAAACGTTTGTACCCGAGAATGTTCTGGATTAATAATCAATACAGGACACGTTGGTTAACTCAAGTTGAGTTCGAGCGATGCGTTTTGTGTTTTTATTGTAATTTCACCCAATGTCTACTTCATCACTTACTTTCTCCGACTTACGTGACTCTTTCGCATATGGCGTTTAGTTTTAACCTAAAGGTTCCTTCTCTCTCTCTATTATTTGTTTCTCACAATCAGAAACCTCATTATTATGTTCATCCCCATGAAATTATTCAGAATAAGGCGAAGTACTTTTCGGAGAATGAGGAGATTCCCAAGATCTTACTACGAAAAAAAACGCCCAAATTAGTTAGTCTAACTCACTGGTTGATGAACTGAACTGTTTTCAAGGCACAAGTTGCCCCCCTTATTTCATTTTTATATGTCTACATAAAATGTGTCAACATTTCCTGTGAACACAAAAGAGGCTGCAGTTTTCATCTGATTTAAATGAAATTTGGTGTGGTCATTTATATTGATGAGATTGTGAACAGGTTTGAACTTGGTGATTTTTTAATTATAGCCCTTGACTTAGATAAAATGCTTAAAAATTTGTTAATGAGAACAATAGAGACTACATATTTCATGTGATTTTTATGAATTGTGGTGCAATGATTTATATTGATGAATGAAATGAAATGAATGTAGTTTTTCGTCTTTTTATTTATAATGATGAGATCTTGGTCAAGGTTGAATTTTCAACGATTTCAATTTTTTGCCCTTGATTGAAGCTGTGTGATTTAATAATTTGATGTATTTGGGTTATTGATATTGATTTTAAAAAATTTTGTAGAACTAAAAATTTCTTTAAAATGAGAAATTCGTATTTTAGTCACTAAAGCTGCAGTGGGCGTATGTTACCTTGCCGGGCAAGCTATCTTTTGAGTTATTGCCCATGACGCATCAAAATTGTTTGCGAACACAATGGAGACTACAGTTTTTTATCGGTTTTAATGGAATTTGGTGTGGTTCTTTATATTGATGAGATCTTGACGATTTTTCGATAAACAGTTTCTGAGTTATATGTTGTGAAAAAGCATAAATAACTGACAGTAAAGTATATATATGAATAAATTCACTACAAAAGCATGATAAACATATTAAAGATAGCTTGCCGGGCAAGGTAATATACGCCCACTGGCAGCTTTGATTTTGAATTAAAATATTTAGCAGTACAGTAACAATCGCCAGTATGAAATATTCAACCTTCAGTCATACACTTCTTTTGAACTCTTTTGGGGCGATACTGAATAATATTGAGTATGAGTTATTGCCCTAGTTCTTGAAAACGTGTTCAATTTTCAGCTCGTGAAAACTCTAGAAGGCAAATATTCAATCTTCCGCTCGGTACTGAATAATAAAACCAAGTTTTGTCAAAATCCGGCAAGAATCGTGCCTTTTGGTGTTTTAGAGCTAAAATTTGAAAGCGTTTTCAAGAACGAGGTCAATAACTCCTATGAAACATATTTCGATTTTTTTTTATTTTCGATAGGGTTCATCCATGGGTGATAATAAACAATTCCACCAAGTTTGTCAAAATCTGTCAAGAATTGAACCTTGAATGTTTTTGTTAAAATTTGATCTATAGTTGTCTCCCTTGAAGTTCTAGAATTGATTAATTTGTTTTTAATTCACGTACAAGGCTATTATTGTAGCCTTTTACCTCCTTGAACTTTAAATTTTTTAAAAGTTTTGCATTAATAAGTTGGTTTGGTTGTGGGTCTCACCCAATTCGAATATATTTTGATTGGGGTATTAAAGGGGGGGGGGGAGAGATTTTCGCTTATTCCAGAAATATTGACCGACAAATAGCCAATGCGATTAAATTGATAGTGGGAGATTTCGACCCATTATGTCAAAATGATTGTTCTATTAAAGGGACTGGTTAATGAGCAATTATTCACGCTTCATTTGGTTTATTTTATAATACACTTTATTAGTAAGCTTCCTGTTAAATAATATAAACACTAAGAAATAATAGCATGATTGAAAACCGCCATAAGGTTTACCTGTATAGTTGCCAAGCAACCTTCACCTGCCTAAGGGTAAACACCTATTGGTCCAGATTGTCAAATGAGTTTTAATGGCTGTCGTATTGACATTATTACGTTGACGTTATTGAGGCTGATAAATGTAACGTGTAAGGGGATCTTTTGTTAGTTCAAAATGGAATCCTATCTTAAGTGGAGTGTGATAATCGGTTTGTTTGGATTCTGTTATTCAATTGATACACGTAAGTATAAACATTGGCCCGCCATTAATCTATAGGACTACAAGGTATTAGGCTACAAATGAGTAACGATAATATTATTAGAAGGAAATACATCATATTATATACTTTAATATTGTATACTAGGACCAACGATTATAAGACTAAATGAGCATAATATGCGTATGACTTGATTAGACTACTATCATTTTTTTAAAATGATTTTTGAACCACAATACCTTGTAACGATTTTGATCAGATATTTTGTTAAAAGATATATTTCTAAATGGAATAAGTTTTAGTTCATGAAAATTTATTTTATCCGAAATAGTGTACTACCTGTGCCTTGTCTACCTTCTTATACAATGTTAAAACTCCAATTTCAAACTGGACTATACTGAGTGAAGAGCAAATATATGACATTAAATGTTGACATTTGGGGAAGAAACAGATATTTCATTTAAACGTGAACTTGTGACCTCAAAGAAATGTGTCAAATACAAATATATATTGTTGAATTTGAGCTTCTGAAAATAACCTTATAAAGACGATATAGGCTGCACAAGAGATATCATTTTCAGAATTAAAGCTAGCTCGTTTGGTTTTTTAACACCACATTTGTCCATGCACTAGACATTTTACAATCATTTGTAATTTAGGATTTGACAATCCCATTGTTTGTTTTTAATGTTAATTTGGCCCAACATACCTTGTGACAATATCATTAACGTGTTACGAATTTAACTAGTATCACGTCGTCCAACATTCTCAGTGCCAGCCCTCTAGAACTGGGGGCACTAATGGGGGACAGACTTACTTAACAATGAAATTTGGTGCATGTGTCACGCAGTAGTGGGGCTAGTTTGGGAACAGAGAGGAGGGGGCATTTGCAAATTCAAACATATGATTTTTATACGTTTTTGTCCCAAAATAATATTTGCTAGAATCATTCAAGGCGCTCTATTGGAGGCTTGCTACTATGACACCTCCACGGAGTTGCCGCATTTTGAATTCAGTCTAGACAGTAGTCCTCCCATCGATTCGGTCTACAGCTCCCTTATTTGTACCCCCGGAAGGCTGGCACCGCCACTAGTCTCACGAAATTACATAGTTTGAGGCTTCAGCCTCTCCATCAAGCTGGCATTCACATCACCAGTAGGCCCTATGTTCTTATAAGCGTGACATTGTTAACCAATTTTCTAAGAGTGCAAAATGTATCTTTTCCCTTATTGACAAACCGACTGACAAACTGTCTGGTGCATTGTGGGAAGAGAAGTTGCTTGACAAGATAGTTTAGTTTGTACAGATTCAGATGCAGTATATTAATAATCACTTTTCTTCTATTTTTGACTCTATTGGTTGACAAGACTGCCCCTTGCTTGGGTTTGACAACCTACCTCATAATATAGATTATTTATTTGGCGTATTTATCATTTCAGAATATATGAATGAAGCATGTAATGGAAGTAGTGTGATAGATACAACCTTATTATTAGAAACATCCAAATCTCTGTCATATCCACCATTGATGAACTGTTTTCATAGAGTTAATGTAGCCAGTGGTTTTAAAGTACATGTTTCTGTTGAAAGATTTGAACTAGAAGAGAAAATGGCTAATGCCTGTGTTGATTATTTGATTCTATATGATGGCGCAGATCAAAATGCACCAATTCTGAATTCTGAAGTTACGTGTGGTAAAACAGCACCGGAAAATGTAACATCTTCCAGTAACATTCTCACATTTTACTTTAAAAGTGACCATTCTTCAGCTTTACGTGGATTTGCTTTTGTTGTGACACCAGTCACGGATGGTTAGTTTAGAAATTTGAATCTTTTTTTTAACGGAATTTATCACCGAAGCCAATATGATGGTGACATTGTAGCATGTCACCAAATCAGTGTGCTTCTACAATTATCAGAAAGAATACCATTCAGATAAACATTGTATAATATGTAGTTGTCATCTTGTCTTAGTTGCAAAAATTTCTTTGTCAATTGTTTCAGCGAAATAATGGTCTAGGTGCTGATGATATCATAATGGGTTCAAATTTTGTCTGAAATTAAAGGAACCATGACATCATCTACGTCGAACTGCATATAATTGGATTGATGCAATACAAGCTATGTCTCCAATACGCAAATAGGCTAGAAAACTTGTGGTAAACATTAAGCTGTTGTAATGCCAATTTAAGATTATTGTTTATGTTATAAGTGTACAACGTCTACTTGTGTAAAAGGAAAATTCAAAAGAACTTGTCTGTTATTCTGATTAAATATTTATTTTCAGTACCATGTAGTTCTAGTCAGTTACAATGTAACAATAGTTTATGTATTGATGCCAGTTTAAAATGTGATAGTTATAACCAATGTGGTGATAAAACAGATGAAAATGATTGTCAAGGTATATAGTTTGCTTATCTGAAATCTGAACTTTGCTTATAATCTATGATAATATGCCACCTATAATTTTTGAGGATTTCATCTATAATATCGTTTTGATCACCCTTAGTGGTTGTCCAACAATATTTACAAGATACAGATAGTTTTCGAGAAAATTGGGGGAAAAACAGATGCAAAATGTGCAAACTTTGATGTATTTCACCAGAAGGACATTTTCATTTTTTCGTGAAATTTCTGTATTTGTCAACGTTCCAGAGATTGGCAACTTAACCATTTTTTAGCTCAATAACCTTGACTTTACTTTTTTGGCTCATGATTACACACATAGTGTCTTCAACACGTCCGAAGTGACATATTTCTGTCTGGTTTGACTAGAAGAGAAAAACCTCATAGTATAGGCCTATCAGGAACCGAGATATGATATTAAAAATAAATGATGTTTCGTGATTTTTAAATCGGTCAATCACAAGGTAACCCTGGACGTGGTCATTTTTTTCGTTGTTTTTTTTTTTTTTTTTTAAATATGCACAGTTCTCTTTTTACTAAATATATTTAATACCGCAATCCTGTAAATTTCAACCAATTAACATTATTTATTCTAAAAAAGTGAGCTTCTACCAATGTCCTATTTATGGACGTGTACATGATAACACGGTGACTTCATTTTTTGTGTCATGGTAGCCTAACCTACCAAATTGCTGCACAAATATATACCTTAAGTAGTCGTTATTTAATATGTTTTATTGGTTTAATCTCATATAATTACGTACTTGTTTAAATAACACGGTATTATCATTTCATTAGAATATTATATTTCTTTCATTCTTCGACTTGAACTTGAAATATTTGTAAAGTAGTTTTCTAAACTTTTTATGTGTAGCAATCTATTTGCATCATTCCAATATTTTGTCTGGTGTCTGCTTTCTGTAATTATAGAAAATAGCGTTTGCAACTGTGACTTAGTCATAAAACGCAAAACATTGAATTTATCCCAATATTTAATTATAATAATCTATTATTCTTTCAGTAATTGGAAGTTCAAAAATAGATGACAGTAATACTACATTAATAATTGGGTTAGTTATTGGTATAACTATTCTTATTGCTATAATTATCGCCATAGTAATCAATGTCTATAAAAACAATAAATGGAAACGTTTTTTAAATCAGCATTTAGAAGACCCCGATGTTTGGAACGCCTCCCCCTCGTATCCAGTGACGCAGAAATACTTTACAAGTGGTCGAGGAAATTACAACACTTTATCAAACGAAAACTACAACGAAGTGACATTGCAACCTCATAGCGAGGAATCTATTCACAACAGTGAAATTTAAGCTGCAAACTTAGCTATGTATATTGATTTCATTACCGTGTGCTTTTTTCAACGTTTTTCATATCATAATATACATTTGAATTATCAAACTGTTGAGTTCTAAAGATTCAATGCAGAAAGCTACAATTTAATAGCGTGTTTAAAGAGATAGGCCTACTATACCCCATAGAATGCACATAAAATTTAACTTGTCAAATTTGCCAATATATTGATTAGAGGACTTATGTCATAAATGAATATACAACAAAATCCCTTATAATCTGATATATCCATATAAAAAACCTCATTATAGAAAACTGCTATAGCCTGTTATGGCACTATGGACAAGTCAGAATATTAATATATGTATTCGTATTGGTCAAGTTTGAAAATCTAAATTTTATCTTCATTTTAAGAGGAACTATTCCTTTAAAAGAGACTCTGTTTCAACTCAATTGTGAATTAGTATGTTATTTGAAGATGCATATTCATAGGTGAACTTACCTAGCTTCTAAGCCTGTTTCAATAAGTTCGCAGTTTTGAGGATGATTTACTTAGTTTTATGGATTATTCTAAGCGATAGTATTCCCATAAAATATCTAGGTATTATATTATCCAAAATTGGATATAAGGTACATAAAGATCCATTTAATTTTTTTTTACTTGTATGAATGACAAGAAGTGATGCCATAAATTGTGATGTTGGTGATCAACTCATTAATGTTTTAGCCATATTGATTTGTAAGATCATCACATTCCATTAAAAACAACTGGGGTTATTTTACTCAGAAGATCAAATCTAAAGGAGCGCCATGGGCCCTAATTACATTTAGATAAGAAGTGTAAATTCAACGTTTGATTTTGAAATAAATGATTGAAAATTTGTTGGATATTTTATTCATCTCAAAACCAGACTTAAAATTGTTCCTGAGAATATGTACTGTAATACATAATTAAAATCCAATGATTAGACCATCGGTTGACATAATGCATAGGACATGTGGGTATTTAGTGAGAATCAAAAAATTAGATCAGTAAATTTGTGCATTTCGTATTGAGGCACCACTGTGGATTTATTATACAGAAGATATCTACAGATTGATTTTGGATTATGTCATGTTGGATCAATCGACTGCTTTTCCTTTAAATTTGTCCCATAATTCGAAAAAATTGATGCATTTGAACTGCATGCTTAAAATTTCTCAAAATGAAATACTGTTTATAGATATGATTAAAATGTTTAATGAAAGACAAAATGCGAACAAAAAAAACAAAAAAAAAAACACTTCAACATTTGAAACTATTTTATTTTATGTTTTTATGCATTTAGGTTTTCATGCTTGACATTCATCGCAATCTGGCTAGAACGTTTGGAAATGGTTCAAACAGATTTCTATCGCTTCGTAACTATTGAATGAAAATTGATAGGTTTCAGAGTCAAGCCATATTTACTATCAACAACAACTTTCTCCCCTGGAACACACGAGAATTTACATTGCTGCATTAAGGTGGCGAAAAACATGAACATTTCCATCTTCGCCAGCTGTTCTCCTGGACATTTACGTCTTCCTGCACCAAAAGGTAAAAAATTGTCAATTTTAGTACGGTCAATTTCACCGTTGATATTTAAGAATCTACCAGGGTCAAATTTATGTGGTTGTGGAAAAACTGATTCGTCATGACTTACAGACCACATATTGACAAAAACTAATGTCTTGTCTGGAATAAAATAGCCCTGAAACTTTGTATCTCTGGTAGTACTGTGTGGTAGAGCGAATGGAAATATACAAGATATTCTTATAGTTTCCAGTAAACAAGCCTCGGTAAAAGGAAGTGATTCCATATCCTCTAGTTCTGGTATACGTTGTAGTCCCACTTTTTCCTTTATTTCCTGAAACACTTTCTCTTGTACTGATTCGTTGGTCATCATGTAGAGAACACACCATTGTAATGTGCTGGCTATAGTGTCAAAACCAGCACCAATCAACTCCTGTACTGTTGTCAAGATATGTTCATCTGTCAAACCAACCGTTTTCTTATCCTGTTCGGGGGTTTCTTCCACAGCACGTATCAAACAATCTGTTACATCACGAGTTACAGATGAATCATAAGTATCCAGATGCTCTTGCCTCTTCGAATCACAAAACTTATTCATTGATTCCAGTATTTCAAGAAATGTCTGAAACGACCTACGAGTAAAGTGTCTCATCCATGGCATCATGTCTACTGGATTTCCAGCTCCAGCAAACGCCATAAATTCGTCATTCATTTTGATAAGGTGAAGAAAATCGGGATCATCTCTTTTATACTTCTTTCCAAAACAAATAGCACAAATAATACTACCAACAGAAAGGTAGATTTCATTATGAGGATCCATTGGTTGTCGGTTACTGTTAAGTAGATTAGTTACCAATATTTGAGCTTCTTGACTTATTGAATCTTCGATTGGGTTCACCTTTTTGTTAATGAACGTGGCTAGGGCATTTTGTGCTAATCTTCGATGCATCTTCCATCTTGGACCATAATCACCAAAACCCATGCTTTTACCATTGCCGATAAACTTGAAGGAATAGAAGTCAGGTCTCCCTGCAAAATCTTCTGCTTGTTTTATCATAGCAGATTTTATCGTTTGTAACCCATTTAGAACAATAGTTTGTCGGCTGCCCATTCTAATAGTGTACACATCACCATATGTTTTTCTAAATTCTGTTAATTTAACATGCGGCTTCTTTCCAAGTTGATGGAGATTTCCAATGACAGGCCATGAGATTGGTCCTGGAACGTTAAATTTCTTGTTCCCTTTGGAAGTAAACCACACAGTAAATCCGAGAAATATTAATAAAAAGCCTACTGGAGAGATGTATGGCTGCACAACTTCCAATATTTCTTCTTTCATTTTTTCCGTTGGTTGATTATAGGCTTATTCACCCTGCGAAATAATCGTTAAGAACGACGTCTATCTCCAGTGTTTTCAACCCACACCAATGAAAAACTAATCCTTTCTTCAATGCCCATCGCAGTTAAAATTTGTGATTGATATTACAGCGGCCAAGTTTAATCTGACCTCCATCTCAGCTTTTGTTTGAGGATCAATGGTTGTTATTTAACATTTTGAGATCACCTATTGTGTGTTCGGTACAGGCGAATTACACAATCACGCCTCTAGGCATTTGGGAAGTGTAATTTAATCGGAAGTTACATATCTTGTTTGACATATGTCATTGCCCTGGAATAATAATCATTCGACGATCTGACTGGACAGCGTATCTTTTAAAATCTACTTCCTTTCAGCATCAAGAGATCTCAATTCAAAATTTCGGGCTCATCAATTCTTCCTTTAGTGACTCCTTACCAAATACAAAGTCAAGCTCACTGGTCACTGGCTGAATTTAAAATTGTAGATACGAGTTACACCACTTTGCTATAAAAGGAAGGTCCATTCGCGATATTTTTTTTTTTTTTTGTTTGATTTATTTAAACAGAGAGCACGTTGGTGGTTAATTCCAGTGGACACTATCAGGTTCCATTTATGCCTCTTAAGTTTGGGTTACTGGACCCTCATTGTCTAGGCTAAATTCTCATACGTTTCCCGCCTCACTATCACGATACGTCCGGTGATATTAAGGAGTGTCTCATTTAATTACCTAGCAAACCGCTATAGTTTAGTGATGTAGTAAATAGTAAGTTATTTTTGGTCTGGCTCACTGGTTCAGTGGTTGACGAAATGACCGGTCTTGCTAGCACGAGTTGGGCCCCTTATTCCATTGTCATTTATTGCTGACGGCAAAGGAGTCCTTGTCGGTTTATAAGTCAGATAAAACAGTGTGAATTGCTTTTGTGGGTTCAAATATATTTATTTAGCTTATTATTAAAGAAGAAAACTGCAAGGATCTCCGAGTTTGTTTTGGATCATCGAAATCAGGGCGAATTGACGAAAGGGCGAAATTGTTTAATTCCGTTTGCTGCTGAACTTGAATAGTAAACTTCCGAATAGAAATTCAACATGAGTTCCAGTTATGATCGTGCAATTACAGTTTTTTCTCCCGATGGCCATTTGTTTCAAGTGGAATATGCACAAGAAGCTGTAAAGAAGGGTTCTACAGCCGTAAGAAAATATTTTGTTCTCTGTTGTGGTGTATGCTTCAATATTGACCGACGAAATTATGAAAATCCCTTTTTTGCCTTTTCTATTTCGCTTTGTCACTCAGACACATTGGATTTTAAAACCAACATAATTCTTATCAATCGCTTAATCTCTTGTTTATGAAAACCTTAGGCTTCAGTCTTAAGCAGTAAATCCATAGAACACACCAATAACAATAACCTGGTTAGTGTCATTTGGGCTAGATTGAAATGTCTTTTACAACTATCTATGGAGTTTAAATTTGGATGTATTTATAACTCAACCTAAATAAGCATCCTTTAGGAATGAACATCCAAGTTAATTTCCAAATTATACCTTTTGTTATTCAATACAACATCACAGCTGGTCAAGTTCCCCGAATAATTACCTGTCTTTACAAAGAATTGCAGGAAAAATTTCCAACAGTCTTTACAAATGATTTAGTTATCGCCTATACCCATAATAAAAATCTAAATGATATCTTAGTCCGTGGTAGATTACCCCCAATCCCCCTTCCATAGGTTTAGTACATTTCCTTTAATTGATATTTCTTATTTATTTCCTCGCAAAAATATCATACATGTATACTATTTTCACTTAATAAATTATATATATTTTTTTATATGAAATACGCATTTTCCTTTTCATTTAATATAGGACAATTCCTCAGATTCACCAGTGAAAATGTTTATTATGATTTCCATGGTTATTAATGTTCCTGTTGGAACCAGTATTCTTCTTATATATTTCAGATTTGGAAGATAATGGATTTGCATTTCAAATATTCTATACCATTCTTTTAAAATAACTTCACAAACATTGCTCTATCACTAGAGGTTATGCCTACATGCCTGTGCCTGTGCTTTCATAACATTGCTTAACCGCAATGTTACAACCTAAAATTTCTAATTAACTTCGAAGAGTAGGCCCAGTATCTAAGTATTTCATACTTTTCTGGGACAGCATCAATTTGCACCATTCAAATTTTCAATGAGACGTCTGTGGTTATCCCTAATTCCACTCAAACTACATGTTTTATGATGTCACCCCTGCAAAATTTGCTTGTTCCACATAAGACTTGGGGTGGCATCATAAAGCACTTAGTTTTCGTAGAATTGCTAGAACCACAGAAAATTGCAATGGCGTAAAATGATGCTGACAAACAAAATTTAGAAAACCTCTTTACAATCCCTTTAATTGAATTAATCATCATAATAATAAGGCTATTTTCTTGTATTTCTGATTTACATCTTACATATTATTATGATTTTATTACAATCATGATGGTGGTAAATCAAAATGTCGTGTTTTATATTTAGGTTGGTGTTAGAGGTAAAAACATTGTTGTGTTGGGTGTGGAAAAGAAGGCTGTAGCTAAACTACAAGAAGATAGAACTGTAAGAAAGATTGCATTGTTAGATGAACATGTGGCTCTGGCTTTTGCAGGCAAGTAACATTTTAAATCCAATTATATTTTAGCAGTATTTGTTATATTCAGAATAGATGCTTGCTTTGCAGAGTCAGAATACAAATATATTGTAAAGAAATTATTTCATCAGTTCTGGTAATGAATTACTAAGGAAATTAGATTTGTTTTATTTATAGATTCCAGACTGATTATTCAACTTAGAATAATGATAACTTTGCCTTTAAACATTTTGCAGGATTAACAGCTGATGCTAGAATATTGATTAATAGAGCCAGAATAGAATGTCAGAGTCATAGATTATCAGTTGAAGATCCTGTAACATTAGATTATATCACTCGTTATATTGCCCAATTAAAACAGGTATTTAAATCTAACACTTCTTTCTTTTGTCTAGTTTGCTTTCCCCAGACAGAATGGCCCATGCTTTCTAGTTCTTATGTGAAACTGGAGGAAAGTGTAAATGATGGAAAACCGCTTGATAGTGTACTATTCTTGAATTTTACTGTTGTCAAATTTGTTTTGTACAATAAAATTCAAGATTAGTACACCATTGTACATACAATAGTCAATCAATGTAATGGATGTAATCTCCATCCCTAAATGTCACTTCAGGATTGCTATGAACCTTGAAGGGAATAAACCGGACATGATGTATTACATGTAGTAAGCTTAAATATAGGATAGCGTAGAACAAAAATTTCAAGAAAGCTTTTCTTTTCCCTGTCTAAATTTCATGTGTTCATTTCATTAAAAAAATTCATGATAGTATTTCCTAGTGTCTGTTATTCCACAAAAATTTTATTTCAGAAATTTACCCAAAGTAATGGAAGAAGACCATTTGGTTTATCTGCCTTATTAATAGGATTTGATCAGGATGGCACACCTCATTTGTATCAAACAGACCCATCTGGTACTTATCATGAATGGAAGGTATGTTATTGTTAAACAATAAGTTTTCAAACTGCAGGATGTGGGGTATTCCTTCACGAATGGTGATTTGTTATGAACCCAACCACATCCAATTTACTACATTTGCATTTGTTACAATGGATTTAGAATGGCATGTTACTTAATGAGGTGTTAAATGATAATTCATTTTATAATATATTTCCTCATGGGTTTCATCTTGCAACCTTTTCCTGACATTTCTGATTTATAGGCAAATGCGATTGGTAGAAGTGCCAAGACAGTGAGAGAGTTTTTAGAAAAGAATTACACTGAAGAAATATCTAATAGTGAAGAAGAGACGATCAAATTAGCTTTAAAAGCTTTATCTGAAGTAGTTCAAACTGGTGGCAAGAATATGGAGATAGCAGTGATGAAAAGAGGAGAACCTTTGAAGGTATGTAGCATTGTCATGGCAAGATGTCTTGCACGGAACATTTTTCTTTAATGTGCTAGGTATTGAGGCCTTGACATTATTTCAGTAGACCTAGTTGTACATGAGTATGAATATTCTGGAAAAGAGTGTAGCTTGTAGCTAATTAATCGAAGTTGTTTTCCTTGTCTTTATCTTTCTCATTAAGATTAATAGCAACATGACTTTGTACTGGTTATTGCAGAACAGCAGACATCTCTCTTTGAATGCTTTTATATTCGAAAATAGTGGTTAGCACAGGAGGATTTCAAGCATTAAATTTGCCCTCTGATTTATATTTTGTTTTAATTGGTTCTTGTGATAGTAACAGTTATATGTTTTAGATGTTGGAATCAGATGAGATTGAGAAGTTTATAGCAGAAATAGATAAAGAAAAGGAAGAAGAGGCTGAGAAGAAAAAACCTAAGAAATAATTAAAATTATACAGGACAATCTAACGACATTACTTAAAATCTCTAAATCTTCATTGGTCGATGATCATCTTCGTGTAATTATATTTAATGACATCTGTACAGGTTCACTGTTGAATTAAAATAACTTGTAGAAATACATGAAAAAGCATTATTCTTCCTCAAGCACGAGAGACATAGTTATTCTTTCATGTTTTTTACACATTCCCAAATGGACTTGTCACAAAGGTCAGTAAGAATGTGGTTCTGTTAATATCTGATCTAACTCTAACTCATTTCTACTGAGTGGAGTTTTTCACTTGGTAAACGTCAAAATTAGACACTATCAACAACAAGCCATGGAGAAGATGGATTTTATGTACAATGGGAAACCTAAACCAAAAGTAGAAACCAACCTTGAGAATCATAATTTATTAAGCAAGTTTACCTATGGGCGAACAGCATTATTTTAATGGTCAAATGTACTAGCCTGCGCTGGCCAGACTTTGTCTAAATAGCTTTTGACAAAGGCAAGATACAACACTTAATTTAAAGGCCTAATCAAATCCATTTTTGTCCCTAATTAAAAGACAGTCCTTAAATATGTTAAGTCAATATTACAGGTTAAATTTTCATAGTGTTTACAACAAATAAAATACTTCTAAGTTTTGTAGCCATGGAAAAAGAAAACAATGAATTATTTGTGCTGTTTAATTCAGAATTTTTAACAAGGTTATGACATGACACATAAAAACAATTGCTACATAATTCAGCTATATTTATAAATCAAGACAAAGTCATTCAATATCTTCATGGTTACAAATTTATATAATAGTTGTATTCACTACCTTGGCTCTTAAACACAATAAAAACTCAAATCTGACTAGGATATGGATGGTTTCGATGGATGAAGTGCCTTCTTAAAAATTAACAGATAGTTGGATAAAAATTGTGTTATAAGGGACAAAAGCAACAAATGAAGAGTTGTTCAGCTTGAGATAAGATTACATAATAACATAGCTGATATCATACACAGGAATAGGAATAATCCATTCAAGTCACAATCCACTTGCAAATGTCTTACAACTCATTATGTACTTCTTCAAAGAAGATATATCATAGTTTATCACATTATTCACAACAATATTGTATTCACTATGGTTGTTGGTATAAACATTCTAGCAATCATGAAGAGCTAACCGGAATACTTCATTAAATACAAAGAAATTCTCTCCAACTGGTTTCAATAGAAATGTATGTACAAAAGGCATTGGTTTATCATGCTCACTAACTGTCTGAAAATAGAAATAACACATCAAAAAATTAATTTTTGTGGGACTTTGCTAATGCAAAAAACATTTATCGAAATGTCAATTCTTTTTTTTTTTTTTTTTCGATTTTTACACACCTTCCTGAGCTTAGACTACAATAGTTGCAGCAACCATTCAACATTCACGAACCTTAGATATAGGCGACGATGTGCATAAATATATTTTGGATCTTTTTTGCAAAACCGGAAGTGCCACACAGTTCAATATGTGCAAGAATAGATAATCGGCTCCAGAAGTCGTATTTTTCGGTCGATTTTCTTTGGATTTTCATTTTTGGAATCTACTGGCAAAATCTGAAAGAATAGCAGTTTCAAAATTTCAAAATTCGAAAATTTGTCGCAGACATTTTTTTTGCCAAATTTTACATTTTTTTCATTTTTTTTGCTTTTTGTCTGATTAATCTGAAAAAAATTGAGCAAAGACAGTTTAAGAAAGTAAACAAAATGGTACAGTCAAATTTTCAATTTCACTTCCAGTTTAAACAGGAAATCGATGTCCACTTCCGGTTGAATATCTTCCGGTGTAATTTGTATAGGACAAAAAATTTTATGCTGATAGGTAGACAAAGTTATGACAAAAAAATGAAGAAAAAAAAATCCGCAACAGAAGTGAAACTTTGGCCGCCATTTTGATTTTTCTAAAATGATTCGATTTTTATTCAGACATAATGGCTCATCATATAAATGATTTTGGTGTCAAATGAAAGAAGATAAAAAAAAACATGACATTAGGAAGCCGTTTTTCGATTCTCAATTTTGCTTTTTTGCAACATCCGGTTGAATTTTGTCAAAGTTTGAAGGGTCATATCTCGTGATCTAGAACTTTGATGACCTTGGTCATTGACCTTAGCTATCAGTTAATACTTTGACATTTGACCTCCGACATGTACTTTCGGTTTTATAGCTGTCCGAAAACAGCAAAATTCGCAACTTTAGACTGCTCTAGCACATGACCTAATTAACCTAGAGGGTTAATTTTTTCGGATTCTTAATGTGCTTTTCATGCTCTTTGAAGTGATTTATAACAATCGTTTTTTAAAGCAAAATTGAAATTCGTGAATTTTTCAAATTTGAGTTTTTTTCTTACAATATTTCTGTTTCTTTGAGCTTGGTGTGTATATATCTTATGACCTATTTTATGTAGAACATTGAAACTTGGAACACAACAAGACAATTTGAATATGAATTAACCTATGACAAAAAGTTGAGGTGGGCGTGGCACATCCGGGTTGAATTACATTTTGGGAAAGGGGCATAACTCACATAGGATACATTTGTTCAAAAAGAAATTGCACACAATTACTTCATTATTTTGGCCAGTTTGTGTTAATAGGACAATTGTTTCAGCTTTATATTTCAAAAAAAGGAACGGGTTTTGAAATTTCCATATTTTCAATTTTCTATTTTGACCTTTATTGACTCTTGTTGACCTATATCTTTTGACCTATATGATGTAGAAGCTTTAAATTTGGAACACAACATAACATTCAGAATATCAATTAACCTATGCAAAAGAAATTGAGGTGGGCGTAGCACATCCGGGTTAAATTACTCATTATTGACAATTTTGGCAAGGGACATAACTCGCAACGTATACATTTGTTCAAAATGGAACTTTGCATACAATTACTTCATCCGTTGAGCCACGTTGTCTTAGAAGTTCGATTGTTTCAGCTTTATAGTTCAAAAAAAGGAACAGGTTTTGAAAATTCTAAATTTTCAATTTTTGACCTTGACCTTTTTTGACCCTGATTTTTGTAGGATCAAAGGTCATTCACATTGGCTATCTATTTATACTTTTATATTTGCTGTCCTATCTCAACTTCTGGTTTTATAGCCGTATATATTTAAAAATTTTGATGACATGTATGTCGTAACCTTGACCTTTGTTGACCGTCTCCCTTTCAATGTCAAATGTCATTGACCTTGGCTATCTTCTGATACTTTTATTTGTGAGGTCTGTCTACTTCTGTTATAACAATCTTCCAAATAATTCTTCTCAACTTTAGACTGCTCTTGCGCGTGATGTAATTATCGTAGAAGGTTGATTTTTTCAGAATCTTTTGCATTTTGCTACATTTGCAAAGTCCCACTCTGTGCCACATGTGGCTCTAGTTTACATTTGTTTTGTCTATAGAACAAAACCTACACAAATGGCATGAAGAGCAAAAGATGTACCTAATGAATTTTTTTTTTAAAGGTAGAAGTGTATAAAATTTATGCTTACCCGTAATTGTCCACTGATTGTACAAAAGATACCACCATCTATTGTTGGTTGATAATCTGCACTAGATATGAGTCTTTCTATATTGTCCGACTGAATGCTCTGGAAGGGAAATTAACAACAGAAAAATAATTTTCAATTAAGTTAGAATGACGAGTGTATTATATTAATTCAAAGGAAAGCATTTCTGAACAAGCCAATTCTTTTTTAATTTTCTCTCTGTCAAAATACCAAGCACTGGCGAGCCAAAACAGGTTCCAATGTTTCCTATTACTTCAGAAAGATCAGCAAAATACAAAGTACAAAAACAGATCCATATTTTCACATTCACTAACTTTATGTATATTTATTCAAAAATGTATAACTTGCCATGAGCTTTTGAAGTATAGATTCAGGTCCTTGGAATTCCTGTCCCTCAAATGTTAACAAGGCTGCTTCCTAGAAAATACAAGAATGTGTAGATCAAATGTTATAATAAATCTTGGTTACATGATATATAAACTATGCTATTTAATTTTATTCTGTAAATTCATGACCTATTACAGCAAATATCCATTCAAATTGCAGATGGTCTACAAGGAAAATGGCATTGATCAATTTCAAGTATGCAATTTTTAACTTAACTGGGTTTGGACATTAGAGAGATAGTTGTGCCATTTTCTTTGACCAATCCTATCTTAGTATCGGAAACAGGAATTTTTTAGCTACGCCAATCAGTAATAGTGCTCACAGCCAAGAATTATTCGATTTTAAACCCCCCAAAATTGATTTCAGCAGAGGGCATATTCACAATTTGACCATAAATCTTGTCTGCATTATGTAGACAATCCAGCGATTGACAAATCATCAAGGCCCTGAAGGCCATGTAGAGAACTGTGCAGGTTCTGTGCATCACAACACATTATGATGTCGAATTGAAGATTTGTGGGCGTATGAAAGCCGGTAGTCTACATTCGTACAATTACATACATGATAAAAAGGTTTCAGATTCATTCTATTATTTTTGGCATCGAATGCCTTGTAGTATTCTCCTACAAATAAGCCACCTATTTCTTTAAACTTGGGGTTCATATTGACTTGGTTTACAGCGCGTTAATCCTTATAGCCTTCTGTAAAACTTTTTGGCTTATTCTTTACACAAATATAATTTTCTCAGGCGGAATTGATATTGGAGTTTGATATTGCGCGTGAGAATGCAACACTTCCGGTTTTTTAGTACCGGTATTTAAAATACAGGAAATTAAGAAATTATCCGAAACGAAATATAATGGATCGGAAAACAAAAGGAGGTTTGTTTATTCATAAGAAAATGGGCCTAATATTTTTTTAAACATAATTTCAAAAATATTTGTATAAGTAGGATTAAGGTGCACAGATAATTAATTTTCAGTTCTTGCTTTAAGTCTGGATGATACTGACTTAAAACTTAAGCCTACAATGTCAAAGTCCGTACTACTGAACCAAGCTTGACCAACACTGATAAACAATTGATACTGATTGAATACTGATATGAATGACCTGTCGAAGCAAAGGTTACTCGGCCCTATCTAGTCAAGATGCCCCGACCATGCATGATAGTGCAGTTATAAAATAATGCCATTGTGAGCATGTGTTTATTTTAACTTCTTGTCCTTGAATCTTTGGCACTCATGTAGTCACGATTTTTCAGTAAAACTGAGTATCTACTGCGGATATGTTATAGGCCCTCATCATAATATGATGAACTGATGATGGTAGAGGGGTTGAAACTATTCCACTTGACAGTAAAGAGTATCATGGATTAGCCCAGGCCTTCAAGGTTTAACATTATAATCATATTAATATTGCCTCTTTTCTATGACATTGTACTCATCTATGTCAATAATTAAAAGCTTTGAAACATTTTGGAATAAGGTACAGTACCGTACATATTATTGTTTGCTTTATTCTCTGAAAAAAAATGCTAGAAAAATTGTTTTGAAATCTTTTATAAATGCTTTTAATGCAAGACACTGTCAATATTTTGAGTTACAGTGGCAGATTATAATTGTGATTCCTGACATTTAAACTTAAAAATAAGATGGGTGGTTTACAGTTTCCAACTGGTTTGAAGATGGTGATCTTCTTTATAATTCAACTGTTGATGTGGTGTAAAATTGATGGTGAGAATACAACGGAAGTGAAAGGTTTAGATATTGACATTCAACATGATATACCAATTATTATTTTGGATGATGACCATATTACTGACATAACATTTAACTATTCTCTTAACACCAATAATGATCTCGAAGCAACATTTGATACCAAAGATATTACAAAAGTCAATATAAAATCACAGAAAACATTTGTTTTGAATGAAACAAGCGACAGTTTTATTCTGTCATTGCATGGTGACCATATTGGTAGGACTGATTTGACTATACATGTTGGAGATTATAGACCAAATAGTGAAGTAAGGTTTTTCAATAAAACATTGTATAAGTCATATGAAGTGATAACATCAAGAGAAGAACGAATAGTGGATACTATATTTAATGTGGTAGTGATATTATTAGTAGTAATTGCTAATGTTGCTATGGGTTGTAAAGTAGAATTGCATGTTGTGAAAGAGACTTTAAGAAGACCTTTGGCACCAGCTATTGGAATGTTTTCACAATTTTTGGTGATGCCTGCGGTAAGATATATTGTGTCAATGTTTACTATCATTGCTTCTTTAACAGGACCTAATCTATCACATATATAACTTCATTTTCTTGAACCAAAGAAATATTCATGATGTCACATGATTTTCATAAAGACCAATTAAAATGCTTCAGTTTACAGTTTGTTTTGCAAATATATGTACCAAACTAAATTAATCAGTAGGGCACCCCCTCTCAAAAGGCTGTTTTGATTGGTTTAAAATTCACTGTCTCAAAAGTAGCCTTTTAATCCTTTAGCGACATTTAGGGGTAGAGATCACATTAGATAATGGACACAATTTTATGGTATACTACTCCTTAGTTTTATTACACATTACGTTTCAACAATCTACATTGTCATTTTATGATGTCTTAGTATTGGTAATATATATGTTTCTTCTTTCAGATATCCTTTCTGATAGTATATCTAATAGATATGGAGCCTGGCATAGCTTTGGGATATTTTGCTCTAGGATGTTCACCAGGAGGTTCAGCTAGTAATGTTTATACCTATTTATTTGGTGGAGAGGTATCTCTAAGTGTCACTATGACCTTGGTCAGTACATTGGCATCTTTAGGTATGATTTATTTTATGTCACAAGGATTCATTAAATCTTTCATAGATATATCAGAAACACTTACCTCTTCTATTTGCAAACATCAGATTACCCGTTCGAAATGATTTTTTGTTGTAATTACATGGTAAACACATGGCCATATTATGACATCTTTAAGGCACATTATTGACATTTCAGGATAAATTTTCAGAATTATTCAGATCTTTTATGTGTTTATGCCAGGGACGGATTCAATTGTCCTTTTTGGCTGAGTTGTCCATAAAATAAAATGGTTCGAGAAAAGTTAAAAATAATGCGTTTTCTTTCAGGTTTGATACCTCTATGGCTATTTACTGTAGGACAGAAGGTAATTTATAAAGGAACAACGATGAATATACCTTTTTCTAATATTTTTATATCTTTAACTGGACTCTTAGTTCCTGTTGTTATTGGTATTATTATACAGAAGAAAAAACCTTCTTGGGCCAAAAAGCTTGTAAAGTTAGTAAAACCAATTATTGTTATATTTCTGTTGTTTGTTTTTACTGTTGGTGTTTATGCCAATTTATATATTTTTGATTTATTAGATCCTATGATTTTGTTAGCAGGAGCTCTTATTCCATACGGTGGTTTCTTTTTAGGATTTCTTATAGCGTTTGTTGCTAGGCAACCTAAGAAAAATATAATTACTATTGCCATTGAGACTGGTATTCAAAATACTGGAATTCCCATTGTGTTATTAAAGAATTCACTAGGTCCGCCAGAATCAGATATGAGTATTGTAGGTCCAGTAGCATCAGCCATTTTCACGCCATTACCATTAGTGTTTGTATTGATTGCTTTGGAAATAAGAAAACGGTTTTGTAAGAAAAAGGCTGATGATAATGATATGGATATGTTAAATGAACCTGCTACATTCAGTAAACTACCATCTGATGGAGGTTCTCCCATCAAATCCACTAATGATAATGGCCAATTCAAAGAAAATTCAGCTCTTTAAGATTTTATTTTTGTATCTTTGAACTTCTAAATCTTAATTTGCACCATTCAGATTTCTTGTCTGAAAACTACATTTCAAATTTCAGACGTCCAAAAATATTCACTTGTACTTGTTAAAAAGCTACAAACAAATTTAATTAGCTATTATTGGAATGTACAATTCACCTTGTTGCTCACAACTTCAATATTCATAATAGTCTTTATTTGAAATCATGAAAACTGCTCAATTATGAATTTATTTTTCAAAGTTAATATTTTTATGATACAATACAGAGATAATTATCTTTATATTTTTCTGAATGGATTCATTTTAAATCAAATCGAATCAAATCGGTTTAAGAATATTAAGACATAATCTAGAAATGAAAACATATTGCATAATAGCATTCATTTTGAAGAATAACCCATTTAAGAAACCGTCCCTAAAGAAAATGTGTGCACATTTCATTTTGCAATATGATTGAGAAATTGGCCAATGCTAATAAATTGACTTGGTGTATTTTTCTCTTCTGTGTGCTGTTTTTGCAGGGTCTTATTGTATGATTCACATATTTTACCATGACATTCCAATGACCACCTCATGCACTTGGTCAAATCTTATTGCTTGAAGTGAAGAGTATTTGGATACTTATACATTGGTAAAATGAGGCATCTATTCAATCTAGAATGGTGTGTTATACCTGTTATTATGTTGATATTGATAAATTATATTGAAGAATGTTACCTAAAGTAATATAATCATCTACATACACATATTTGTTTTACCATCTTTAGCTATCTGTGATCTTTTTCAGACAGTTCTTAATTAAACAAAATCTGCCATAACTTTCTCAAATGGAGATATTATCTATGTCACAATATCAATAATAACTCAGATATGTTTAAAGTGTCCACTGCAAATTTCTCTTAAACTGTAAGTGAACTGGATTTCTATTCTGAATAAAGGTTATGGGCAGCTGACATTGAACTTTATAGTCTATAGCCTTATAAAGTTACTTTGATAACTAAATGCCTTTAAAGATTATGATAATGTATAAATGAGCCAATCAGAATCACTTTTACAAGGGAGTTTCATACAAGTCTCATGTCTCTTATCATATATAAATGACTCTGTTCATATCGCTCTCCTATGGGTTTGGCCATTCTGCAATTTATAGTCAATATTTAGACATAGATTTGGCATGGCGAGCTGTGAATGGTTGAAATGAACGTCAACAGTACCACGACTTAGGTTTAAATCTTTTTGACAACAACGAAAACAAATAAGAAACAAAATTGTAATCTGATTTTTAATTTTGATTAGATTGAGATAAAGTTTACTTCAACATAGATTCCTTGGTGTCCCTTAGTAGTAATTACCAATAGTAATGATTTTTGTCAAGTTTCACTTTGATGTCAACTGATTAATGACTTGATTTTGTATGGTGTTTTTATATATTTGTAATTGTATTTGTCCTTTTTAATTATATCTATTTCATTATGTTAGAAATATTATATGAGCAAAGTTGTATATAAAATAAGATTATTTGTTAATTTAGAAATATCAATTGCAGAATTAATATTGATTATTTTTCTGTAACCTATTGATTAATATCTACTGGTTTAGTTAAGAATATATTAAGATACAAAGATATTTTTTTTTTATGTAGTACCTAATGAATAATATACCAAAGTATGATAATAGTCTTTTATAATGCTTTTTTGTTAGCATAATGATCACTTTTTTAGGCAAAAGGCATTTTATATAGTAGTCATAATTTTTAGGTTAGACAGTACTTTTTGATTGTCACTTTTAACAACTTGAATCTCCTTTTGGAATGATTTTGATAATTTTAATTATTGATTTAGGAATATATGTCCATCCACTTCTTTGATACAAATAGCGTTTAGTCTACTTACAGGGTGTATAGTCTAGTTTTATACCTATTTTTTTATTATAAGTCATCAAACTTGACATAACAATGTATTTTGTATTCGTTTTTATGAAATTCAATCAAATCCTACTTTGTACAATATTGAAAAACATGCATAAGAATAGTTATTTCATGCTAACCAACCTGATGCTTTACAATTAAGTGTGTCAACTTCATATCCCTCTATATAGCTACTTTGATTTTTGATTTCATAATTTTGTCAATTACTATCTGACCGCATTGAGCTTTGAATTGAATTTTTTCTCTCATTTCATAAATATTCAAAATAAAATTTTCAAATCTATGCCATTGGTCTTAGAATGTCTTCTGGTCCATAAAAATATAAGGTTCAGTGATTTTACATTTGAATAGACACTTCCCTCCCAGAAAATTCACCTGAAAAAAGATCTACTTTTCGGAATGAAAATTCCCCTCTTACTGGTTACAAAAAAGTAGCTTTTCCAGTGGTTAAAATTTTCATCAACCCAAAGATAATGTAAGACTGTCACTAGTATTTTGTAGTTAATCTTTAAATATGTTCGAAATTAGATTCAGAAATCATTGTAGTCAGAAAGTAAGAATTCTTCAAATATTTACATTTAAAATAAACACACTTCCCTTTCAGATTCTCCGCATAATTTTGAAGTTGATATTTTAATTCATACAAAAATTATTAATGCTTTGGTTAAACTGTAGTTAAGGCTTTATAGCTATTTTAAAATACTATGCTCTGTTTTTGTTTTAATATTGATATCTATGTGTCCTTATAAAAACGAGAATTCAACTTAGATATGCATAATGCCTAAAATTTTCCCATACTTTTTAATTTTGATTTTGATTTTAAGAATTATAAACATCAAAACTGAGTAGTAATCAAAGAATAGAATGGAAGGATAGAATTGATATTGACTGTACTCAACATACAATCACATACAAATGAACTGGTTTAAAAGGTCATGGTTAACCATTTTTGGAGGTTGATTTTGGGCCTTAAATATATGTACATAATCTTCAGAAGTACCAGAACTGTATATAAATCTTCAAACAATTTTTTATATATTCAAAATACCTTATACTAGGCATTACATTTTTATTTCTTTTTATTTCTTTCATGAGTTTATCCTAGTATTGGTGTACCCAAAATTTCATAGGAAATTTATAATAGGAAAAAGGTGTACAGATAATTTCCGATTATCCAGCCCTTAACCATTCTACTGCATAAGAGGTTCTTAAAAAGGCAAATTTTCAATGTAATTTTCCAAGATCGATAATGAAGAATAATGAAGGCTCAAATTCAGAGCTGCATACACTAGTACTGATTAGCTTATAAACAATTATCATTTCCAAGAACAAGGTATGATTGACCGACTAAAATGGCAAACTATGGCCTTTAAATGAGGTTAGGCTAGCTGTTTATGTATTACAATAACAATAGTGCTGTAAATTTTCAATTGTTAGTCATTTATTTATATAGTACTTATATTATTTACTGGTATTTATATATATATTTTCTGATGAGTGTACTAGGTCTAGTGTTATATTAAATGTTATTTTTATATTCTTATTGAAAAAAAAGTTTTTAGTGATGATGGATTAAATAGTTAAAATGAATATATGGCCTTATTTAAAAAAAACCTGGTAACCTTTACTTTACCTTTACTACATAGAGTACTAATAATACTGTCAAAAAAAATATTTAAACTACTAGGCACCTCTATAATGAGTGATAAAACTATTGTAATCTGGACCATATTTCATAAAGGTGTATGTGTTGGAAATATAGAAACCCCGATGATATTGAAATGGATGTGTGCTTCTACAGTATTGTGAAAAATGACAAGATGAGTGGAGGCCCTATGGACTTAAGTGAATACATTTTTTTTTCTTGGTGGTCTTAGTTCAACCAGTGCCTATGGTAGTTGAGTCAGTAGTTGAGCCACTTTTAAGATTGAGATTTTAGATTTCGTTTTATTGAATAGTCAGGTCAATAATTTTCACAAATGTGGACTTGCTTTCACTGCATTGCAAACGAGTGGTTGTGGAAAAGCTAACCATATAAAAATATTTATCTCATAATTAGAAGACATTCAGTTTGCGACTTGTTTATTGAAGATATTTGAATCAATGTATAAATTTACCAAAGGAAAATAGATTGATTATCATCGTGTGCTAAAAGAAGCAAACATTCCAAAACAACCATCATATGGCTTCTCTCTTTCTCATTTTGAGCCAAGTTATTGACATACATTCTTAACGTGGCGGGATTTTGTAGTCCACAGATCTCCATGGTTTGCCGATCTGGAGGTTGACTTAATAGACCATATTTGTTGATCATTTTTAAACAGTAATAGCTATGCTTTTCCAAACTGTATCCAAAAGCAGATAAAGATTTCTTGATTTGATCATATCTCTTTTCGTACATGCCTCTTTTAGCATGATCTAGGCTGCCATCTTTAATAGTAGCCTCTCTAGTTATCATTACTGGTATATTTGACACTGTGTAGCCATAGAATCGACGATGTAACCGCTCTTTCTGACCTTTCTGACGCTTGGCAAAGATGAAATCTAAGATGCGTCTTTCCAGTTGAAATGCTATTTCTCCAAGAAGGCGGTGAGATGGTTTAAATGTTTTTGGTCTGACAACAGAACTATTACTGCTACTTGGTCTTGACCTCGTATAATGAGCTGAAAATAATCATAATTATGATGAATGAAAGCTCCTTTATAGATATACACGTTTAATTTTCGTTGGGTTACTTCACTATTGCAATATGTAATCATTCACTGATTTACCGATGAGCTCACTTTAAACAGTGATTAGTTTGTCAAATGAACACCAATTAGTGGCTTTCAACTTTAAACTGAGACATTATGTTAGTTGATAGTAATAATAATAATCTTTATTCAAAATTTCATAATGAGACATAGTATAATATAAATACAAAAAGTTATATACACAATGTACATGTAATATTAATTTCATTTCACAACTATATGATATATATTTCATTTCACACACTACAAATTTAAATATATAAAAATTTAAAATATAAATTTCAGTTCGTACACAAATTCAAATTAAATTTTAACTAGTTTTACAATTTACTTAAATTTATTTATAATGACGCTAACAGATTTACATAGATTTTCTAGTTCAGTTCCTTTACTATTAAACAAATTAAACATTTTTAAACCTGACGGTAGACAGCAGTAATGGGGGTGAAGGTATTTTGTCGTAGACCTATCAAAATGTGTGCAATTAAAAACATAATGGAACTCATCTCCCACATCCCCTTTCTGACATAACTGACACAACCTTAGATCTCTGGATATATTTTGAAAAACACCCTTTTCAATTTACAATTTATGGCTTCTGCATCTTATACGAGTAAAATTACGTCTCAGGTTTTCTGGCAAATAAATTAAATATTGAATTGCGCTACTATACCTTGTGATATGCTTTTCACGTGTCTTTCTTCTTCGAACATTTCTTGTATTGGACTTATGCGATGACTTTGTCCTGAAGATTTTTAAACTAAACGTGAGTTGGCCATCATGTATGATCGCATTTGAAACGACTCAGTAACGCCTATTTCGTGCATGCTTTCAGGATTGATTGATATCATATTTTTGTGACTATTGTAACATAGAATATTACTCCTATCGTTCCATAAAATTTCTCGATGAATTTCTTTGTAGAAGATTGGACTCTTTGATTAAATAAAAATACGAGACTTACTTACTTTTTATGGGAGTTGAAAAAGCCATTGGTTGTCCAACAGAAGATGCTCCTGAATCTGATCGAACAGATGTATCATAATCTGTAACGACAAAATCATCCGGAAATGGGGTTGGAACCCTTCCTTCATTGTTTCTGGAAAAATGTTCAGAAACTGGAGAATTCCTTGACGGTCCAAATTGAAGCTCTTTCATTGACATTGGCTTTTGAGACACCGATTGGTAAGGTGGGTGATAAGAGCTCTGTCCAAACCTGGGTGATGTCGAAGTATTGTTAGTACCAGTGTTACGTTGTTCAAACACTGATGTCGGTCTCACAGAGTTATCAACTGGAGACATGAGAGCATTTGAATCTAATGTGGAGGGATATCGGCTATAGGAACCCGAGTCTTGGAAAAATCCAGACGAATACGCTGAGAGGCCAATAGAGTTGCTGACTTCTTTCATATTTGGTGACAAGCGACCTTTTGGTGACATGCGATTATTATCCATTACTAAGCTATGGCTATGTACATTTGAAGTATATCTCTGCTCGTTTTGTTTTATTTGAGATGGTGAGATTGGCCTGTAAAACGGCGAATTGATCTGCTCCGGCAAATGATGCATGTTCCGCTGACTAGTTAGAGATCCCTGTGGTTGAGGTGATGCTGGTGGATCTGGACTAAATCGTCTTGGCGAAAAATACTTATTGCTTCTATCATATTCATCACCATCAAAACTTATCGGAGATCTACTGTAAGGCGCAGATGGCGAAACTCTTCTCTCATTTACGTAGAAGCCAGTGATCTGTTCATTTATATTAGATATCGGGCGCATTGGTAAAGCGTTTCCAGGAAGTGGATAGCTCTGGCTGTTTCCGTGGTTGACAGAAGACACATCATCTTGCACTATGTTCATTACGTGAGAGATATCTGTTTGACTTCCAAGAGTTGGTGAAAATGTTTGACTTTGTGAATTCTTTAATGGAGAAACATTTCTTGATAAATTAATAGAAGGGCTTGGCGAAAAGGTAAATCCTTCATAAACACTTCCCTGAGTCGGCGACAATGGCCTAAACGGACTGGGTGCTCTTGGAGATGGACTGCTTTGGGGCGTTTTCCGTGGTCCCACCTCAACAATCGATGTGCGCCTCCTGTACACTTGTACTGATGTTTTTGGACCACCGTCATCATAAACACTTCCTTGGGTTGGGGAAGGAGCAGTGGTATTTCTAGGATATACAGGAGATGGGGTTCTGGATCGGGGTTTACTGTGACGTGGAGAGGTACCTATTACATCACGTGGAGATACTCTTAATGCTGGCGTATTTAAAGGTGTTGATGTAGGTGGAGTAATAGGTCGGAAAGGACTTCTTGATTCCAGGTGGTGTCTGGTGAGTGCTGAATCTAATTCTGAAAAATAAGCATTTTGGTATAGAACATGTTGGACTGCAATCTACAAAAATTAATTCAGACGTTATCACCCTAACCCAGAATTGTTCAGAGCTCTGCTGATAAATTTGCTTGTTGAAAGGAAACCTGAAGACTAAAAGCAGAAATTTTCAGAGGTAATTCAAAAGAATCAAAGTTTTACAAAATGATCAGGCACGTGAGTTGCGCTTGATCTTGTAATAGACATATTTTTGATTTGATTGAAATAATCAACGTGAAATACGTGAAAATTTTGGTTAAAAAAAGGAAAATAAACAAACCTAGAAATCTGCGTTTAAATTTATCATCAGACCAAGCAATAACAGCTGATATAAGATTAGCACATTGAAGCTCTGAATTATCTCTCATTAACTTTAAGCATAACCACAAATCATCATTTTCCTTCTTTAACCTCAATGTTTCCATCAGAGCAGTTGCATTGTCTCTTTGGCCATCATTCGTATCAGCTACATGTTTTGGTTGTCCATAAGTATAGAAGGAAGAACGATCGCCTTCCCTTGACATGTTATCACTAGCTCATCCAGGACGTTCTGTACAAATAGATGACGTCACAATTAATGCTTTGCGACATAATAGCGTGTCGTTTACCACTTTATATCTTTGTATTCTACTAGGCTATAATAATGACGCATATTATTCAAAATTAAGGTTTTCTTTCAAATGTAACTCAATTAACTAATGGAGGTGGCCTTAGAAAATTGCAGATTTCTGCCTTGTCTCCGTTACTTAGGAGTATTTGCTAAGATTAGCCGTAGTAGTAATATTTTATGGGAACATTGATCACATTTAATGTCAATGGAACAATTTTTCTAATAAGTTCTTTGGAATTGGGGCTTCAAAATGAGTAGAATTTGGTATAATCAAACGAATAAATAGCATAACAATTACAATTTTGATTAAAATATAAACACAACAATAGAATAGGACAGATTTCTGAAAACATTTGATAGGTCAAAAATTAAGTTCATGGCCAATAAGATTATAGCATGCTTAATCAAGGTCCAGATGACCAAAAAATTCAGGATAAATCATGATGCATAAAAACAGAAATCGATACACAATGTAGTGAAGTATTAAAATATCTAGCACCAATACCACTTGACAGAATTTTCATACAGAGATAATTAATATAATGGAATGGAACATTCTCAATTCCAAGATATAGGTCTAATTTTCATATCCCATTACAATTAAGTACTAAAACTTACATAATATGAGTTTTCGACCAATCAATAATTTATTTTGGCTTAGTAACATTACAATTTATGCATTATATGTCAATAAAAATATAAAATTAGTTGCCCTTGCCCATTGCATTTCAGGTGCTAGAATCATATTCTAATGAACCACAAATATATTTCTTTCATACATGTATTACAATTTTCCAAAAGCACCTAAAAATAAGAACAAATACGAATTAGAGTACTGTATACCTTTAAAGGGATTGTAAAGAGGTTCTCTGAACTTTTATGTGTATCGGATACACTGATAGGATCAATTAGCACCATTTCAAATTTCAATTGGACGGCTGTGGTTCTTGCAATTCCACTTAAACAAACGCCTTTTATGACATCATTTTTGCAAAAGCTGCTAATAGCATATAAGGCACTTTGCTATAGTGACAACATAAATTGCTTAGTTTAAATGGAATTGGAAGAACCACCGACATCTTATTTGGCTAAAAATTGAAATGATGCCATCAGTGGGTTTTTTTTGTTTGTTTAAAAACCACTTTAAAATTCCTTTTAGTTCTTATGTCTCATCACACTATAACTTGATAAGTTATAAATAATAATAATAGATTACAATATTTTGTAAAAATAAAGGATTATTCTTATTATTTATCAATCCCATTGAACACAAAATAACAAGTTTGTAAGACCCCAGCTATATAATAAATATTTGTTTTATACTAGTTATAAGAAATTTTCATTAGAGCCATCCCTAAGAGATCTGATCTCTAGTAGTCAAATTTTGACATAAAGATATTTTGGACACCCCCACTTCTTTCTTTGTTAAAGATATTTTGGTTGTTAAGTATAAAATACCCTAGATATTGTACAAATCTACCCTTTATAACAATTCAACTCATTTTGATGGTGACAATTTTTATACGCCCACATGGCAATGTGGACATATATAGCCATCACCCCTGTCCGCCCGTCCGTCTAGATTTCTTGTCCGTCCACATTTCTTATATGCAAGTAACTTAGTAAAAGCGTGTCAAATTTTGGCTTGTATGCACAACAGAGACTACAGTTTTTAACTGATCTTGATGAAACTGTGTATACTTGTATATATTGATAGGATCACGAACGGTTTCAGAGTTATTGCCCTTGACTTAGTAAAAACCCTTCAAATTTGGCTTGTAGGCATGATAAAGATTACAGCCTTTAATATTGGATATCACCAAAGCTTATATAAATCAGATTAAAAGAGCACCATTTCAGGGGTGTAATGTAAAGTCTAATTTACAAAGGAAAAATGGATTTCTCAATTCTTAGTTTATAATAAAAACAAACCAAAAAGTAAAACCAAAAAGAAACAATCCGTCATAAATTGTAGTCTGTAGAATTAGCACCAGATAGAAGATATCCAATTTGCCACTATCATGCTAAAAATCAGAATAGCATTGTTGGATTTTATCATAAGGTATCATCCTTGCATTGGTACTAACACACACAAAACAATCATAAAAATCTGTCAAACATTGTAGACAGACGGAAGTGTGATGGAAACCTTTTGTTTGACAAGTGGAGAATTTGGAGTAAGTGATACAAGAGTTCATTGTATCTCAAGAAATCTCTTTCATAAAACAGTTTCAAAAACATCCAGTCGCTGTCATCTTCTTGGTTTCTTTAAAATTTTCTTTGAGAAAAAAGTTGTTTCTTCATCCACACCATCTGATTGTGTGTCTAAATCAGAATCTGTTGTATTCACAGACACAAATCTTTGTATAGTTTTTTTCACAGCTTCTTTTGTTTGTGCTCTGTGGCGTTTCAATGATATGACATAAAGACATATTAAAGATATATTTAATATAATACTTATAGCTGCTACTATACTCATAGTTATAACACTGGATAGACACACTCTGAAATATATAACAAAGATATATTTAACATAATACTTATAGCTGCTACTATACTCATAGTTATAACGCTAGATAGACACACTCTGAAATATAATATAGAGATATATTAAACATAATACTTATAGCTGCTACTATACTCATAGTTATAACACTAGATAGACACACTCTGAAATATATAACAAAGATATATTAAACATAATACTTATAGCTGCTACTATACTCATAGTTATAACACTGGATAGAAACACTCTGAAATTTATAACAAAGATATATTTAACATAATACTTATAGCTGCTACTATACTCATAGTTATAACACTAGATAGACACACTCTGAAATATAATATAGAGATATATTAAACATAATACTTATAGCTGCTACTATACTCATAGTTATAACACTGGATAGAAACACTCTGAAATTTATAACAAAGATATATTTAACATAATACTTATAGCTGCTACTATACTCATAGTTATAACACTAGATAGACACACTCTGAAATATAATATAGAGATATATTAAACATAATACTTATAGCTGCTACTATACTCATAGTTATAACACTGGATAGAAACACTCTGAAATTTATAACAAAGATATATTTAACATAATACTTATAGCTGCTACTATACTCATAGTTATAACACTAGATAGACACACTCTGAAATATAATATAGAGATATATTAAACATAATACTTATAGCTGCTACTATACTCATAGTTATAACACTAGATAGACACACTCTGAAATATATAATAAAGATATATTCAATATAATACTTATAGCTGCTACTATACTCATAGTTATAACACTAGGTAGACACACTCCGAAATATATAATAAAGATATATTCAATATAATACTTATAGCTGCTACTATACTCATAGTTATAACACTAGATAGACACACTCTGTTACATATAATAGAGATGTATTTAATATAATACTTATAGCTGCTACTATACTCATAGTTATAACACTAGATAGACACACTCCGAAATATATAATAAAGATATATTCAATATAATACTTATAGCTGCTACTATACTCATAGTTATAACACTAGGTAGACACACTCCGAAATATATAATAAAGATATATTCAATATAATACTTATAGCTGCTACTATACTCATAGTTATAACACTAGATAGACACACTCTGTTACATATAATAAAGATATATTTAATATAATACTTATAGCTGCTACTATACTCATAGTTATAACACTGGATAGAAACACTCTGAAATTTATAACAAGATATATTAAACATAATACTTATAGCTGCTACTATACTCATAGTTATAACACTAGATAGACACACTCTGAAATGTATAATAAAGATATATTAAACATAATACTTATAGCTGCTACTATACTCATAGTTATAACACTAGATAGACACACTCTGAAATATATAATAAAGATATATTTAATATAATACTTATAGCTGCTACTATACTCATAGTTATAACACTAGATAGACACACTCTGAAATATATAACAAAGATATATTTAATAATACTTGTAGCTGCTACTATACTCATAGTTATAACACTAGATAGACACACTCTGAAATATATAATAAAGATATATTTAATATAATACTTATAGCTGCTACTATACTCATAGTTATAACGCTAGATAGACACACTCTGAAATATATAACAAAGATATATTAAACATAATACTTATAGCTGCTACTATACTCATAGTTATAACACTGGATAGAAACACTCTGAAATTTATAACAAAGATATATTTAACATAATACTTATAGCTGCTACTATACTCATAGTTATAACACTAGATAGACAAACTCTGAAATATAATATAGAGATATCTTAAATAATAAAATACTTATAGCTGCTACTATATTCATAGTTATAACACTAGATAGACACACTCTGAAATATATAATAAAGATATATTCAATATAATACTTATAGCTGCTACTATACTCATAGTTATAACACTAGATAGACACACTCTGAAATATATAATAAAGATATATTTAATAATACTTGTAGCTGCTACTATACTCATAGTTATAACACTAGATAGACACACTCTGAAATATATAATAAAGATATATTTAATATAATACTTATAGCTGCTACTATACTCATAGTTATAACGCTAGATAGACACACTCTGAAATATATAACAAAGATATATTAAACATAATACTTATAGCTGCTACTATACTCATAGTTATAACACTGGATAGAAACACTCTGAAATTTATAACAAAGATATATTTAACATAATACTTATAGCTGCTACTATACTCATAGTTATAACACTAGATAGACACACTCTGAAATATAATATAGAGATATCTTAAACAATAAAATACTTATAGCTGCTACTATATTCATAGTTATAACACTAGATAGACACACTCTGAAATATATAATAAAGATATATTAAACATAATACTTATAGCTGCTACTATACTCATAGTTATAACACAAGATAGACACACTCTGAAATATATAATAAAGATATATTTAATATAATACTTATAGCTGCTACTATACTCATAGTTATAACACTAGATAGACACACTCTGAAATTTATAATAAAGATATCTTTAAGGCTATTAAGCACAATGATTCTTTGGAAGAAATACTGTTTTGATAAACATCGATATAACATTATCCAGGCAGAAGTAGGGAATTAGTGTGTTGCGCATGCACATGTTTAGTTTGAATTTGCTTATTAGCAATTATCTATTATACTTACCCATATTGCTGTGATTCTCCTCGAATCAAATGGTTTGATTTGATCTCTGCTTCAACCAAACAAGACGATGCTGAAATCATTAATTTGTTTTTCAGAGTTATACAGCAAAAATAGCAAACAGTTATCAAAGAAAAACTTTTGATTTAAAATTTTGCTTCTGGGAATTGTTTGGGTTGTGTGTATATGAAAATATGTGAAAAATTTACCTTTTGAAAGATCAACTGACAAAGTTGACAAATTACAGCTTCCAGTAACATGATGACAAAAACAACCATTATCACATGTACACAGATTATTACACTTATCACCATAGTAACCAAATTCACATACTACAATATTACATTTATATATCACAAAAATAACCATAAACACAAATACACCTATCACAACAAATTTATATATCATAATGATAAACAACCATTATTACAAGTACACAAATTATTACACTTGTCACCATAGTAAGCAAAACACACATATATATATATATATATCATAACAACAACCATTATCACAAGTATACAGATAATGACATTTATCACCGTAGTAACCAAAATCACAAACATCAATGTAAGATTTAAATCACTTAAAACAACCATAATCACAAGTATACAGATTCACACACTAGTCACCATAGTAATTAATATGGGAACGATTAACGAATTATAGGATCTGACACAATAATATTTGCTCTAATCTTTCTCACATATCAATTAGTCTAGCTGAAATGATACTTGAAGCAATAATTTGTCATGTATCACGATATGATACTTGAAGCAATGAATCTATATGAATCACAATATGATACTTGAAACAATGAATCTATATGCATCACTATATGATACTTGAAGCAATGAATCTATATGAATCACAATATTTTACTTGAAGCACTGAATATATATAAAAATTGCAAAATGATACTTGAAGCAATGAATATATATGAATCACAATATGATACTTGAAGCAATGAATCTAAATGTATCACTATATGATAATTGATGCAATGAATCTATATGTACCAAAAAATGATACTTGAAGCAATGAATATATATGTACCAAAATATGATACTTGAAGCAATGAATATATATGTACCAAAATATGATACTTGAAGCAATGAATATATATGCATCACTATATGATAATTGATGCAATGAATCTATATGCATCACAATATTTTACTTGAAGCACTGAATATATATAAAAATTGCAAAATGATACTTGATCCAATGAATATATATGAATCACAATATGATACTTGAAGCAATGAATCTATATGAATCACAATATGATACTTGAAGCAATGAATCTATATGCATCACAATATGATACTTGAAGCAATGAATCTATATGAGTCACAATATGATACTTGAAATAATGAATCTAAAATCCATCACAATATAATTTATATCATCATATAATCTACCAATGGATAAACAAATCTATACAAGGCAAGTTAAACAGTTAATGTATGTCCAACATTGATGCATTCATTCAAACAAATTATCAACAAAATTCAAGTACTTACAAGATTCACAGTATTTTCCAGTAAAACCAGGTGAACAAACACAATGACCAGTTTGACTATTACAAGTACCATGATTTAAACAATAACATTGATGAGCACAATTACTACCATAATAACCTGGTTTACAGGGTGTAGAACAGTTTATTCCATACCACCCATCATCACATATACAACCATCTGGAACACAGAAAACAAATGATATATCAGATTGTATTTATCACCTAGGCTTACATGATGTCATTACAAGTAACACGAAGATATTTATGCACATCCCAGGACAATTCTAAAGAAAACAGTAATTCAATTGGTAATTTGAATTCAATGTTTGGCCCACAAAACATTTCTCATGCTTTCTCATTTCATATTGACTCTCACTCACATCAAGAAGGGGTAAAATTCGAAGATGAATGTGATAATACCCTAAGGAATACATTGATATATAGTTTTCTTGGATACAATCAGTAATCCACCTGTTATGCAGCTGCTTCAAATTTGAGTAAAATCTCAAATAAGTATGTAAAAAGGTTTGTGGCCCCTGGGACAGATTTGCAATAATTTGCAAACTATTTTTTCTACCTCAAATTGAAATAGGGCTGTTCTCGTTAACATTTAGAAACCTCCAAAATTGTGCACAATTAGGATTGCTTAACTTAACTGCAAATAATATGTGTGCACATATGACAAGATATTATAATACAAATATTGCAGTAACTCAGCAAGTGTCCTTTTTGTTAGTAAATATTATGTTATGTGGAGTCAAGAAAGCAATAAAACAATATTTGTCATGAAACTGAATTAATTTTCAAAATTTCAATATGTAATTCGGTATTGCATAACTGATATATCATTTCAGTAATATTTTACTAAAGATTCAAATGATTTTGAATGTTCATGTTAACCAACTATTGAAAGAATAATTTTCAAAATTAAAAATGTCTTAGCATACCTTTAGTACATGTACCATGATGACTACAAGAGAATGGACATGAAAGGCTAGAACAATCTGATCCTACCCAATATCCATCACAGACACATTTACCCAGTACACAATGACCATGTTGATTACAGTCATTAGGTTGACATTCTGGTTCGTGAACACACAATATAGTTGATATTTCTCTTTCACAACTAAATGTACCATCAGCACTGAAAGAACACCATTACCTTTTACAGAACTTCAAATATTCCACCATACAATCTTTGCCAGCCCTGATATCATGGTATTAGGAGGTCATTCTTATTAAAGATCATATGATTTTGGTAGTTAAAATGTTTGTATAAATAAGAACCAACAACTCAACATAAAGAGGTTGAGAAGCCCACATCTTTTTGATGAATTTGGCTATTTTAAGGGTAGCGATTTCAAATCAGGGCACTTCATCAAGAAACAATTTTCTTGGATAGAAACAGATTCAGAGCCATTATCACTGTACTGCCGAGAAAAAAGTCACTACAAATATAAAGGGTGACTACATACAAAGAGCAGATATGCTTTACAATACTAAAACTGTGCAAACCGAACTCACCATTTATCAGAAGGATAATTAACTAAGGTATGATTTATAACTGTAGTAGTTGAACCTCCACCATCTAAATTGATAGCATTAACAACACCTAGTTCTAGTAATATATCTGTAAACTCATGTAGATTTACTCTGAAATTTTAAAACATTATAGGCAGATGAGTAATAAGCTATGAAAGTGTAGCTCTCTGGGAATATTGGTTAAAAAAAAGTTAAAAAATTTCTCAATTTCATCTTAGCTTTCCAAAATAATTGAATCAACTGTACCCTCTAGCATTTGTTTTACCATCCACTTGTACCATTATAACTCTGCCATCTTTATCATGACCAACAGCTGATCTAGCTGATTGTACCTCTATAAATGTTTCAATTGTGCCTAAAATAATTTGATAAAAAGAGGATCACTTTAGTTCTCGTCTGAAAGCATGTTTCAAGGTAAAGGGAGCTTTTAAGTAATGTATGCTGGTAACTTAGAGAAACCCTTAATATTAGGTGAAGGGGTTGGGTAAGGGCCACAGAACTTGAAAAGGGGTTCACAGGCAATTCTTACCTCGTGAACAATGATTAGGGGCTTACAGGAAATTCCTTCCCCAAGGAATGGAGGCGGAAGAGCATAGCCACGCAAACCTCATTTCTTAAGACACATCTAACCGTCAAACATTTAACATTGTCAGAAAAATGTACCTGTTTCCTCAACATCAGGACATTCCATTTGTTTACTTTTATCAATATACTTTTCTCCATCTCGTATCAACCATAAAACACCACCTAGTAACTGTTTAAACTGTTGAGTTATCAAATCTAGTTCTGATAAATATCTAGAGAAAATAAAAACATATACGCAAATGCCATTCTTAAATATTAAAAAAGAGATTTCACTTAGATTGACAAAAGAAAAGCATATTGAAAACTTTCAAAATTCACTATACATACCATCTTCATTTACCAATTAAAAAAAGAAAGGATGCATTACTCCATTTCCTATAATATTGTGACACCAATAACTGGACAGGTCTATTATCTTGCTGTTATACTAGGTTTTCAACTAATATGCATAAAGATAAAAATTGCCTACCCAACATAGATATACCCATCTTCTGTGATACCAAAGTGAGCATTCTGTAAACCTTGTGAATCTTGTACTAATCTACCATTACTAACTATGTTTCCTAAAATGATAGTTTATCAATATCTTTAATTTCTTAACATTTCCTCTACTTCTAGTAGTACTTGTCACTAAAGTAAAGATTTTCATTCTCAAGTATAAAGATATTCTCAAACTGGAAATCTTAATTGTTTATAAAACCCACCTAAACAAGCACCAGTGGTTGTATTGAAAAATCCACCATTTACCCCTACAATACAGTTGCCACTCAATGCCGTTTTACTAGTTATAGATCTGGTGCCATGGCCCTCCCGACATGTTCCTGGTTCTCCTGGTTCTAACACTGACAGAGTATTTAAAGGAAAATCAACCCTTTGATATCTTATTGTTACAGGATTTTTATAATAATATGAACCAATTTCTTTAGTTAAATGTTTAACTTCTACTAAGGGGTAAGATATATTTGTATCTGGTTTGACTTTAACTTTCGAATGAGTAACATTGCCATATTTTATCTCTTGACATTCTCTTATGTGTCTATTGGATTTTTTCAAACGTTGTCCATGATAATTTTTGTAGGGTTGAAGTAAGTCCATCATTAGTTCTGCATGGTGTTTGCTGAAAGCATAAGAAATTTTCATCAAACTTAACTAATTATTCTATGATGAATGATGAATTAGTCAGTGCTTATATAATTTCTTTTATTTCAAAAAAGGATATCACATGTCCTATTTTCTGTATATTCTTGGGCTAATGTATCCTGCTAAATTATGGCAAGGCTAGGGAATGTATATGCCTACTTCTATGTGAGAACTTTAACCTGGAGGTGGCCAGGTGCTAACACTGAAACAGTGCCAAGGCAAGGTTAGGAGAGGATAGTTGGTTGGATAATTGTTGTTGTTTGTTATAAAACCTTTAATTTTAGTGTTTGTTTACCTATTTTGGATTGTGTCACATTTTCTGTGTCCAATGAGAAATAATATGCACAAAACTGTAGCAGATATATTGAAAACTTCTAAAAACATGCCAGTGTTATTGGGAAAATTTTCTTGATAATCATTTCACTAAGATCTGCTCTAAATTTAATTTCAGTTGAAATAATTCTAGAATTCTACTTCCATTTCCACCTGGGACGTAATTTTTAAATCAAGGAATGTAGAAGGTTGTATAAGATCGCTAAAGCCACACTGTATAGACTAAAGTACAAAAACTCAAGTCCTTACCGAAACGATATGTCCAAAATCACTAAAGATACAGAAAAAATTAACTCTGATTTCAAAGAATGATTCTCAATCAAAGGTTACCTGTTTCGGGATAAAAATATATTGAAGTAATTCTTTCAGTTTTTTATTTTATTTTTCGTTTTCATTAATAAAGTGTACGATATCAACATTATTTTTGACATTAGACTGTCTATTTCGGTTGTGGCTTATCGGACGATACAATTATTTGAAATATTATCTAAAAGAGTTACATCCCTTGGAAAGCCGATAAGTGAAATTCACGTAAATGGGGAATAATGAAATAGTAAGTTCTTATCCATCATAATTATGATTAAAACTGCCGAACACTTAGATTAAATACAGATTGATAAAACACAGCTCTGAAATCAGGCACAGGTATTTATTTTTTAGTTTGATACTCTACCGTCTAGTCAATCGAGACTAAGGATAGCAGGTGCCTGAAAAATCAGCCAATAAAATTAGAGTATTTTGTGACGTCATTTTCATATCGAATGGCGGCGATGAAATTTAGTTTGGTAAGAACAATAATAACCTGTCACAGATAACAAATTTGCATACATTTGGACATTATTTTTTAAATTCTAATTAAGCCGTTTTACCAATGGTGGTTATTGCTAAGTGAAATTAATGATATAGCTTTGTACACCCATATGAAAGCGATACTGAGATAGATAAAGGCAGTGAAGAAAGCAAAACAAACAAAAAGTCTAAGCAAACCTAATATCAAATCAAGTCAAGGTATCTAGATTTGATTTTTGAATAGAAATCCTTCCCACTTGCATGAATTTTTAAGTATTGGAATGAATGTTAGGTTTTTTTTTTTTTTTTTTTTAATTTTTTCGTAAGCGAACGCCCTGCTTTGTTTTCGTAACGATTATTTTTCTTTTCGTCAGCTAGGGAGCTTATTTCTCGAAACCAGAAATAGGTACGACAAAGCGGACTTCATGACGTTTTCTAACTCGTGGCTATTCACGTATTAAATGTAAAACGAAAATGTTCTGCGCAACCGGAAGTGAGATAACAAAAAAAAACGGAAATGGACTGTAGAGGGCGTATTTATCGTTCGATTTTTCTCGGGTTTCCTTTATTATATTTCTTAGTACAAAGGACATATGATAGCAGTTGAAAATATTCGATTTTCCAAAATTCGTTCGATACTTTTTTTTTGTCGAAATTAATCGAAAAATGCTATTTCGGATGCTTTTTGACGGATCGATTTGAAATTTTTATGACGTAGACCGTCGGTATGGGCAAATAATTCTGCATAGTCAAAAAATGTTTATTACTTCCGGTTTCGATATTAGTACTTCCGGTGGCATCACTTCCAGTGAAATTGAGTTATGTCAGAAATGACATATGCATAAGCTTAGTGTCACTAATACAAAGTGTTACAACTAAAAAAATTCGTACCGGAAGTAACATATAGGTCGCCATATTGGTTTGCCTCAATATGCAAAACTTGCTATTTTGGAGCTATTTATTATCCGATTTGAACAATTTTGGTGTTAAATGATAGAATTAACGTTTGTCTAAAACTTGTTGAGGACAGAATTTTGATTTTCGGTTTTGGCTTTTTTTTTAGACCGGATATTTTTTTTCAAAGTTTGAAGGCGTATATCTCATGACCTTGACCTTTGGTGACCTTCATATTTACTATGATGATAAATTGTGACCTTGAATATCTGATGACCTTTTGACCTTTGGGGTCAGACAACCATTTTCGATTTTATAGGGGTTTAAAAATGGTCCATTTTGAACCTTTGCAGTGCTGTATCTCGTAGCCTAATAGTGATATAGCAATAATTCTTTCGAATTCATAATGCTGAGATTCTGAGCTTTCCAGTGATATACAACATGTCTATGTAACATGCATATTTAAAAATTATATTCGTTTAACATTGTGGTATCAAATTTAAGTTGGTTAATGAGATGTCAGTATAGATAAAATTCCTGAGTATGACATGTCCGTTAAAGTACCATTCTCCCCAATTTCTATCGGAAAGTTCGTCAACTCCAGGCACTTTCGGATATTTGCATTTAGAGATGCAGAAAAGTACTTACATCCATGTAATTGCAATAGACCAACTTCGTATGTACCCGAATGTCGTAACACACCCTGCATCAGTACTGTTATTAGTACAGTTCTAGTTTTTTTTTGTTATTGTTTTTTTCTAAATTTTTTTGGCAAAACATACAATACAGATATCTGTAATATATACAATATAAGTAGCACATTAATATTCATTATAATTTTACAATATCTATAGTTTTATATAGTTGTATAGTCTATGCCATATATTGAACAGAGTTCAAAAACATGTTGTTTTTGTGTTTACATAAATATAGTTCTACTTTGATATTATCTAGGAGATAGTTTATTAATGCTATTAGGTTAGGTTTGGTTTTATTAATCCTTGAACGATAAATGAAAAATTGTGTATGAAGAAGAAGCCAATTTAAGGGTATACCTAATAAGTTAGATCCGAAAACAATCGTTTCTAATGACAACACAGTTCCAGAAAGGTAAATTTTAAGCTTATCCCATAGGGATTTTACATATAGACAATCATAGAAGAGATGTTCTAAAGATTCCGGACTATTTTGACAAAAGGTGCATAATTCAGTTTCGACTAGTTTAATTTTGTAGAGAAAAGTATTTGTTGGTAAAATGCGATGTAAAATGCGGTATTGAAACCAATTAATTTTCGAATTTTTTGTAATATTTTAAAATGTAAAATGTAATTTAGGCTCCAATCATTCACTTTGTATTCTAGTACCTCAAATTTGGTTTGTGACTTAATCGAAATATTTTCTGTTAAAGCATTATAAATATGCCTACTACCTTTACATTGATTGAACAACAGTTGAATGTGAAATGGAATAAAAGGCCGTAGTAGCACGAGAGGTTCATTTTCTTTTTCTTCAAATGTTTCGTTTGTACATAGCGTAATAGTTTTAATTAAGGTAGTATATTCAAGGAAATGTGTTTTTAAGCTTGGGTACAGTTTTAAAAAATCGTTATAATTAAGGAAATCCCCACTATCATTCCACAAATCTGAGATATAAATAATATTGTGTTTAAAATATCTTGGGTAAAATAGTGGCTTATTGAGCAGTTTAATTGAAGAATTGTGCCATATTACTGTTTTCCCTAAGTCCGCTTTACACTTAGCGCTAATGTTTTTCCTTACTCGGATCCATGAGGTGATAACATTTTTCCAAAAAGTATTATTAATATTGTCTAGTTTATTTTCGAGATAGGAATAGTCAAATCTAGAAATAAAATCGCATTTTAGACCTGTATTGTATTCAAATAATTTGCCCCATTTACTCTCTGATAGGATGAGACGTTTTGTCTGTTGTTTTAAGTGAAACTATAAAATTATCTAAATCTACCATATTCAAACCTCCATTTTTGTAAGATTGTTTTATACATTTTCTACTGACTTTCTCAGGTTTGTTGTTCCAAATAAATTTGAAAAATTTTGTGTTGAGGAGATTAATAAGAGTTGGCTCAGGGTTTGGAAGAGATATAAACAAATGAGTTAATTTCGGAATTATAAGTGATTTCAGTACAGTTATTTTACCAATCGGTGTTAGATAACGTATTGACCATTGATTTAGTAGAGAGTTTATAGAATTACATACAAAGTCAAAGTTTATTTTGGAAATACTATCTAGTTCTAATGTAAACCTGAATCCTAGAAAATCGAAGTTTGTGGACCCCCACGATAGTTTCCATTTGTCATGATGATAAACTTCCTGCGAAAATTTTTTTGCTCCAATCCAAATTGCCTTTGTTTTGGAATAATTTATTCTCAAGCCAGAAATTTCAGCGAAAAAGTCTAGTATTGTTAAAGTGGCTTTTATTGATTCAGGTGATCTGTCTAAAATAAAAGTTGTATCGTCCGCGTATTGGGATAGTTTATACTCCTCATTGTCAATATTTACACCCTTTACATCCTTAGAACTTCGAACAAGAGTTGCTAAAATCTCGGCGCATAAAATAAATATATAAGGCGATAATGGATCTCCTTGCCTACATCCTCATTCAAGATAAAATGAATCAGATAAAAAACCGTTTTGGAGGACACAAGAACTCGAGTTGTTGTATAAAGTAATAATCCAATCTTTCATATAAGATTTAAATTTAAAAATATTTAACACAGATAAAATGAAATCCCATGAAATGGAATCGAAAGCTTTTTCGAAATCGATTAACAACAAAAGGGCAGGAATATCATGAAAATCGGTGTAGTGCATTATATCATAAATTAGTCTTATGTTTTCCCCTAAGAAACGTCCTTTTATAAACCCAGTTTGATCTCTGTTAATTAATTTATCTAGAACTGTCTTGAATCAATTGGCAATGCATCCAGAAGCTAGTTTGTATGTACAGTTTAATAGACTTATAGGTCTCCAGTTTTTTAGGAAGCGCTTGTCTTTATCTTTCTTGGGGATATATGTTATTATTCCAAGTCTTTGGGTGATAGTTAATTGTTTTTCCGAAAATCCGTGCGATAGGGACCTTAAATATAAAGTGTCCTATATCAATCCAAAAGACTTTTAAAAATTCAAAGGAATAGCCATCTGATCCAGGGCTTTTATTGTTTTTAGTCAGTTTCAAAAATTCTAACAATTCTGATTGAGATATTTCTTTTTCAAGTTCATTTGCTTCCGTCTCGCTTAGAGTATTAATTGGTAGGTTTTTTAATTTGTTTGCTACGTCATCGCTATTCAAAAAATGTCTTCTCGAATACAGTTTTTTATAAAAATTTCTTGTTTCTTTTAGAATATCTTCTTGGTTGTCAATTGTTTCACCTAAGTCATTTTCCAATTTACAGATGTGCTTACTGACAAAATTTCTAGA